GCCACTGCCGTCCTGACCTGCCGACGCGCGCCGTGACCTGGCCGCCGTGTCCACAGGAGGTGGCGCGCGGCAGCCGGGTCGCGGCCAGACATGAGCGCCGCCGCCACCGATGCGCCGCCGCCGCCGCCGCCGCCCTAGCCCGAGCCCTCACCGCGCGGCTTGCCGGCCGCCGCCGAGACCGACGGTGAGCCCCGGTCACGTGACCGCGCGCGTGGGGGACGGCGGCGGGGCGCGCGCCGCAAGGGGAGGCGAAGGTCATCGTCGGCCGGCGAGGGGAGCGCCGGGCGCCGGGCCTCGGCCGGGTCGGCGTGCTGCCGCCCCGGCCGGCCAGGCTCTTTGTGCGACTCGGGCCGTGGCCTCGTTCGCCCTGGATCTACGCTTTCTGGTGACACGCTATATTTATCCCGGCCGGCCCTTTTGCACGGCCTCAATAACCCTTAGATTTTTTCTCGCCATAAAGCGGATTCCGGGGTAAAATGGGCCCCCCAGTGTCGACGGCGAGTAATGGTTCAGTGCCCCGACCGGGCCTTTGTGGGTCCTCCCCTGGCGACGGCGTCCGGCGCTTTTGTGAGGCGCGCCGGGACCGGGGGCAGGGCGGCCGGGCCCGCAGGCCGGTCCGGGCCGGCCCGGTATGCGCGCGGCCCCGCGCCGGCCGGCGTTACACAAAAACAGGAGAGGAGATGGGCCGCGGGCGGAGGCCGGCGGGGCGGGCGAGGGGCGCCGGCGCCGCCAGCTGCCGGCGGCCGGCCGCACTGGGGCGGCGGCGGCACCTGGCCGGTCAGCTCCGGCCCCGCCGGCCGGGGGCAGCGGCCGGCGCGCTGTTCTCAGCCGATTTTCCCCCCGATAGCGGTGACCTTGGCGCCGGCCGGTCGTCGCACGGCCGGCCTGTCCAGTTGTGCCGTGACACTGTGCTCTAAGCCTGTGAGCACTTTCTCGGCGGCGGCGGCCGGCCGGGCGCGGCCACCGCCTCTGTTGACGGCAGATAGCGCGGCGGGTCGTCCGCGCCGGCACGCGGCGCGCTCTGTTGTTGCGCGCCGCCGCAGCCGCCGCCGCCCCGTGACCTCCGAATGGTAGCGGGACCCACTCGAGGTCAGCCAGCGACGCCGCCCGGAAACGGAGCGGACCGTGGTCACCGGCGCCGCGGGCGCTGCCATCTAAGACACGCCCTGACGCCGCCCGGCCACCGTCCCGCCCACACCACCCCTGCCGACGGCCGGCCGAGTCGGGCGGGCGCGGCCTAGCCACGCGCGCCTGCCGAAGACGCACGAGTTAGCGCCGCGGGCGACACGTCAACATGTTAAATAAATCCACAACGGACCTTTGGAAACGTATCTAACACACGACTCAAAGACCTTGACAAAACTGACTTGTTTACGGCCTGGGCTGGCGCACGAGATGAATTCGTAAGTGGCCTTATCATTTCGATGGGTTTAAGAAGCCGGACATGCGTTGCAAGCTCGGAAAGTTGCGTAGGCGCATCGGCGCGTTGCTCTCTCTGAGTGTGGTCACTGGCGCGTCATGCGTGCGGTAATGGGGCTCGCGCTGGAGCCAGCTCCCCAGAAATCGGTTCCGACTATCACTCGCGGCGTATGTGATTGATTCCGACCCGGATTCGGGACAGCGCAGGATAGTTTTGAACCGACTCCGATTCCGACTCTGAGAGGTATGGCTCGGCTCCGGGATAGGCTCCAGTTAGGTCGATCTCGTTCATAACAGCTTCGAAGATACACCTCTCTGACCTCTGTAAAGGCCTGTGCAGATCATAGATTTGATAAAAGATAGCTAGCCGCGTATCAGGTGTTCATTTGTTGTACATGCACATAAGAGCTGCCAGGATGCAATGCAGCGCTTTTACTTTCGTTGATATTTGGGTGGAGCGACCGATGATCGGACTGAATGCGGTTGACTCAGCTGGGATTCCAACTCGCACGCATTTTGAAGGGAAGCAATTCCACCTGGACTACATAGAGCTGGAGTCGACTCCAACCTCACTGGGAGTCGAGCGCAAGTCTGGCGTTGGTAGTGTTAATGGTTGTCGTGCGCTACAGGCAAGTAGTTTTCCGTTACGCCTGTGATTGCGGTCAAAGTGTGAGGTCTACTCGTGGACAAACGTCGCAGGTTCATACTAATTCTAGGATGGCTAGCCTTTTTGTTTGGTTGGGATTAGCGCTCTTTTGGTCTCTAATCCTTCAAGTTCTCCCCGCTCTGTCCGAAATCTTTTCGTTGCTCAGCCTGTCGCCAGGCCGTCATGACATCACGGCCCTCTCTTTCCCTCTCTCCCTCTCTCCATGTGCCCTCTACTGACCGCCCGAGGTCAGCAGGTCCGACTGTTCGAGGTCAGCGGGCTGGGCCCGTCAGGTGCCCCGTCCGGCCGGCCGGTCAGCCGCCGACGAGGGCGCCGGGTCACGCAGTCGGCGTCCGTCCTGTCCTGCGTCCTGTCCCGTGTGTTTGGCGCCGGAGAGCGGGGCTGGTGCCGAGCCCCGGCGGCCTGCTCCCGGCTGGCGCGCGTCTTGCATTCATATGGATCGTCTCCGGCTGCTCAAAGCCGGGCTTACGCAATCCCGCTGCGGGATTGAGAGTCGGACGTGACTTGATGATGATTGCCAGGTTATTTACGGATGCATGCAGCTGCTAAAGGTGCTTAGTTGGGGGCTAGGGGAAGACCTTCGCCACGCCCTAGTACGTACAAATCGGCTCCAGTGAAAGTTTTCTGCGACTGGCATCGAACTCACACCTCGCAATGCACAGCTCCGTGGCTCAGCCGGTCGTCGATGGCGCAGTGGCTCGACCTCCGGTGGCATGAGCTGGGCGGGCGTGAGTGCGTGGGCGGGGCGCTGTGTGCCGGGCCCTGTCGCCAGGGCCTCCCTGACCAGGACCAGGGCCTCCCCGACCCAAGCTGTCGTCCAGCATCGCCGAGTCTGCAGCAGCGCCGAACGTCGCAGCGGCCGCCGCCGGGCGCTGGCTGTCGCGGCCAGACCTACAGAACGGGTTTTCTCGTCGATTTTTCTGTCGGCCGATCCATTAGCACGGCGCTGGGGTGTGGACTGGGCTGGACGAGCGGGCGGGCTGGGCGTGCTCCCCGCTGTGTGCCGGCCAGTCGGCCCAGTACGCTACTGCCCTGTATAACGCCCGTCCGGCCCAGTACGCTACTGCCCTGTATAACGCCCGTCCGGCCCAGTACGCTACTGCCCTGTATAACACCCGTCCGGCGCCCGTGTTTGAAATGTGGGCGCGCTGGGGTGGGCGTGCGCGCACGGCTGGCTGGGGTGGACGTGCGCGCACGGCCGGCGGGGACGTGCGTGCGCGTACGGCTGGACGTGAGGGCTAGCGGTCGCCCGGGGCTGTCCGTGGCCGCTGGACTGGTCGAAGGTATGGGCTTTGCAGCTGGAATCTTGGCTTGAAAGCACATTTTCCTGGGACCGGTCTGACCTTGCACTAAAATAACAACAAAGACGGCTGGACTTAGCCTGCGGAATGGATGGATTACTCCTTCCAGCGTTTGTTGTGTGCATTCGGATGCCTCATCGGATGTTGAGCAAAGCAGTGGTCAACCAAGACACGCAACGTCCGGCATCTGCATCAGCACGTCTTCACTCGGACTGGTTTCCTCGCCGTCCGTGCTTGTCCAACCGACGTTCGGGTTTGCGGGTGGCGCGGCGCGGCCGGTGAAGCCGAGGCTGTGACATCGCGGCCACTCACACTGCAGCGTCGCAGTTGCCCTCGCCTGGCCGGAGCGCCACCTGGCACGGCCGCCCCCCATGACCTCGTGGCCAGCGAGCGTGCCCGTACGGGGTGACGGGGCGCCCTGACCTCCGGGCGGCCCGCGCCGCCGCCGGGACGTGACCCGTTCCCACAACAACCGGCCCCTGAGGTCGGACGGCAGGTCAGCGCTGGACGGAGGCGGGGGCGGGGGGGGGGCGGGTGTCAGCTGTCTGCAGGTCGGGCGGAGGTCAGAGGGACCGGGTGCAGCGACGGCCGATGGCCCGGTCAGCTGCAGCTGTCGACCTCCGGGGTCAGATGTGGGTCCGGACAGGTGCCGTTAAAATTCTCGCTTCGTATCAGATCATAGCTGGGAGCCCTGCGAAGATCCGGAGCAGGGGCCGCCTACGGCTGTCCCCCCTCCCCTCCCTCTCTCACCACCTTCCACCCGGTCCCCCACTCCCGAGCAGGTTACAGCTCCGCTGAGCCCGGCTCGGAGAGATGCTGTCACTTCAGCAGGTCACGGCATCAGCGCCCAGCTGCCAAAGGTCAGTCGGAGGTCAGCTGGGGCACTCGCCAGCCCTGAAGAGCACGAGGACTCTGACCCCGGGGCAGTAAACAGCTGGCCGTTTCCTGCGGCGTTGAGCGATTGGGCGGGGAGGCGCGCCGCCATCGTCCATGCATCCGCTCGCCGCCTCGCCGTTCGACCTGCGATGATGGGAGGCCGCAGAGTCGGTCAGCACCGCCCGCCCGGGCCTTCGGGAGCCGTGGCCCCCGCCAGAACGCGGTGCTCCTGCGTGCTTTGTTGCAGGCGAAGTCGCACGCGGGTCGGAAGCTGCGCCGCGGAGTCCACGGAGCTCGTCGGAGCTCGTCGGAGTCCGCGGAGCTCGTCGGAGTCCGCGCCGTGTGCGGCTTCGCTCCTGGTGGCAGACGGAGGGCGTCGCGCCGCGGGCCGCCGGTCCCCGCTTCCGCACCATCTACGCTGCCGGTATTTCAGTGACCGACCTAGCCGTCGCCAATAACGTAACGTGTCGGCGGCGCGGGCGTGCGCCAACGCCGCGCCGTGACACGGCCGGGCGGCCGGCGGCGCCGCTGTACCGAAGGCCATCTGGCGGCGCGGGGCCGGCGCGGCCGCCGGCGCCCGCCAGTGTTCGGGTCGGCGCGCCGTCGGCAGGTCAGGGCAGCGCGCGCTCCGCCCGCCCGAGCCCCGCCGCCGGGCAGTGACGTCCGCCCGCCGGCCCGCTCGCCGCTGACCTAGCATGACCCGGATGGCGGCCGCCGCCGCCGCCGAGGTGTCGGTCAAAAGCGAGCCGATGGAGGAGGCGGAGCCGCACAACGGCGACTCGGACGGCAGCGGTGAGTGCTGGCTGCGGCGCGTGACGTCACGCCGCGCCGGGCTGATTCACGGGGCGGCCGCGCGGGCCCTGCGAGGGTACACCGCGCCCGTATCGATTTTAATTTGTTGTGTCGACTCCGACGGCAGGGCTGGCAAAAACAGGCGGCGCGGAGGGGAGCGCGGCCCGGCCCAGATGCTATTGATTTTGGGCCGGTGTTGGGCGAGGTTAGTGTCGGACGCGTTTGGAGTCTGGGGGCGCCACGTGCTCAGAGCTGGAAGCCGCCCGGCCCGTCCGGGAAGCTGGCACTGCCGTCACCGGGGCAGCGTGTGTCGTGTGTGCGGACGGAGGGGGGGGGGGGGGGCGCTGCTGCTGCCTCTTACTTGGCGGACCGTGGCTCTGCGGCGAGCTGTTGCCAAATGACCGTGCGCTGTGCGTGACGAACGCTCCCATTAATCTAGCTTGCAGGACGATGCCGGGCAATATCATAAGCCATGTGGGGTACACAGCACGTGGTCGCTTCTCTTTTTTGTTCTTTTTTTGTTGCTGGGACCCGTATCCGTAGCTGGCAGCCGTTTGTACGCATGCCACACCGGCCTGTTATAAAGAGGTGCCACTACGCCCGGACGCGTGCGCTGCGGCACGCTACGGCGTCAGCTGTCCCCTCACCAGGCCGGGGCCAATATCCGGGCCGGCGGCGTCGGCGTCCCCCCAGGCCGCTGCCCCCGCGCCGGCCGTGGACGCGGCGCAGGTGTCTCCCCTCGGCGGCCGCGCTGCAGCGCGCGCGCCGCCCCGTCTGCGGCCGCACGCGCCGCCTGCGTCGGACCCGGCGGCGGGGAGACGACGGCACCGACGGCGCTGCGTGGCCCGCGGCCGGGCCTGGTGCGGGTGCGATCGGAGCGGCGGGTTGAGAACGGACGTGCTGCACCTCGTGCGACGGCGCTACGTGGGCCTGGCCCCCCGGTTATTTCCACATCGACTTCTCGGAGTGGCCGGCCCGGCACGCCCGGCGCCCCGACGTGGCGGCGGCTGGGCCGTCGGCTGCAGCGGCGCCGCCGGGCCCCGCTCGGCCGACCGCGCGGCCGCCGCGCCCCGCGGTCGCCATGTTGGCCGGCCGGCGTGACCCCTGAGGCGGCGCGCCGCCATTGGCGGGCGGACACAAGGTCGGCGGGCGCCGGGTGCGCCGGGCCTGACCCGAGGCGGCTGGCCTTGGCGGCCGGCCGGCCGGTGGCGCCGCCGCGCTGCCGCCGGCGCCGCGTGACCTCGCCGTGACCGGGCGGCGCGCCGGTCGCGGGTCGGCCGTATTGATCGCGCGCGCTGGTCGAGCCGGACGCTCCGCCCCGGTCGCTCAGACCCGGTAAAAATAGGTCGCTTTTTACGCGGACGGTTGCAGCGGCGGGCGTCGCTCTTTGTTGGAGGTCGGGTCGGCGGCACAGCCGGGCCCGGCCGGCCGCGAGCGCCGCCGGCGGCCGGCCGCCGCACCAGCCGCCCCCGGCGTCGGCCCGGCCGGAACACGTGCGGCGCCGGCGCCTGTTGGCGGCGTCCCCACGCGTCGCGGCCCGGCGCCGCGGCCGGCCGGGCTCGCGCGCCCCGGGCGCGGTCAGCGCGGCGCGGCGCTAAATTACCTCCGGTCGTGACGTCAGCAGCGCCTGGGGCGCGGGCGGTCGCCGCGGTCGCGTGACACCCGGACCACCGGCTGGAGACCCGTGGAGAAGCGTCCCGCAGCCCCGCGACCGATACCTATCCAGCCGACTTACTCATTCATCGCTCGAGAAGCCCCCGGGCGGCCCGGCGTCATTACCGGGCTCTCGGTGCCGAGCTGGCGCTGAGTGCCCTCGGCCGCCAGTGGCCGGGGGCGGCCAAAGGTCACGACATGGCCGGGCGGCCGCGTGGGCGACGCTCGGGTCGATGCGGCTGTCGGTCACCGGATCGGCGCCGGCAGCTCTGTCATCGAAGCCCGCTGTCACTGACCAGCCGCCGGACGGACGGCGGGGCCGCTCGGGGAAAGCCTGCCGCTCGGCGATGTGGCCTCTACGGTACGCTGGGGTCGCGGACAGCCCTCAGGCGGTCCTACCAGCGTGCGTGCGCCGTGCTGTGGGGCTGATGGGCGAGACCCGGCGTCTTAGCTGTCAGGAAGGCCGGTGGTTGGTCGGTGGAACCGTCGGTCTCGAGCCGCCGGTGGTGCGTGCCGCTGATTGGTGACGGAGGCGGGTGGGGGTCGCACCGGCCTGCCTGGCCGTGCTGCCCGGGATCTGCGTGCGGTGCTGGACCGGTCAGCGGTCATTTCCCCTCGGCCTCGGTGTCTCGCGCGCGTGTGTTTGGGGAGGGGGCGGGGGGGGCGCGGGTCATGTCCCCGGTGGCCGGGGTCAGCGTCCCGGCCTGTTTGCGCGCGGCTGACCGGGCGGCCGGACGGCGCGCGGGACGGCGCCGCTGTTTAGTTAGCCCAGTTGAGGGTTGGTGGTGCGCGCGCCGGCGGCGCGATAACCCGCGGCCGCCCGGTCGCCCGATAGCGGGCCGGCTATCGGCTGACACGGCCCGCGGTCACCGAGCCACAAACACGCCCGCGCCCGCCCCTCCGGCGGCGGCCGCCGCACGGGCGCGCGCCGGGGCAGCGCCGCACGGGGCGCGCGCCGACAAAGACGCCGAGCGATGGCGCGGCGTCGCGGCCGTCACCGGCGCTGTGACGGCCGCAGCGGTCAGGGGGCCGCCTCGCCCGAGGCGTGGGCTCCGGCGCGAAGGCTTAGTGCTTGGAGTAAGATGAGCATGTCTTGTGCCGTGTGTATGTGCGCCCCTGAATGTTGTGTCAGCGGCTGGCCAGCGTCACCTGACCTTTGCCCTGGCGTCCCGGGCCGACCCGACCCGACTTATCACTGGCTTTCCGTGCGCCGTTACCAAGGAACTCGGTACAAAGGTCCCCTAGCCTCCCCGCCTCCCCGCCTCCCCACCTCCCTGCGTATAGAGCACAGGCGGCGCAGGGAGGCAGCCAGCACGGATACAGCAGAATAGACTGGCCGCTCAAAATCCGTTGGAAAACATTACATTGGTCAGTTTTGACGGGCGACACCAAGCTGTTCCTCATGCATGTTTTTTAAAGGTAGTAACTTTTAACGCGGTTGAAAACGTAGTCGCATATGGCCCCACAATCCAATGGTGTTGAACCACGGGCGGCAGGCGACCAGCCCGAGCCGCGCCCCGAGTCACTGGCGATATAGATGGGGCTGGTGCGGCACGGCGTCATGCACAGCGTGGAGTTCAACGCATGCGCACGTGACTTGACCTCGGCCCCGCCACCCAGTAAGTTGTGTTCTCTCCAAACAATGCGGAAGGTGCCATCCGTCCAGTTCCCCCAGCAAACCCGCTCGCCGCAAAGTCCAGGGGATCGGCCGGCACCGCGGACTATCAGGTGGCGATCTCGTCCGCCCCTGGGATCGGCATTTCCGCTGGCCGGCCTGGAAGACCTCCCGGCCGTGTCCGCCCTACCCTCTGACCTCCTGACCCTCCGACCGTCCGTCCTCCGGCCCTCGGACCTACCGGCCCCCCCGTCCCTTCGTCCATCCGTCCCTCCGTCCCTCCGTTCCTCCGTCCCTCCGTCCCTCCGTCCCTCCGACCCTCCGACCCCTGACCCACCGACCCTCCGTCACTCCGACCCTCCGTCCCTCCGACCCCCGACCCTCCGTCCCTCCCACCCCCCGACCGCCGAGCCCGCGACCCCCCGACCCTCCGCCCCTCGGATCCTCCGGACCTCCGGCGTCTTGCCCTCCGTCCGTCCCCGGTCCCAGCGGGGCCGCGAGTGGAGCGTGGCGGTGTGCGGGCCTGCGGCGGGGTGCCGCCGCCGCCGCCGCCGCCGCCGCTGGCCCTCTGTTTACGCCGGCCGGCCAGCCGTGGCCGGCAGCCGGGTCAGCCGGTGACCCGGTTCGGGCGCGCTCGCACGCATCGGGCCGTCACAGACTGCCGCCGGCGGCGGCGGCGGCGGCGGCGGCGGCGGCGGCGGCCTGCAGGCGGGGGCCCGGCTCCCGGTAGCGGTCCGACGGGCTGCCGGCCGGGGTACGGCGGTCCCCGGGCGGCTCCGCCGAGCGGGGGCGGCCGGCGTCGCCCTGGGATTGCTGGTCATTGCCCCGCGCCATGTGTCGGCCGTCTCGTGCCGGCTAAGACGCGGCTCGCGTGCGGCTGCGGCTCGTGGCCCGGCCGCGGGCCCCGGCCGCCGCCGCCGCCGCCCCGGGCCAGCGGACGCCCCGCGCGCGACCGACCAAGGTCACAGCAGCTGACAGGCGGCGGGCCGCGCGGCCAGGCCGCCCGCCTCGCCCCGGCTTGAGGCGGCCGATGGGGCGCGGACGCGCCGGCCACCAGACGCACGGCCGTGCCGACAGACGCGGATGTGTGGAGGCACCGACTGGAAGGGGCACGCGGGCGCTTGTGTGCGGACGAACGCTCCTGGACAACGGACGCGAGGACGGCGGAACAGACAACCGGACCCGATCGCTGGGCCGCGGACGGAGGGACCCCGGCGCACACGACGCGGCGCGGTGGGCGTGTCCGGACCGCTGGCTTCCTGGCTGGCACCGGGCCGTGACCCTGGACGGAGGTCGGCTCCGGCAGCGAGTGGTGCCGATCCACCGTCTGTCGCGGCGCCGCCGCCTGGTCAGATGTGTCCATTAGCGGTCACAGATCGGATGCGTCCTCTCTCCGGCCCGTGGTGTCGTACTGATGTGCTGGCCGGTCCATTAGTAGCGCGTGCGGCGGAGTGGCTGTATGTCGACGCGCTGAGGTGCAGATCGCTCCATTGGATCCGCCTGTCTCCTCCGGTGTGATGTCATTGTTAAGCTACCCTTAGGAAGGATTGTAGCTAACAATGGAATCATGCCGGTATGCTGAATAACTAACGTGCATGAGAGCGATAAGAAGACTAACCAGGGTGTCTCTCCACCCGCCCCCCCCCCCGCCCTTCGGCTGACCCCCACCCCCACCCCCACCATCGTGCGCCTTTCACGCTGAGCGTCTGTGTTATCCTTAGCTGTCCCGCTGCGACGGACCGCTCACTTGGCTGCTCTCTCTCTCTCTCTTTTTTTCTCTCTCTCTCTCTCTCTCTCTCTCTCATCTCTCTCTATCTCTCTCTCTCTCTCTCTCTCTCTCTCTCTCTCTCTCTCTCTCTCTCTCTCTCTCTCTCTCTCTCTCTCTCTCTCTCTCATCATCTCTCTCTCTCGCTCTCTCTCTCTTCTCTCTCTCTCTCTCTCTCTCTCTATCATCTCTCTCTCTCTCTCTCTCTATCTCTCTCTCTCTCTCTCTCTCTCTTATATCTCCTCTTCCTCTCCTCTCTCTCTCTCTCTCTCTCTCCCGCTCTTGTAAATTACGCATTCAGCTCTGTCCGGAGCATGGTGAACTTCGGCGAGTGCCAGGAAGTGGGTGATGTTCGTTATCTTGACTTGCCGTTGGCGTGTGCCCTCAGGCGATGGCGCAGCGTCAGCCGCCGACGACAGCGTCAACAGCTCCTTCCTCGGCAACTCGCTGGCTATGTCGTCGTCCATCGCTTCTCCCTTCAGGTGAGGTGCACACTAACATCTCGCGCTCGTGCTGCCGCATCGTGCTGCTCCCGGGACGTGGACTCGAGAACCTCAGTCGATGGGAGGTGTTCCGCGGGCAAGGTCGTAATTTGTCTTTGCAGACACCATCAGGAAACTGTGTCGTGCACCTGCGAACTATGAACATCGTCGTAACAGTTCGGCATTTGCAGTCATGTTCTTAATGAAGCATCCTGGCATGCCATTATTCATCATGTGAGGAGTGTTCCTCAGTTTAGCGCCTTGTTTTGCATGCTGCAAATGAAGCGATCGATAACTACCTCGTGAACGACTCGTGGCGTTAATTACCGCGGGTCATTACATTCTTTTGGTGCCCACCAACCCTGCAAAAACGTCAGGAGTGGAGCGGCGGCCTCGTGTCGGCGGCGAGGGCCGGGAGTGGGCGCGTGGGTTGGCCGGCCGTCGGCGCCGGAGCCGTCGGCGCGCGCCTCCGCGGCCGCGCGACCGGCCAGACGTTGACACCAGGATGCGGCGATACCCGGAGGCCCGGTGTTAGTCACAGGCGGCATGGCGGGAGGCGGACGCGGCTCGTGCCGGCGGTGCCGACATTTGCGGCCGGGTCACGGGTCAGAGGTGGGCCGCCGCGAGCGGGCGGCCAGGGCCGGGAGGGCAGAGGTCGGCCGGCGCGCCCCGGCGGCCCGCCCGGCGGCCCGCCCCGCCGGCACACGTCCGCCGTCCGACCGCCAAAATGGTGATGCTCTCCTTGAAAGGTCGGCGCCGCGGCGGCCCCGGTCGAGCGTGTCTCCGGGTGGGGCGGGGCGGGGCGGCCGGGCCACCTGGCGTCGGCCGTCCTCCCGCACGTGGCGCGTCGTCCGCCCCGGCGGCCGGCGAGCTGGCCGTCGGCTCCGGAGCGGCATCTGGCAGAACCGGAGGCAGAAGCCGGATCACAAAAAAAATGTCTCCTCGTTTAGTGCCTTGCTGCGACAAGGCCAAACCACGGCGAGTAGATATGCTGACCGCGAGGGGACTGCGAACTGTCGGTTGATATTGATGGTGCAGTTTGTTGATCGCCGACGATCATTCAACGCGGGTGTCGCATTGCTGGCGATTGGCTCCGTGACTGGTGCAGCTGTGGAGTGCGGCCCTTATTCCACCAGCGTGGCCCCGGCGAAGCTGCGCCGGCCAGGCAGGCCGGTTCTGGTCGCACCTCTGCGTGGTGTTGAACGACCGAGCACCTGGCGTACGTTCAGCACGTTCTGGGAGAGATGTGCCGTGTTGTATGCAAATGCATGCACCGACGGAGCTCTTCCCGCCCGCGTGAAACCGGTGTGCTCGATTGATGCATTGTTTCATTCTATCAACTTGGAATGCAGGACGCGCATCCAGTTCGAATGCGGCTGCCGGCTTCGTCCTTGGCGTCACTCTTTCCGGGTTGATGCAGCACTGCTCTGTGTTGATGCATCTGGATGTCTGCGTTCAGGGAGTAAAAAGTTCCCGCCACAAGGTCTGCGTGTCTTGCAGGGCTCTGTGGCCGTGTCCTGTCACTGTGCCCCTCCCTGACCCTGTGACTGTGCTCCGTCACTGCACCCTTCCCGGACGCTGTGACCGTGCCCCGTCGCTGTGCCCGTCCCTGACCCTGTGACCGTGCCCCATCACTGTACCCCTCCCTGACCCTGTGGCCGTGCTCAGTCACTGTACCCTTCCCGGACCCTGTGACCGTGACCCGTCACTGTACCCGTCCCCGACCCTGTGCCCCTCCCTGACCCTGTGCCCGTCCCTGACCCTGTGACCGTGCCCCGTCACTGTAGCCCTCCCTGACCCTGTGACCGTGCCCCATCACTGTGCCTCTCCCTGACTCTGTGACCGTGACCCGTCACTGTACCCGTCCCCGACCCTGTGCCCCTCCCTGACCCTGTGCCCGTCCCTGACCCTGTGACCGTGCCCCGTCACTGTAGCCCTCCCTGACCCTGTGGCCGTGCCCCATCACTGTGCCTCTCCCTGACTCTGTGACCGTGACCCGTCACTGTACCCGTCCCCGACCCTGTGACCGTCCCTGACCCTGTGCCCTGTCACTGTGACCGTCCCGGACGCCCCCCCCCCCCCCGTCCCCCGTCACTGTGCCCGTCCCTGACCCTGTACCCTGTCACTGTGACCGTCCCGGACGCCCCCCCCCCCCCGTCCCCCGTCACTGTGGCCGTCCCTGACCGTCGCCGGCCGTTGCAGCACGCTGCCCAACATGGCGCTGTCGGCCGACTGGGCGACGCGGCTGAAGGAGATGGACGCCGGCGCGCCGATCGGTGACCTCCTGGCCGACCGGCTGAACCAGGGCGGCGGCGCCGTCAACGTCGAGGTGTGCGTGGTGTGCGGCGACCGTGCCTCCGGCCGCCACTACGGCGCCATCAGCTGCGAGGGCTGCAAGGGCTTCTTCAAGCGCTCCATCCGCAAGCAGCTGGGCTACCAGTGCCGCGGCTCCAAGGACTGCGAGGTGACAAAGTACCACCGCAACCGCTGCCAGTACTGCCGGCTGCAGAAGTGTCTCAAGATGGGCATGCGCAGCGACTGCAAGGACCTGCGCAGCCTCAGCTACCAGCGGCTGTACGAGAGCATTCCGCAGCCGGGATACCAGTACAACTCGTCGCCCAGCCTGACGCCCCGGGACACGGGTAAGAGACCGGCCCGCCGCCGCAGGGCATCTGGCGCGTCACGAGACGCCTGGTGGGCCGCGCGGTGAGGTGGGCGTGAGGTGGGGAATGGGGAGGGGAGGGGCAACCGGTTTGTAAAAACAACACGTTCATGTTTCTGATACGTCTCGCTTCATTGCATTGCTGGAGACGAGGCTTAGTGTTATCTTTGCGAGAATCTCTTGGCGCAAGACTTCTTGCGTTGATAAAACTATGTGGCGGTGATGGATTATGGAGATCGCTGCGGCTTAGCCGCGGAGTAATTGGCAGCCAGACGTGGAATGGGCGTAATGACATACTGGCATAAACCGTCCCTCCCCCCCCCCCCCCACCCCACCCGTGATGACATACTGGCCTAAACCGCCCCCCCCCCCCCCTCCACCCACGTAAATGTTGTGTTGCGGCTTCTGAGCTCTTTCGTGGTAGCCAACCCGTGTGGTCTATTCTTTTTTGTTTGTTTTTGCTTTTTGTGATTATTTCTTACGCATGATGGACTTTTTTAGAGAACGGAAGTCGCCCGTCTCCCGACATGTCCAACCCACGCTTCACCCTACAAGACAGAATCAATTCCATTATGGAATCCAGCGTCGTACAACGAGGCTATGGCAAGAATGTCAAAAGTAAGGCGCATCCTATCGGAGGTACGCATGCCTTGGTTTCGGTTTGGTTTGGTTTCCTTTTTCTGGTGGTAGCGTTTGTTACACATCATTTTTAACCTCCGTCATTTGCAAACACTGCAACCTTCTGTCTCCAAACCCTGTGCTATTTTCTCACGTGTCTGCTAAAAACCCTTCTGCTGTTACGTTTTCGTTGCAACCTGGTGTCGGTACTCTTGATTTTCTCACGTCACTTGGTGTCGGGGGCACGAGGCTGATACATGAGGCGGTGGACATGTGACACCTTCTTGAATGGGACCCGTCTTTGCACGAACGCAAGCCTCATAGCCCGGATTCTCGAGTTCTGCAACGAGCCATTTTCGATGGTGTAGTCGGTGACCCAAACTACATTTACTAGCCGTCTTGTCACGTCCGGCGGCATACGCGTCAACGCTGCGAAGTGCGCTCAATCGTGGGCCCACCCGTCTGCGCCGCTCCGGGTGTCAGTGCACGTGTCCGGTCCTGGCAGCGTCCTGTGCTCGGGATCGGCCACCTCCACCATCCTGGCGCCGCTGCCATATCTGAGGCGCCGCTGCCCTATCTGGTGCCGCTGTGCTGTCTGTGGCGCCGCTTACATATCTGTGGCGCTGCCGCCCTGTATGTGGCGCCGCCGCCCTGTCTGTGGCGCCGCTGCCATATCTGTGGCGCTGCCGCCCTGTCTGCGGCGCCTCCGCCCTGTCTACGGTGCCGCTGCCCTGTCTGCGGCGCCGCCGCCCTGTCTGCGGCGCCGCTGCCCTGTCTGTGGCGCTGCTGCCATATTTGTGGCGCTGCCGCCCTGTCTGCGGCGCCTCCGCCCTGTCTACGGTGCCGCTGCCCTGTCTGCGCCGCCGCTGTCCTGTCTGCGGCGCCTCCACCCTGTCTACGGCGCCGCTGCCCTGTCGCGCTGCCGCTGTCCTGTCTACGGCTCCGCTGCCCTGTCTGCGCCGCCGCTGCCCTGTCTGCGGCGCCGCCGCCCTGTCTGCGGCGCCGCCGCCCTGTCTGCGCCGCCGCTGCCCTGTCTGCGGCGCCTCCGCCCTGTCTACGGTGCCGCTGCCCTGTCTGCGCCGCCGCTGCCCTGTCTACGGCTCCGCTGCCCTGTCTGCGCCGCCGCTGCCCTATCTGTGGCGCCGCTGCTCTCCTTCCACTGACGGTGGCGCGGCCCGGCAGGCTCCGGCACCGTATCGCCGGTGGTGGAGAACGGCAAGGAGTCAGCGGCGGCGGCGGCGGCAGCGCCGGCCGCCGAGGACCGCGACAAGGAGGCCGTCAGTCGCGTGGTGGACCGGCTGACGCGCATCATGGAGGTCGAGGAGGGCGGCGCCGCCGCTGACGTCATCGCGCTGGACGGCGCCATCTTGGAGGGCGCCACGCTGCAGTTCGCCGTAGCGCCGCCGCAGTTCAGCAGCGCCATCGATTCGTCCTACATCACCGAGATCGGCTCGCGCGTGCTCATCACCATCATCAACTGGGCCAAGAGCATCGCCGCCTTCCAGGTGCTGGCGTCCGACGTGCAGGAGAGCCTGGCGCGCGCGCGCTGGGCCGAGCTGTTCATGCTGGCGCTGGTGCAGTGTCGCGACAGCCTGGACCTGCCGCGTCTGCTGTCGGCTGTCACGCAGCACCTCTCGTCGTCCGTGCACGAGCGCAAGACGCCCGTCTCGCGGCTGCGGCTGGTGAGTGCTGGCCGGTCCCGAGCGGCCCGGCCCCGGCCCCGGCCCCGGCCCCGGCCTCTGACCTCCGGTCGCGAATGGCCGGGGTGGCCAACCGCCACTCGGTGACGACACGGGGGGTCACGTGCGGCACACGGTCCAGCACCGGCGGCTTCCATAGTCACTTTTTGTCCCGTCGCATCTTTTTGAAACGCAGCATCGCGTCCAATCCAAGAAAGCATGCTTTAATACCATGCATGAAATCCTGGAAAAAGCTTACTGATGTTTTGGCGGATTTGAGATCAACATCGTTCCTTTGAATGAAAAAAATCGCGAGTCAGCAAGTTACCAAGTCATGGGCTTACGACTGAGCCCAAGGCCCTAGAACAGAGACTGAGCCCATGGTTGCTCCTGGCATGCGGTATTATCTGTCACTCCTGCAGTGGTGGACGTCTAAATATGGCTATCCTGCTCAGCTGGCCAGGGACACTGCAGGCCTCTAAATGTCATTGATAAACGCGTCGATGAAGACATTCCGGAAAGGCGTCAAATTAAATACGTAACAATATGCGGGGTTCTTTCTTGGTTCTTTTAGTATATTTGCTCTTGCCAGGAGTTTTCTTCTCACGCCGTGATGCGTTTTTTTTTTAGTTTCCTTGATGTGTTTGCGCCTTGACATGAACACCACGCGGTGTCTGCCCCCTGCCGGCGGCGGCCCGCAGCGTCGCCTCACGCGCGCCGCCGGAGCCGGCTCTGACCGACGCCCCCTGTCTCGGCAGGTGACGCAACACCTCTACATGATCCAGGAGTTCGTGGCCAGCATCCGGCGGCTGGCACCGGACGCCGCCGAGTTGGCGCACCTGCGCGCCATCGTGCTCTTCCACCCGGACGGCCAGGAGCCGGGCGCGCGCCGCCAGCTCGAGTCGTTCCAGCAGAAGGCGCTGGAGGGGCTGCGCGCGCACGCGGCGGCGACGCGGCCGGGCGAGCCCGGCCGGCTGGTGCAGCTGCTGCTGCGGCTGCCGGCGCTGCGCGGCATGAGCGCCGTCGCCATTGACCACCTGTTCTTCCCGGAGATCCCGCTCACTGGGCCCGTCAGCTGCAACCAGGCGCGCATCGAGGAGCTGCTGCCGCACATCATCCGCGGCGACGCCGACGACATCGGTGAGCGTCGCCGCCGCACCGCCGCGGCGGCAGACGGGGGCGCCGGCGACACAGGGGAGAGGCCGGCAGGGTGGGAGGCTCACAGCGGCCAGGGAGGGGTCTGGTCCCGTCCCTTTGCCTCGGGCGTCGTGCGCGATGACGATCTGTGGGTCCCGCGGCGGATTTCATGCCGTTTGTTTCTGACCGGCGAGTCATGAGAGGCTCTGAAGTCGCTACGTGCCATCAGTGCGAGTGATTTAATTTTGGGACTGTTTGCTTGTTGTCAAATTCGTCGTTGCTGGTGCCGCAAATGTGGAGCGTATGGTCGTTCCGGACAGTGATGAGTGCGCTCGGTTTTCAGTCGGCACCGAGCAGTGATGAGTGCGCTCGGTTTTCGGTCAGCACGGCACCGAGCAGTAATGAGTGCGCTCGGTTTTCAGTCGGCACCGAGCAGTCCAGTCCGAGTGGCGACTCGCCCAGCTCAGAAAACGTGTCGGAGTACGGCTCGCAGCTGTGAGCGGCGCCGCACTCCAGCTCACCCGCCGCGTGTGCGGAGCACGGCCTGGTGCCGGGGCGGCGTCCCCGGCCCGCCGCCGGCCAGGGACCAGCGGGCCCCGCCGGCCGGCCGCCGCCCGCCCGCCCGCGCCCGCCACGCCGGCTTATTTTTGTACCTTCCATAAGGCGCGGCGCGGCCGGCGGCGGTGCGGCGCCGGGCCGGCCCTGACCTTGTACAAAATGGCCGCCGCGAAGTGATACCCGGCCGGCCCGACCGGCTTTTCACCGGGCGGCCGTTTTTAAACGTGATCCACATTATCCATATCTCGATTTGGGCATACGTACGGAGCTCCATGTCTGTTTGGTGAGGCGCACTCGCGTTTTATTCCCTCATCCGTATACATTTATTTTAGACTACCACTCAACGCATGCTTAGTTTGTACAGAGCAGTAGCTGTGGATGGTATCTTTTATTGTATGTTTTTGTTTTTATGCAGATTTTTAGTCGTGCTCGTCGAAATTCTCGTTTCCGATTGCCGATGTTTCAAAAGTCGGCGTGAAGTGTTTTTAATGTGTCGATTCAGTCCGATGAATATTTCTAGTCCCACGCATGTGTACAGTGAGCGAACCGATTGTAAATACATTCTGAGATGAGTGGATTCGACCAGCTGTGATCGCCGCACATCGGGGGTGTAGGGGGGTGTAGGGTGTAGGTGTAGGTGGCTGATGCGCGTCGAGTGGCATCTGAGGCCGGTCTCTGCTATAGCTATCGCGGCTGCAACGAGAGCCTCTCGAAAGCCGACACACCCACGGAACAGCGAGCGAGCGTGTGCAGCGAGCACCAAGCCAGCGGGGCTCGCCCAAGCCAGGCCTGAAGACGCGCCAGCCGCGCGTGCCGAGCGGCAGAGGCGTCCCGGTGGTGCAGTCGGCTGGACCGGGGCGTCGTCGCCGGCGGCCGCCGGGCGGCGCTCACAGCCACGACACGTTCACGCGCCGGCTGCCCATCAGCTGGTCGTTCAGACGGATCAGCTGCTGCAGGAAGCCGTCGTTCGGGAAGATCTCGCGCCGCGCCCTGCCGACGACACCGGCCGATGAGAGAAGCGTGGCACCGGCGCGCGCGCTGGCTGTTAAGGACGCGGCAGGATCACGTGTGTCACGAGAGTCTACACTGAACCATTCTACCTCGCGTCGACCACCAGGCGACGTCGCACGGCTTCGCGTCGTCCAGTCCTGGTGGTGTCACCGCATCGCACCCGACCGTCTATGCAGTGTGTGATGGTCCGCCACGGAGGCCCCCTGACGACCCGCAGCGCCGTGAGCGCAGCCGGCGCCGCCCCCCGTACCTGACGGTCTGCAGGGCCTGCGAGAGCGGCATGTGGAGCTTGATCATCAGGTAGGCGATGACGAGCGTGGCGGAGCGGCTGAGGCCCTGGACGCAGTGTACCAGCACCTTGCCTGCCGGCGACGGGTCGCGGTCAGGGTACGTCGGGGCTGCGGCGCGACCGCTGAGCTCGCGCCTGTCGCCGATCTCGCCAGGCCTGACTCATTAGGTACCGTTAAGGATAGACATTCATTAAGGTCTGTAAGGCAAGTAACAGGTGACGGAGTGTTTGGTAGACGAGCAATGTGCAAGTAAATATTTATCCGAGTGGTTGGACACAGTTATGTAAAACACTTGCTGGCCTTGGTGCCCGGTTCAGAGGCATGCCAAATGTGCTTTCTAACGGCAACAAAGCGAGCCAGCGACGTTTTCACGGGGACGGGGTCAGCACACCCAAAAAGTGCATGCGTTCGTGATGTTGACAGGAATGCAACAATGGGACCCAGAGTCGAGCGGCGGCCCCAGACCGTACCGTGACTCAAGTCCAAGCCATGCAGCAGTCTCGCGCCTGCAGCTCGCTCCACTCAGCCGATCTGCTGCAAACCCGCCACTGCAGAAACAGAGGGGAAAAACGTGGCGTGCATTCGGGGCGGTAGGTGACCGGACTTGTCACTGTCGCCCGGAACCGTGGACCGGTCCCGCCTCTAGGGCCGCGGCGGCCCGGCTCGACTCCGTCACACCAGCCGGGTCGCCGAGGTCGGGTGCCGGGGTCTGCGGGAGCGGCGATGCCACTGAGCTCTGCGGCTCGACTCCGGGTAACGCCGCCCACTCTGCGGCCGGCCGTGGACCGGCACCAGCCCGTGCAGCCCAGCTCGGTCGTAAGAGCGGTCGGCGACCTCCGTCCCGCCGGGCGCGGCGGCGGCCCTACCGTGGCGCCGCGAGTCGTGGATGAAGTCCGCAGCGACCTGGAACCAGTCGTCCAGGTGGTACCAGTCGGCGTCCAACGCGCGCACCGCCATGAACCTGACCGGCAGGCCGCGCCGCTCGTAGAAGAAGTCGTCGGTGTCCACCAGGTACGGCTGGCCGATACCGCTGGCCGCGTTAAGCACGGCTGTCACGCCCAGCGCTCGCAGGATCACCACGTCCTTCGCCGTCCAGCTGCCGGCATCGGACACCAGGTGGCAGCGGCGGCGCGCTAGGTGGCGCTACGGTCGCCGTCGCCTCGCTGCGAGGAGAGTGCCCGCAACTCGCCATGAGAAAAGCAGCGGTTAGAGAAGCGGTCGCCTGATGTGTGGTAGAGAATATTCTGAGGGAAGACGGACAGTCCGCAGATCAAAATATTTTTTCACGTGGTCACACACGGAGTGGATCGCTGCCTACTTGCCGCATAGAGTAAACCAGCACGCAATTGCACGCGATATTTCACCCTCGAGAGGTTTCAAAGACGATGCCAACCCATGGATTTCCTCTCCACGGATCCCCATTCCAGCTTGACGTTCCACCAGCAGGGATCAGCCCTAGGCTCCCTGCAGCGGCGGTCGCCGGTAAGGGCCGGTTCGCGTGGCCGCATCATGCCGCGGTAGGCCGGACCGATGCTCCGGCACGGCGCCGTCATCGCAGCCGTGGCCGCGCATCCATTGGACGGACGGCGGTGGCTGGTGCCGCACGTGCTGGGAGGGGGCGAGTGCCGTGTACACGGTCTTGTGGGACATCGACCGAACCGAGCTGGACCGGACGGACGACGGAGGTGAGTCAGCTGCTTGTCCGCCGCGCAATTGTGCAACAAGCGATTGCTCTCTTGTGACATGCTTTCCGTCGCTTTGCATGGTTTATGTTACCGGAAAAAATCACTTATTGGCGGTTTCCATGGTTCGTTATCGTCAGCGTTATAACTTGACCTGGGAGGGAGCGCAGGCGTGTGGGGGGGGGGGGGACACGCGCCCCCCTAGGCCCCGAGGAAGCGACGATCAAGGTCCGATTTGAGCGCTCAAAAAACTGGCCGGAGGTCGTATTAAGAGGACCCCAGCTGGGGGAGCAGTCTCTCAAATGTCAGTTAGAGGGCCCTTTACGCCGACCGGGGGCCCAATGTGTCGATAAGGACCTCTGTCAGTCAGGTACCACCAGTGCTGAACAGTCGGCTCGGCGTCGGCTTGGGCCTGAGGGCTTATTTTCCAAGCAGGGAAGAGTCGGGATCCGCGGTTTACATTTGCATTTGACATTTGAACGGATCGCAGTTTCCCTTAAGCCGAGCGGCGTCCGTCGCTTCAGCTAACGCCACACAGCGGGCGGCGGGCGCGCCGTGGGCACGACCGTCGTCAAACAATGGCTCCAAAAGTCTTCAAAAATCAATTCGTGACGTTGAAAGATTAGATGGGTATATATTTGATATGCTACTTTGAGGCTGCCCTCTGAACAGGTTGGCATTCGCAGCAACACGAAGAAACGAGATGCTACCTGTGCTTTTCCAGTACCAGCACCCTAGTCTAGAGGCCCGTTAGCGGTGCTGGAAATGCTAATCCCTTCCTATCATTAATCTCGAAATGGCCCCCCTAAATTACACTCCCGTACTACCTTACAAACGTATGAACTGACGTTCAAAAGCATTAGAGCATGCTTCTCTCAGATACGCCATCGTATTAAGTATTAAGAGGACCCCAGCTGGGGGAGCAGTCTCTCAAATGTCAGTTAGAGGGCCCCAGCTGAGGTCCTCTAACTGACTGACTTCCATCCGTTGGCCGCCACCTAGTGTTGGCCGCGGGGCCGGCGTCGCACGCTGCGAGCGCGCGTGTTCTAAACTAAGTTGCACATTTTTTCTATATTCGATTCTGAGCTAAGTTTAAACATTCGCAGACAAACGAGGCCCAGTCACGTCAATGATTTTTTATCCAATTTTGACAGACGGTCTGCGTTAATGGAGACCATAATTATGTCTGTAAAACCCATCACAACATCCGGCAAAGCCCCTGAGTACTGTCGGTTCAGGAAGAGTCCAGTGAACTAAGGTAAAATGAAGAGTGTCGATAATTTATACCCTACAGCCGGTTAATACCTGGTTCACAGTTCATTGCCTTCAAAATGCAAGCAGAATTACATCTCCCGATGTCTTCTGACTTCTCTTTCAGTAAGAGTATAAAAATAAACTAAATCACAATAATGGCCTCTCGAAACCAAGTGGGCCATGCCCGGTGCTTTTTTGGGAGGGGTCACCATCAGGTCCACTCGTCAACCCTGTGCCCCCCCCCCCTCCCTTATCAGGAGAGGGGGAGGCTACGCCCCTGGACCTGGCTCTATACATCAGTCGTTCAATGACGTCACGCCCATGGCGAGTAACATCCCCAGTGTCGGTCGACCTACGGAGCAGCGTCGACCACAGCGCCGTCCAAGGCTAGTGCTTCGATCGTTTCGGATTATGATGCAGATCCTCCTCGAAAACAGGACAGATGGGCCCAAATACCGTGTCCAAAACGAGCCGGACAGACACTCCATCAGCACGCAGGGCCCAGACGGTCGCGTGGCGCCTCCGACAGGGCCGCCGAGTGAGCGGGTGGCGTGGACGCCGGTGGCACGAGCGGCACCGGCCGCCGGTCCCAGCCCACGTAACCCTCGCCCGGGCGAGTCGAGCGGATCGTCGATAGGCTCGTCCGCTTCCGAGAACGGCCCGGCTCGGGCCTGACGCCAGCTGGAGGTCAGCAAACAGCCCACCCGAGGCGGTGCCGGCAGCGTGCAGGCTGCGGTGCTGGCAGCGGCCAGTGGCTCAGCACGAGCATGCTGCTGAGGAGGCGCGACCCTCGGGTCGGCGCGGCGACGGGCTGGCAGGGGGCGGCGCAGGGTTAGTGCAGCACCGGGCGAGGCGGCGCCAGTCAGCAGGCAGCAGCGGCGCCAGATTAGATCGCAACGCCGCCGCCGGCCCGGTCCGCGACCAGCGGCGGCACCGGCCGTCGAGGCGGCGCCCCACCGTTCTGCTCCAGCGCCGCCGCGATGAAGTCGGCCGCCTCCTCGAAGTGCACGCAGATGTTGCACTCGCGTGTGTCCACGGCCGGCACGCCCAGGAAGATCATTCCCGCCGCACTGTAGAAGCTGGCCCGCGTGCGCACGTAGCAGCCGGCGTACGTAGCGTTGTCGCGGCCGTGCGCCGCGTTCAGCACGTGCGTCACTTTCAGCGAGCGCAGGACGGTCAGGCTGAGCGCGGTGGCGCTGAAACGGGCCACCGGCACCGTCGAGCGTCACTGGTAGGCGCGATAGGCCCATATCAGGGTGTAAAGATGACGTCATAACCGGCGGGTATATTACTGCGTATTTCTTTTCGTGCTTGGATTTTTTTCTTCAAATTACGTATTCTTCGGCGGTACTTCGACAAGTCATCGATGTTTTAATACACTGCATGCCACATTTTGCTGGGACATTCACAAGATCATTTTTGGCGCTGGGCGCATTACGGACGTCAATGGCTAAGAGTTGCGCGAATCGTGTATTCCAATGCCTGGCCGCAGGAACCTTATTTCAATGATGTAATGCCCGAAGTTCGGGACCAGGGGGAGTCGCTCCCCTGAGTCGATTGGTTCCGCGCCTGACCAATATGACTTCCCTGCCACCCGATGATAGCACGACGGCGTGCCTGTAAACAGCGCAGGCTCATGGCTTTGCATTCATGAGACCCACGCTCGCGAGCTTGACAGATCTGAATTGCCTGGAGCGATGGCTAGTAAGAGTGACTACTGAAACCTGACACGAAAGGTCCCAGGCCTCCGTCACCCTACCAGTTAGACGCTTTCTGCGGTGTGAGAAGAGCGAAGCGATTAAAAACATGATGTTGTTGGCGCATACAGATAGTGCTTAAACATAGGTGAATCCAAACACGAAGCCCGCCGCCCTGGGTAACTTGCACGAATGACATGTAAACTGGCAAAGTCTCCTTCCCTGAGTTTGAAAAACAGAGACGAGCTAACGATGGCGTCTGCCCAGAAACTCACATGCATAACTTCAAGAACTGGCTGGCTGTGGATGTGATGGCCTGACGGTTTTTGGCTATTGTGACCCCAGTAATATGCGATGCAAAGCATGGGAGGGGGGGGGGGGAGTGGATATTAGTTACAATGCGCACGGCTGCAAACAGGCACAGTTTTGATGGTTCAGTCTCCGCCAAGTTATATTCTGCAGCTATTTCGGAATTTGGAAATTTTTGGCCTCCCCATGTAAATGGAACGGGACGGTAAACGGATGGCGACATTGCAACATTGTGTACATACGAAGGGTCGCAATGCTGCCTGCCCGTCCATCGTTGTCTGGTTCTTTTACACGCCTTGCATATTTATGGCGTCTTAAAAAGCATATATTTTGGGTACGTGCGAGGGTCAGAGCAAGGCAGGCGGGTGAGCGCGAGGTACCTACAACCGGATTCACGTTCATGGCGAAACACCTGGACAACAATGCATCGTGGCTGCCGCGCTCGAACAAAATGTACCCGCTCGAAATTCGAGCGCCTGATCCCGAGCGAGGCCCGACCCGACTAATCTGCCTTCGGCTTGAACAGAGGTAACATTCGCAACTTCAGCGGCTCGTTTAGCCTGGCCTTCATGCTTGTTAGAAGCGATGTCTCCGCATCCGATGATCGCGGCTTCGTGCAGGGTTCAGCAGCCAGAAGTGTGATCATTTCAAGCGTAAGTTGCGTGACTTTTAAGGTATTTACACACAAGCTGATCAGTTGACATTCTAAAGACGATGCATTAAGTGCAGTAGTGTAGCCTGCCTCGGTCGATTAACAAGGAAAGCGTACAATTTGCTAATGACACGGGTCCAACACAGGTCCAGGTCTGAGGCGGAGTTGCAGCGCCACGAGACCAACGCCGTATGACAACTTAAGGAAGAGATTAAATACAATCGCAATGGTAAAACTTTGGGTTCACGTGCACAGGCAGGACGGAAACCCCGATTGCAACCGCCTTCGGGGGACCGCCTCATCTGCGGTCCGTATTTCGCCACCTTCGGAGACGCAAGGGACGGGGGACCCCGACAGTTATGTGCAATCTGCGCCTTAGAAAACACTAGCGACGGTGTGGCTTACGTGATTTACGAGTTGAGTTACGTCATATTGTCACATAATTTATGGTGACCTGTCAGGAGGGATCCAAAGCGATAGCGCACAGCCTTTTACCGTCTCGACCGTGGTTCGCAAATGTAAGCATGTAAGCAAATGTAAATGTTCGAGTAAGCACCATACAAGCCAGACCAGGCCTCAGTTTATTTCCAAGGGCTAGTGTGAAACTATTCGAGAACATTACATGACTTTTCATGACCTTTTCTTTGAAAGATCTTCCACGTACGGTCGTCATGCACGATGGTATTAAAATGCGCCGTGCAATACTCATTAACAGTATTTTGAGCAGCTTTGAAGGCTTTGTCCGACATATCACTTGACCGCGAATAGCCATTGCACCACCATTGACAAATGTCAGTCACCGGCTCATGATACAATGGGTTTAGAGGCCTGATGTGACGAATTTTCAAGATTTGATCCGTTGTGACCGTGATCTCGAATTGCCCCCTCCAAGGTCACTGGCGATGACGACGTTCGGGGCATTAACACTGCACACCTGCAGATCCATGAGACAAAAATGCGGTACACCCAAAGAAAGGAAGACGTCGCGAAGAGTGGATTTTTCCCATTTTCGCAGCGCAGAGCCATTGCCAGAACGAGATGCTGGATCAGTGATCTGACAGGGTAAATGTTGAGATTTTCGGATCGTGAGTCAAATTGCCTACAACATAGCTTCCCTCTTTTTAAAATAACGCACCAAACGATTGGGAGCGACCTTCGGAAAATCGCTTGAGGTCGCATCTGCCTCCTGTGCTAGTGAAAATTGAGAATCGGTGTCAGACCTGCGCAGTCGGGACACGTTAAGACCTGAACCCACCTCCAGGCGTAGGAGAATGCGCCGTCTGCAGGTCAGTAGGCGGTCTCAACAATGTCCGACCCATAACAACGGCGACGACAGTGATTGACCTGGAGGCGGTGGTCGCCGTTCCCTTACCCGATCTCGCATTCGTCCGCGGTCTTCACCGATATATTGGGAGTCGCAAACCACACGGTGTGTAGCTCGGATCCCTGTGACTCAATATTATCTTGACTAGCCCCCCCCCCCTTTGCAATACATTGAGAGCAGTCACCATAAATGATAAAGGAAGTGTTCCACATTTATATGGGCTTTAACTGATATAGCTATCTCCAAGACCTTTCGGTGCTGTTCACAATCCTGCCCCTTTTAAGACCTACGCCTCCCCTTGTTTCTGGGCCACACTTCCACGGAAATGGGGAAAGGTATATCGGGCAGAGTATTTCGAAGTCACCTTGACATTCATAACATCATAATAACGTCGTTCAAATCTTGTCATTCCATAAGCTCCGCCGCCTTAGTCTTTGCCATCACCTGGCAGTGATCGCGTCAGTGACCAGCTGGCCCGTCCTAAATCACACAGGGCTTCTCACCAGCCACCTGTCACTGAGCGACCCTCAGCCGTCTTCACATGCTGCTTAGTCAGCGGTCCTCCACCCGGTCCCCTGCACCACTGCAGGTTGATAAGCCCGAGCCTCTATCCCTGCTGTGTCGGTGACGTGTTGACCTCCCGCGACTCTCCCCCTCCGCATGTTAATGATGTAACGCACCACCTCCGGTCCCGGCACACAGCTGTCCGTACCGTGCTGTTGTCCAGGGGCGTAGGAACCCTGGGGCTGAGAGGGAGTGGGGGGGGGGGGGGGGGGGGCTGCCACTACCAATTTTCCTGAAAATTCGGCATTCGCCCAACGGACATCACCTGGAAAGAAATCATCAGAGAAGGGTTTCGCTCCCTTCCCCATGTTAGCAGATATACCGCTGTCCCTGATATCGCGTGCCTGACATCTGGCTTGACTGTCTCACCTGCACGTGTACCGACGCCGAACACCGTGCGTCGGCGAGGCGATACCCCAGTGACCTCACTTGACTGGCGAGGCTAGCCCCTCCCCCTCCGGCCGCTCCACCTATGAGGAAGAGGCTGGCTGGCTCGTCACGCGCTGTCCCGTGCCATGACCCCGACAGTGAGCCACCAGACCGTCTCCGCTTTTACGGCGTGACTCACCGCCGCGCGGAGGCTATTAGTGGTCCCGGCGACGGTTGTGCCATGTGGACGTCACCGGTTAACATTGTTATATCACATTGTTCTATCCGTGTCAAATGTGTCTACGATGACCACATATTAAACGGGCCAAATGGACTATCTAACGCTGTGGCACATAAACACGACCTGAGTCCGTAAGCGCTTCTATATCGGGCGGCGCGAGCAGACAGGTGGACAGCTAATGCTGACATTTCACGGTCAGCTTGCAATAAGGATTGATTTAATGATCACTTGTAGTTAAATAACGCTTATGGACAAAAAGCGCAATTGCCAACGGGTTGTTCATTTGCGGTAAAAATGAGAGCTGGATACAAGTGCTGTGATTTTGTGGCATAAGGTCACGCTTAGTGAGAAAAATCGAGACAATGCCGACCGACTGAGTTTCCTTGCATACCAAATGTCTGTTATTGAAACGCCTTCAGCATGTTGGTCCGAGCAAAGCTGCACTGTGCGAATGCCGGCCGAGAGCAGCCATGACCGGAGACCCATCTAATTGCATTACATCATCGATTCCAGCCCACATATCTCTTTGTGAAGGCCAGTTACAGTCTTACCGTGCTAGATAAGACAGACGTAACAGCCTTACTCCTAGTGGAAAACCAGGAGAATGGGATATATATATATATATATATATATATATATATATATATATATATATATCCATATATATATATATACATATATATATAGGGATAAAGAGATGTCTCCTGGTTTTTCTACCAGGAATAGGGCTATTCGTTATGTCTTATCTGTGTGCGTAATATTCCTCGCAAATGCACTTAACAACACTCTACTGTGCTATAGTTAATTTATTTTATAGCTGACAACCCTGCCGTTATATGGTTGGCAGTTATCTAGAGCGTGAAGATCAGAGTGCCACCGTGACTCGACCGTCAGCCCTTGGCCAGTTCAACAGAAACTGATGGCGCTCGGTGATCTACAATGTTTGAACATCAGCATCACATTTCCTAAGGCCACAGCCGCACAAGTTCGACCCGAAGGCCAAGGCCGTGGATCCAAACAAATAACGTAAGCTAACCGCGTTGACGGTGCCATGGTAACTTAGTCCTAGGACTTTCATCATTGTTTAATCAATGGCGTCGGACAGAACTCCCAGCTTGCAAAGGTACCGTGCTGGGACACTATGAGTTTGAAGTTGTGTTGAAAATAATCGACATACGGCAGGCCGGAAGGTGCTGGTTGAAAGCTAGAAAACACGGCGTTTCGAAGCGGTGCTCGTGCTCTTTTTAAGACTGTTTGCTTGATAACGTCGGTAAAGCACTACTTCCTGGTAAAATGAGGGCCGAGTAGTTTTAACACAGCTACCAACTCCTTACGTTGTACAAACGGGGAGCTCGAACCGTTCCTGCTTGTACCAAGTGACGGGTCACCGCAGCGGATTTCCTACCAAAGCGGTCGACGTCATTACAGCTCATCACATATGGACAGAGCGACTGTTGGCGCTCTCGGGTGCCTGACTCCACGGCATTCGGAGACCTGTGAAATTGGGACTGGCACGGCCCCAGCTCCGCAGTGAATAATGCACGGCGACCGCTCTCAAATTCCAAGCACTGGGCCAGCGTCGCAGTCGCGGCCGGAGGCCACCCGCGGCTGTCTCAGTATCTGGTCCAGTCACAATAAATGTTCAGTCAAAATCGGCATCACGCATCTATCCGTAACAGGTAGCGCAATATTTATCTGCGCACATATACTGTACGGTGGTGGGCTACAACAACGCCCGGCTCAGTCAGGGCGCTGTCCCCGCTCCGTCCGCGCCCGACCTGCTCACCCGTCGTCCGCGTCCGAGCTGATAATCCCCCCCCCCCCTCCCGTTCGCGCCCGACCAGCTTACCCCCCGTCCGCAACCGACCTGCTAACCTTCCGTCCGCGCCCTACCTGCTCACCCCCTGTTCGTGCCCGACCTGCTAACCCGTTGGCCGCGCCCGACCTGCTCACACCCTGTCCGTGCCCGACCTGTTCACCCGTCGTCCGCGCCCAAGCTGATCATCCCGCCCCTCCTGTCCGCGCCCGACCCGCTCACCCCCCGTCCGTGCCCGACCTGTTCACTCGTTGGCCGCGCCCGACCTGCTAACCCGTTGGCCGCGCCCGATCTGCTCACCCCCCGGCAGCGCCCGACCTGCTCACCCGTCGCCGATGTAGATGCCAGGGTACACCTCGTCGTACGGTTTGGAAGGGAAGGCGATCCTGCCGTGGGAGGGCGCCACCAGCATGTCGCGCAGGTCCTCCACGGTCAGCGGGGAGCGGATGTCGCGCCAGGCGTTCCTGTCCGTCCTCTCCAGCAGGCCCCGGCTGGCGGCCACACGGGGCGGCGTGAGGCGCCCGGCCACCGCACTCCGGCAGCGACAGACGCCGCTGGTCAGACACAGGCGCGCGCTGGCCACACAGCTGGCCGTGATGTGCAGATGTGCAGACCAGATTAAATGCAAATCAGACAGGTTGCACTGATCGGATACTACATACGAGTCAATAGAAAATGGGCCAGCGAAGAAAATGATAGCAAACCTGTACGGTTTCAATCAAAACTATAGGTAATGATGTGGATAGGATACGACGGTGAATGAGAGATACACTGGATGGTGATATAAGAACATAAACATAGAAAAGTATAGGGGCTTCAATTAGCACATGACATAGTGGTGCATAAGTTTAAAAATACAGGTATAGGACAACCATGGCAAACAAAATTGGCTGTTATCAGATCTGAAGCAATCTATGCAGACCAGATAGAGTCGGAGAGCGTTGTAAAGTCAAGTGCTGCCGCAATGAGACCATCATCACACACTGTGCTGTACTCGCACCTCTGCTTATGAATTCCTCTCATGCCTGACTATGAGTTCCGCTGTTAAACTACCTGAGCTACAACTGAGTATCACTGGGCTGGGACTCCCAACCCCTTCAGAGAGAATCTCAGGACGCTCCCACCTACAGTTCCAACGGACCGGCGCACCTCGCGCGGGACTGTACCTGCTCATGGTGGCTGGCGGCGTGACCCCGGCCGGCGTCCCGCAACACGGCTCCACCCCTGACCCGGACGACTGCTGAGCCCCGCCGCGCCCCACTCTTGGCAGCGTCAGCGCCTGGACGCCTGGTGGCGGGCGCGGCTGGAGCGGTCCGTCCGAGCTCTGGCCACACACTGAGCGCCTGGTCGGCCGGCTCCGCGGCCCGCCGCCCGCCGACCTCACCCTTCCGTCGGTGTATTCTCGGTGCAGCGCGCGTGGGAACGCCGTTGTCCGCTGACGCGCCGCCGCCGACCGCCGGCTGACGACCGTCCGTGTCGCTGCGACCCGCGGCCGTCCGGCTGGCGCCAACCCTTCAGCAGGTGTCAGTCCGCGCCGACAGGCGGCGGCCGCCGCGCGCCGCGACCGGCCAGAGTCGGAACACAGGTGGGGCTGCACACATCGGTCGTGTATTGGTACGCCTTGCCAACGTCTGCCACGCGTGCAGCACGCAACACCAGCCGAGCTTTGCTGAGCATAGCGTGCGCCAGGGTCGAGCATTTAAAAGCGGGCGCTGCCAACAGGCGACAGCACGATAGCCTCCGCGGCAGGCGCGGCGGTCAACAGGACTGGCCTCGGGGTTCGCGGCACGCCGAGCGAGCCGGGCGCGCCGGCTGTCTCACGGTCACGTCACCTGCCAACACCGGCGCCCACCCGAGCTGTGCTACCGTGCCGCCCGGCGGGGGCGGTCACCGGCCACGACCCCTGAAGGTGTTACGGCGCCGTCTATCCGGCAGATACTGCTGAATGACATGCTGAAGCTCCAAAAGGTCATCTCGTCTTTCACCACAAAATCCCTTCATTGATGACTGCGTAGTCCGTGGACCCACAGCACGGTTGAGCTGTGAAGGACGCGGCACGGTCACCTGGGTTTCCTCACCCTTAAATCAGTCCCTGCAGTAGCTGCACATAACACACGCTGCTCCCCAGCCAACCCGGCGGCCCTCATCAGCGGTAGCAAAGCTGCAGAGCCCGAGCTGAGCCGACGATTGAGAGACAGGACCAGTCGGCCCGCACGCCACCGGTCACGCTAGGCCGAAATCACAATCGGCCCTCTACGACGCCGCCAGGGCGAGAACTATGCCCACATCACAGCACAAATCGACAGGGTTAGTCATTGCGAACAGCCATCACGCCGGCCTGCCATGCGACACACATCCAAGCCGCCGCCCCAGTGGCGCGTCACCAGCGCGAACGGCACAGCGTCGCTCGCAGCCTGCCTCCGGGTAGGTCGGCCCGTCCAGACCGATCGCCGGCCGCCAGAGCCCCGCTATCGGCGTGACAGGCGCCGGCCGGACCGGTTCGGCCGGCGCCGCAGCTGGCGCGCTGGCGGACCGCCAGCGGCGCTATTTCGGTCGGCGGCAGCACGTGCGCGCGGCGCGCCGTCGCCGCTGCCGGCCCGGCTCCGTCGACGCGGCACTGCGGCGTCATCGCGGTCTTTGTTTGCCTTTCCAGTGTCGATGGCGTGGCGCTGCCGCTGACGTCGCGATGGTGCGCTCCATACAGCAGCTCGTGGAGGCGATCTTCGAGTTCCAGGTGAGCCCGGCGCGGGCGTCCAGCTCCAGCGGAGGTGTGAGTCTTGGCGCGGAGTGACGCAGTTCTCGCGGCGTGCCTAGGACCCGTGTTTGATATAGGCAAACCCTGGCGCGACAGATCCGCGACAGCACAGCTACTGTCAGAATGATTGGAAGGGGTATCGAAGCCACGCTGATGAGTATTTCCGAAGCCGGGCGGTGCATTACGCTATGCGGCACAACCCTGCCAACGCGCTCGGGAACTTTCCAGAAACTGCGGGCTTAACACTGGCTGCTTGCCATTTTTCGTGCCACACTGTCGACGCTATGGAAAGTACAGCAAAATTTGGGACAGGAAGATACATCGGCCGACAGTTTTCATCACCATTGCTCTGTGGAGTCTACCGTCCAAAGGCAAAAAGGCCTAAGCGCCAGTGGGTAAAATAGCCCTCGGGCCTTTTTGCCTTCGGACGGCAGAGGTGTGCAAATTCAACGTGGATGGCGGGCAACGACATGGAGAGCAAAAAAACAAAAAACAAAAAAACGCAAAAATACAACAGGGCGGAAAACGAGTATGCAACTCTGGTGCACTCTACGCTGGAAATCAGTGCAGTGGCCCGGCTGACAGCCCAACAAAACATACAGGCGTTGGCCAAACGTTTCCTGCTGTCAACAACCAGCTCCGTCCCTCGTACCCCCCGCCCCCCACAACTACGCCGCTCACCATTCTGAACTGAGTTGGTTGGTTGGTTATTTGAGCTTTAAGGCGCATCGCTTTCTTGACTGAACAAAAGAGCCAAGCGCCCCTAAGATCTTCGATCAGCGACAGAGCTCATTGTGATGCAAGGTTCTTGTTGTCCCCCGCCCCCGCCCCCTCCCCCACTCCCGTAACCGCTAGGTCGTTCACATGTTTGGCCGCCAACCACGACAGCTTCGGCGGTGGGTCGCGCGCGGCCGATCCGCACAGTCCTCGCCGCGCTGGTGCTCAGTCTTCTCTCATGGCTGCTGCCTGCGGCGAGATGACCGCCAAGCCCATGATGCAGTGATTTTGGATGAGCCAGGGGCGGGAAAGCCCACACAATCATCTGGTCCGGGCCATCTCCACTGGGCCTCCTGCGGATCGAAGGCACCGACCTGCACCGCCCGAGACGGCCTCGATCAGCTGCGCCCCAAGCCGTCGCCACGGTGGCTAAGACAGAGCCCTCAGTCGCCCGGCCTGGCGGCGTTGGCCAGGTGTCGGCGCGCGTGCTTGACCTCCAGTTTCCACATGTCGCGGTGCACGTCCGAGAGGGGCGTGATCTTGATGGCCAGCAGCTCGGGCGGGCTGACCGAGCAGATCTCGCCAATCACCATGCAGTACTGGCCTGTCGCGGAGCGGCGGCGCCCGGTCACGGGACAGGCTGCGGACGACGGACCGACACAAGGTCCAGCCGTCGGTGGCGGCGCGGCAACGCGGCACCGCGGCTGAGTCCAGAGAAACGAGGTAGGGGGAGCGGTCCAAGGGCACAGCAAAGTGCATACTGCACAAACAGGTCAGCTAGAAAGGCGAAGTCAAAGGACCATTCCAAATATAAATTTAAATTTAAAGAACTCGTGAGTTTGAAACTCTCCATTGATTAAAATGCTCTTCATTTTTCTGATGCCTACCTATCATTAAAAGGACATTGCAAACTACAATATAGTTCCCACCCCAAATGTCAGCACAGAACTTCCCACAAAATATCTTTGTAACAAGGTTTGTGACAAGCAGACATAGTGAGGCATAAAATATTCAAAAGCCACATTCGGAGCAAAGCGCAAATAAAGGCAACTGGTCACAGAAGATAAACAAACACTTTGCTAACAACAGCCCATGACATGGAAGTCACGGGCAAGGGCTTACAAACCAGACATCTCAGGCCTCCTTCCACTGCATCTACCATAACATGGCACACGACAGTAAGCCTTACTGGGCTCACCAGCTCATATGCATTGACCACCACTCGGCACCGGTGGCAGACCCCGCCAGTCCCGCCCATATGCAGCCACTCGGCACCGGTAGCGCTCCTCCTCCCCGCGCCAGCCTCACCCGTTTGCGGCCACTCGGCACCGGTAGCGCCCCCCCCCCCCCCCCAGCCAGTCTCATCCGTCTGCAGCCACTCGGCACCGGTAGCGCCCCCCCCCCCCGCCAGTCTCACCCATATGCAGACACTCGGCACCGGTAGCGCCCCCCCCCCCCCCCCACCTGCCAGTCTCACCCGTCTGCGGCCACTCGGCACAGGTACCGCCCTCCCCCCCCTCCCCGCCAGTCTCACCCGTCTGCAGCCAGTCGCTGCCGCCGGGCACCACCGTGCAGCCGAGCAGCTGGACGACGCCGGTGCCGTCGTCCAGGGAGGCCGCGTCGCGGTCGGCGGCCACCGAGGCCAGCTGGCCCTGCAGCCAGACGACGCGCACGTCCAGACTGCGGTCGCCCGCCGACAGCCGCCAGGCCGGCCCACTGGCACTGGTGACGGCCCGGCAGCGGCTCAGCTCACTGACCAGCAGCTTATAGGCGGGGCAATCCATGGCCGACGACATGGCTGGGAATGGCTGCAATAGTGAGGAGGATTACACTATGGTTCATGGCTAGCATAACACTCATTTGGCAACACTTGTGTGCACTCATTCACAACATTTTGTTCTCAAGTTCTAACTTCCTGCTTCTTTTGGATTCATACATCTTGTTTGTACCCCAGGTGCTTCAGACATGATGAGCTGATCTAGCCCTGAGCTTGGGATACGTAATACAGCAAAATCACCCACATGTTTTTTGGTTTTTCCCCAAAACATTACAGTAACATTAAAGATGAAGGAAGCACACCCTGAAACCATACACCCATATGCATACAAACCCATACACACCTACACACATACCTTACCAACACACACAACACATACATCACAAAAAGTAGCCAAACCAAAAACAAAGTACAACCTGCATATTCCAAGCCCCCTAAACATGGGCATAGATCAGACATAACTAACCATCACTTCTTAATATTGTAATCTTATGGTGGCATAAATAAGCATCTAAAACTTAGCAAGTGAATCTACTTAAAGAATCATCCCATTGGTTCTGGCTTAAATAATCCCTGATGCTATGCATGTGAAGTCCAATTTAAGCTTGTACTTCTGTCTGTTGGTTTGTTATCTACCTGCTCTGTGAATATCATTTTAAAGCATGAACAAGCTTAAGGGAATAATAGCCAATATCATTTGTTTACACACCTCTGTACCATACAATACCTATCAGCTTAAGCATTTGGAACTAACCAAAATATTGTTTTAAATATAGCTTAGTTGGCCTCCACACAATCTGTGCACTGATTATAAGGTACACCTTTACAATCCATATTAGCCCTCAGACCTCCTTGAACAAACAATCTGTAAGACAGGGGTGTAGTTTCTTGTTCATTTGGGGGGGAGGGGGGGGGGGGCTTCAGCCAGCCTCGGACTTTGGGTAAGCTATTTCAGCCATTTGCCTGGCTATCTTCAGGGTAGCTTTTGCTATTTTGTATTATTCTTCCCCCCCCCTGGCTGAACCAACTCATTTAGTAAAACTGTGCCCCTGCTAAGGGACACAGCTTTAAGCTTTTTACAATTTATTGGATGTTGGAACAGAGCGCCACTCCTTTCCAATGAGGGCACAGGAAGTCCAAACACTAAGAAAGCAGATCAAAATCATGAAAAACACACTTTTGTGCATTTTGGGAGGTCTTTAAACATTTCCTCCATACAATTCTAGACTTTTTTTTTGAAACAACATCCCCAGCGATGATACAAGTTGTCAAGCACATTTTCAAGGAACATTACACATATAGATAAGACTGTGTCTTTCAACTCATCAGCCTTGTTCCTTATGCAATAATCAGGAGAGAGAAGAAATAGATGTATTAAAAAGCATGTAGCAAACATATTAATACAACAACAGCATTAATTGCCTTTTCACTCACACAATAGCAAAGAAGATTATAATTCTCTGAGAACTGCTGAAATTTCTCCATTTTCCTCTGTTCCCGAGTAATAAGGCTACTAATACTGTCACATCTACACACATAAAGTTGCTTGCAAATGTACTCAATAGCTTACATAGAATATCAATATGTCTGGCTCATTTTTCTGCTGGTTATTCTATTATGAACAGGGCTATATTACGCATTCTTGTTGATAGCCACAATTCTGTCGACGTCCTGAGTTTTCAAGCCGTGAAGCTCAATTCGGACTTCGTAGCCACTATTTCAGCTCCTTCTTGGAATAAAACAAGGCGCCGGTTGAATATCAAAATTTTGACACGGTACCACAAGAACTTCCAGCGTTGCGAATTTAGCAGGCAGACTGCATGCAACCAACCCTCAACCTGAGGCGATATATACCCCAAATCCGTACGCGAGTTGAACCTTGTGCGTCTTTTCAATGATCAGCTGATGGATGTTTATAACACGCTTTTACGTTTGTCGTCTGCTTCAATCCTTCTACCACAGACAGCTACGCTACTAAAATACGGAGCACGGTCAAAGCAAGGAATACAGGAGTTCTAAAACCATTTTTGGTTGCTTCTTTTTAATCAGCACCTGCAGGACTAATGGAGGACCTCAGCCCCCTTTGCTCTCAAAATCTTACGCTCCAGGGGAGGGGGGAGGGGGGCAGCTGATAAAAGCTAGAGGCCCATCATCTCTGCGTTTGAATACTTTGCCACCAGACTCCCTTTCTTTTGGCCGTACAGAACTCTATGGTAGGCGATATGAAACAGGCCACACGGCAGTTGCGCAAGTCGCATATTGCGCAGCTCGCGCTTCCAACAAAAATATAGCCCCCATTGAGGTCTCCACAACAAATCACGAGTTGTGAAGACCTGCATCTCAGCATCAACATTACAGATCAAGCTTTCAGAAAACGACTACGTAAGCAATTAGTTTTTTTCGTGTTCCTTGATCCGAGTGAATGTGACGTAATGAACGCGACTGGTGTTCTGGACCAATCCGACCCCGAGGGGCGTGCGTTGTTTTAGCTGTTTAGGAGGAGCGTCCCTGAGAGATTAAAAAAATAATCGGGACGCCAGCTGGGCGTGTGAGTTGTACGGTGGTCGCGGTATCCCACTTCTCGAGGGTGCGTTTGGAGAAGGGGTTGGACATTTGGGTCTATGAAGTGATAACAACTTTAAGGTGAGTTCAAGATGATGGCATGTGTCCGTGTTTTGTTATTGTTTGGTCTCAATGAAAAGGCAGGCCAACAAGGAAAGAAATAATCCTGTAATTGGTCTTTTGTCTGCTATGAACTTTTTTGCTGTCCTCGGCTTTTTCCAGAACATTTCTGGGACATTTGCTTGTTGTATGAATGGTCAATTGGAGCTCTGACATGAACAAAGTGTCACCACCACCCTGCTTTCTTGTTTATATGCATTTTTTGCTTGTTACTTGACCCATCAGTGATGTCTGACATGACCTCACCATATTTCACAGCTCTAATGTATGCAGTGATCTGGTCCCAAATAGCTTAGGTGTACAATATGCACTGCAGAGGTGCAACTGGGTACAGAGTGAATAGAGCACATTCTGTTTGTGCTCTCAAATTTAGGCATCAGCAAGTAACTTGGCACATTGTGCTAGCTCACTATTAAATCGTACTTTGTGTCTTTTTTTAATTTGCAGGAGCTGAATTTTGACTGCCGCATGTCAAACATTAAATCTACAGGGTACTGAATTGCCTGTAGTCATTCTCTAAAGAATGCCCTCACTGCATGGATGTGCAGAGCCTAGAGCTCAAATGCATCAAACTCAAGCCAGGGCAAGTTGTGCTGAATTTTTAAATTGTGTTTGCTTCAAATTGTGGGGAGAGGGTGTTCCTGCTTAAAGTCATCATAGCAATATGTTAATTCCTTAAAACACTGGCTCTATGTGTACCAAAATTGGTGGTGGTTGCATAAGGCTGGTGGCTCTCAGATCCTGTCTTTTTGCAGTGTGGCATTTAGTTGTCTTTGTTGCCAAAGGATATCATCTGAAAGATCATGGTTGATGACATCTCCAAGATATGCAATTCTTGGTAAAAAAGAGGAACATGGATTTGTTTACCTGAATATGGCTCTTGTTAGAGCTGAATTCCATATTATATATGATACCAAAATCCTCATACACTCAAAATATGTATAGTCTGCCTACTGATGATACTGTGAGATGTCATCTGTGCATTTGCTGTGATCAGTCAGCCTCTTTCTGCAACAGTCCATCACACATGAGCTAAATGATGAGCTCAAATCATCCCTACACATATTGAACAGGTGTGGTTGATTGTTATTTTGTTATTACTTGTGGGTGATTGAATAGCTCAATCTTTGAAAAGAAAATAATGTTGCACAGAATCTCAGTGATTTAAAGCAATGCAGGGAACATTTATTATGAGTGCCATCACAGGAAAGTAAGACAGATGGAAGATGTGAGGATTTGTGACAAAAAGCAACTTTGTAAAGAGCTTGATGATTTGAACTGAACTGGGCATGTGGAATCAGGCTGATAGGTTGTCTGGCATGTGTGTCATGTCTACTGGCGCATTTAGGTAGTATCTCGTGAGCAATTTTGATTTAGGAGCACATCATGGGACACATCAGCTGTGCTATCAGTACCTTTATCATGTCATCAGCAAGCAAATTGTATGCTCCAAGCTTATGATGAATTGCATAGCATGAAGAAGTATAGATATAGTTGATTCAATCTAGGTAATATTGAATGGTGACCTGTTGCAACTGAGCTTCATAATACTTGTGTCAGTTTTATGACACATTTGACAGGTAAGATCATTTGTCAAAAAGATATTTCACATGCATTTCTGCATCCCTGCTTTGTGGGACCAAGCTTGCAGCTGAGCTTGTATGCCACACAGTGTTCTGACATACTGTGTCCTGTCCCTCAGAGACGTAAAAGAGCAGCTAGAATGGAAGAAGAGCAATCAGATAGTTCTGTGGAGGAGCAGCCTCCCCCAGAACACTATGGATGCAAGCACTACAAGAGGAAAGCCAAGTTGGTGGTATGTTAAGCGTTGACCACCATTATGTTCAGAACAGTTAGCAGTTGGCTTAAACATCCTATGTGTGTACCATAAGGTACAAGTAGTCAAGATGTCAGCTTGGCTTTGCATGGAAGCATTCCTAGCACAGCTGTAGTGCCACAGTCACTTGGCTCAGGCAGATGCTCGACACACTATGCTCATACTCATTGTGACAGCAGGCTGCCATCTACTGGTCGGTGGGGTGTAATGGCAGGGTGGTTAGTACCGAGGCCTAACCGCTCTGTTAGTTAGGTTCCACTTTGGTGCCACAGTGCAAACCCCAATTGCCCCATGGTCCTGAGCACTAATATGGCCTCTATGGTCACTGGCATTCCATGAACAAGGTGTGCATTGAGGTGTGTCAAGCTCCACTTTTCTCGTATAAAGACAAGACATGCTATTTGGTAAGATCTTTGAGGTGTGATCAGTGTGTCATTAAATGTGTATGTGGCCAGCACACTTCTTTGTTGCAATTACTTCAAAACATTAAAAAATAACACTGGAGCTGCATTCTCAAGCCCAATCGCTTACAAGGGTTTTTATCACATTCAAGGTGGACATCATATGAAGTGAATTGTTGGAAGATTATCTGTGGCATTCATCAGCCAATGGTAACTGACTAACATTATAATTGGTTTGCCGCAGGGCTTCCTAAATTGAGTCATATTGTTGTGCGAAGCTGGCAGCGTCAGTGGGCTGTAGCTCCGGTCGTGTCCGACAGGCGCCCTGCTGTGGCAAGGTCTACTCGTGCCGGTTTTGCCACGACGAGGTGGAAGGCCACGAGCTGGACCGGAAGCAGGTGTCCGAGGTGGAGTGCTCGGCCTGCGGATTCCGGCAGGGAATACATCAGAGCTGCATCAACTGTGATATTGTTCTAGCCAAGGTGGGTCAGCTGTCGAGACCTTTGTGACGTATAGCTGGTGCTCGGAGGTGGTTTCGGTATGTGCAAACGTTCTACATTGATGATTAGATATTATGCTTCTTACAGTGTAATAAGCTGCCACGCGAACTTCCATAAGTGGTCAGAGCACTATGGAGACATTCTCTTAGGATTGCTTCAAGAAAACTCAGTGACAGCTAAACTACCAAAGGAAATTAAAGATGTAGTCGAGGAGACGCAGCGTCCACAGCTACCGGAGTCGCTTGGTGCCGGCCAGTGTGACCGCCGGCCGCCGTCTGTTTTGCAGTATTTTTGCGAAGTGTGTCGGCTGTACGATGACGATATGAAGCACCAGTACCACTGCGAAGGCTGCGGCATCTGCCGGGTGGGCGGCCGCGACAGCTTCTACCACTGCAACACCTGCGACATGTGCCTGCCCAAAAACCTGGAGAACAACCACAAGGTGGGGCCGGTGGCGACGGGGCCCTCCTGCTCACGTCAAGCTGTCGCTGCTTCGGGCGATGTGGGCAACGTACGTTCTGTGTGGGATTGTCACCAGCGTCGCGTGAAGCGTCAAATGACCGCTGCAGCCGACCCGCCCCCGAAATCAAAGCAGCATCCAGTATCGTGTGCGTTGAATTGCCAAGTGTCTCCGGGCGTCTCGTCGCACTGGCGCCTCTCCGCGTGGGTGAATCGCCCACCTGTTGCCACTCGGCGCATGAGAGTTGACCTGTAGCTCACGTTTGTGTGAGGAGCGCCTGTGCCATGCTGACATTCGCTGCGCTGGTACACTGTCTGATGCCATCCGGACATCCACTGCACTGGTACACTGTCTGATGCCATCCGGACATCCACTGCACTGGTACACTGTCTGATGCCATCCTGACATCCGCTGCACTGGTACACTGTCTGATGCCATCCTGACATCCACTGCACTGGTACACTGTCTGATGCCATCCTGACATCCGCTGTGCTGGTACACTGTCTGATACCATCCTGACATCCGCTGCACTGGTACACTGTCCGATGCCATCCCGACATCCGCTGCGCTGGTACACTGTCTGATGCCATCCTGACATTTGCTGCACTGGTAGACTGTCTGATGCCATCTTGACATCCGCTGTGCTGGTATACTGTCTGATGCCATCCTGACATCTGCTGCGCTGGTACACTGTCTGATGCCATCCTGACATCTGCTGCACTGGTACACTGTCTGATGTCATCCTGACATTCGCTGCACTGGTACACTGTCTGATGCCATCCTGACATCCGCTGCACTGGTGCACTGTCTGGTGCCATCCTGACATCCGCCATGCTTGAGCGCCGTCCGCCACTGTTGGTGCGCCGAAGTCATGGCCGGTGGCGGAGCGCATGTCCAGCGGCGGTGGGCCGGCCGGCGGCTGACGGCGGCGCCGGCCGCGCGCGCCTCTGCCGCAGTGCGTGGAGCGCGTCAGCCGGACTAACTGCGCCGTCTGCATGGAGGACATCCACACGTCACGTATCTCATCCCACATCCCGCCCTGCGGCCACATGATCCACAAGCCCTGCTTCAAGATGCTGGTCGACCGCGGCTACTACGCCTGCCCCACCTGCAACGTCGCCATGTTCAACATGGACTCGGTGAGTTGTGGCAGGGCTCGACACGCCACGCCAAGGACTCGGTACGGCACGCTAGGGACTCGGTCGTGCTTGTTGATAACATTGCCCTGTGCTTGTGTATTAGTGGCGTTGATCCTTGTGTCACTCGCCGGTGGCGACTAGTCGTAAAGTCATCATAAAGCAAAGGCAGGTAAGAGTCATCCTTGCATGTCCCCTTTGTTCACTTTCTTTGTTTCTGCCCTCTGTTAGTGGCATCGATGCCGACGTGCTGTCTTTGTTTGAATACGGACCACAGTGGCGGATGACGAGAGGCTGGAGGATGGGAATTGGGGGACAACACAGTTCCGATGATGTACAGTGCTGTTTACAAACTCCAACATGAGGTTGTGAACGCACTTGTCAAGTTAAAAAACACTAAGACAGCACGGTCGTGACGTTTGGTAGCACGTCTCCTCCCCGGACGCCGCTGTGGCCGCGGTCAGGCCGGCTTGGCCCGGCGTCCCGGCCTGGCGCGCGGCCCCGCCCTGCCGCTGGCGGTGAGGGGAGCCCCGCGGGCTGCTGCTGACGCGGCGCTCTGGCCGGCCGCAGGTTTGGACCAAGCTGGACCAGGAGGTGGTGGAGACGCAGATGCCGGCCCGCTACCGAAACTGCTACGCCAAGATCCTCTGCAACGACTGCCAGTCGAAGACGGTCACCACGTTCCACATCATCGGCCTCAAGTGCGGCACGTGCGGCTCCTACAACACGGCACGCGGCGACGGCCCGCTCTACAAGCGGAACGGTGAGTGACCGGGGCGTGGCGCCGGCCGAGCTCGTCACTGGGCACGCCGCTCCTGTGTCGGAAGGGGCACAGCCGGCATTGGCGGCGCGTGGGTCGGACTCTTCACGAGGGCGCCGCTCTCCGCGTGTGTGTTTGTGTACGTGTGTGTGTTCGATGGGGGGGGGGAGGGGGGAGGCAGGTCCGGCGTATGACACGGTCGGTGCTGCTGTCGGGCCCGTCGGACGAGAGGCGCATGGGGGCGGCCAGGCTGGGGCGTGTATGCTCTGCGGCCCTGTGCCGGGACCGGCCCGCTCTGACGGGAACCGCGCCGCCGACAGCCAAGGAGGAGCTGATCCCGTTCAGCGAGCTGGACGAGGACGAGCCGGAGGTGCGGCCGCCGCCGGCCGGACCGGCACCCGCCGCCGGCGAGGAGCACTGACCGTCGGCCGGCCGCTCGGGCAGCCAGCCGTCCCGGACACGCCGTCGACCAGCAGCGGCGCCAGAGGCAGCTAAACCGCTCCCGAGTGACATCTATTTACACTTTATATTGGATAGTGTGTGTGGTACTAGAGTAGCGGTAAATCGGCAGTGGACGATGGGCCGCGTGGAAGCGTGGAGGAGGCCGAAGAAGTAGAGTGCTAGTTCTCTGCGGCCCGAGATTGCTCCGAAACGTGTTCCTCGCGATGCCGCAGGCTTTTGCCGTTTTATTGACTGTCGCAGCCGGTAGATGTTCATGGATATTGAGTTGCGTCGACCATGAGAGTGCAATCGATCGGGTACCGGTTCGCACCGCCGCGCCTGCGCCGCGCACCGTCGCGTCTGCCAGCGGAGGCAGTCGCTGCGAGCCGGCCTGGACGGCTGAGCTGGGCGGAACGCCGCGGACCAGCGACGGGCAAGGCGTGCCGGGCGGCCCCGGCCGCTCGGAGCCGTGCGTGCCGCTCGGCCCCGGCCCTCCGGACGGGACGTCGGAGACACGGCAGCGCCGCCCGGCCAGGCGTCGTCACGCGCTCACCAGCAACGGCGGCCGGCTTTTATTCATTTTGGACATAATGAAGTCAAAGTCGGGTCGCCAGCTGTCCGCCGCAGAGTTCTGCTTAGTTTCACCGACTAACCGTTTCGCACTGTATTGGTTTACTGGGGCCGGTTGGCTGGCGAGGCGGGTCGTTTGGCGTGGCCCTTCCAGCACACGGTATCGAAGCGACGTGCGCAGGGTTTCGTTCGCGTTTATCAGTATGTGACGACCACGACCGCAGTTGTCCCCACGCCGAACGAAATCGGTTCAAATGCACTTCAAGGTAAGCCTTTATTAGCTTTAGTCGATTGCTGACTCCGTATTATTACTTGCACCATGGATGAAATTGTTTTAGTTTGTAAGCCTGTGTTCTTTGCGTTGTACGTGGTGAGCTGAACATGGTATTACATGCACCGCGGGTGAAATTGTGTTAGTTTGTAAGCCGGTGTACCTTGAGATGCTCGTGGTGAACTCGGCAATACATCATGGATCTTAGTGAGTGCCTGCGCCTACTGTGTTGCACGAAACGGGTGATCGGATTGGACTTTTGGCTTGTTGATACACAAAACACCTTGACTTCCGACTCAGATAAGTGCAAACAATATTCAGTGCACCAAAATGCCACCAATAACTTTCGTCCAAAACAACATGAGAACTTTCTATTTGTGAGTGCAAGCACGATTGCAGGGCTTTTGGGGTTCCTGACAATGAGATGCAAATGTGCCAGATGCTTTGTGTGCAGCTGCGCTATATGCTCGCTGTCGTATCTGAGCTGTCATGTCTGAGGTTTGGTGTAGCCTGAGACCCGCGCCGGCACGGCACTAACGCCTGCTGTATGGAGAGGAGGGGAGGGGGCGTGTGGTGATCCCTTCCTCCCTCACGTGTCCTCTCCGCCGATGTGGATGTGCCAGTTTTAACGGCTCGTGCAGGACGCCGTAATTGTCAGTAACTGACGAGCGATCTTCTCAGACTGAGGCGACCGCAGACCGTCAGCGCCCAGAATGTTGCTCATTCGTCGCGAGCCTGGCCCATGTGCTATTGACGTCACGGCGGCACGCACACTGGGTCTTTATCATTAGCGCCCCAGTGCCGGCGTCTTTGTGGGAGGTTAATTGCGTCAGTCACGATATCGACTCCCCGGAAGGTGGTTGCAAGGTTCGAATTCGTCGCCCGATTGCGTTCGAGGCCGGTTGAGAAATGACTGCTGTAAAAAGTTGACACATCGGGATACCACTCGAGACACTGGGGACCATTCGGACCGCACTATCTGCAGCTCCACATCGTTAGACAGGCCCACCTAGATCGCAGAGGCTCTGTGTAGGGCAAATTTGACGCCGCACCTCGACGCGGAGCGGGGACTCAGTGATGGCGACGGAAGCTCTGAGGAACAGGATGCAGCGCCGATTCCTGCCGTGCAACGTCAGGATGTTAGGGTCGAAGACGAGGACACAATGAGTTCATGAGACAGTCGAACAGTACCAAGGGGAGCTGAGCATGGTCGCTGTTCTTGTCCAGTGTTCGTGCTGAAACGGCAGTCACACAGTGTCCGGCGATACGAATTGAACACCTTATGTGTGCCCAGAGCCTTTTGGATCCAGACCGTACGCAATGGAATGCTTACATAACAAGTATTGTGAGGATTCACTGCCTGTTACCTTTGCGAAATCAAGGACACGCAGATAAGACAGTAGTAATAACCTTATTCCTCGGGGAAAAAACCGGGAGACTGGGGATATAATGCTTTGATATTTTGGCAACATGCCTTTACCGGAATGAATAGCGGAAGTAAATCGTACCTTCTGAACAATGCACTTCTGTTCGTTTTGATAAGGGCATTTTGACGAAATATGAACTTATCTATATCCCCATTCTCCTGATCTTTCTCCAAGGAATAAGGCTATTACTACTGTCTTGGAAAAAATACGCTATCTATGGAAATTTTGAAATTAAGAAAAGAACACATGGACTTTGTCGTACCTGGGCTATGGTTAGTTGGAGAAACGAGCTGGAATGGGATGAGTATTTGATATCTCACCTGAAACACCTGATCACGTTTCCAAATAAATGCTGATGCGGCAACTGACGAATGAGGGGATTACGAAGAGAAAACGACCAAAATCATTCAGGTCTCGCCGCGAATCGCGCGCAGTGTTCTTTCATTACCCACATCGCAAGCAGCCACCTGTGTTCGACACCGGCCGTGTCCATATAAGGCGCGTCTGTGCGTCCGTGCGTCCGTTCACAGCTGTGTGTACAAGCGGACAGGGGGGGGGGGGGAGGGGGGAGTGCGACCACCGGGCGCTCCGGGGCGAGCCGTGGCGCCGCCACCGCCACCCGATAGCGGCGCTATCCGTGTTAGAGGCCGTCCCGGGCGGCGGCACCGGGCGTGGGGGCGCCACAGGTGCGCCGGACAGCTGGCGCGGAGGCGGCCGGCCGACGCGCCGGCCAGTCGCACCGGGACGTCGCCATGTACAACTTCGGCCGCGACGAAGCGCGGCTGTGGCGCTCCACCACGCCGCGCCTATCGCGCCGCGTCGGCTCGGAGGTGAGCCTGCGGCGGCCGCCGGCCGAGCCGGCCGGACCGCAGGCGGCGGCCGCCGCGGCCGGCCTGCCGCGCGAGCGGGCCGTCGACGTGCCGGCCAACTTCGTGGCGAAGCCGCGCCGTGAGCCGCCCCCCGCCGCCGCCGCGCCGCCGCCCGACGCCGCCGCGCCGCCGTCCAAGAAGAAGAAGAGGCGGCTGCCGCGGCTCAAGATCCGCTTCTCGCGCAAGAAGCGATCGGCGCAGGTGGACTGGCCGGAGGACGTGCTGGAGGCGGAGCAGCTGCCCGAGCCCAGCCCGCCTCCCACGCTGACCGATGCTCACGTACACGGCGCGCGCGGCCAGCGCCTGTTCGCGGCGTTTGAGCCGGACGGCCGCGGCGGCGAGGCGGCGCGCCGGGCGGCGTCGCTGCTCTGGGGCGACGACATGACCTCCAGCGGCCTGGGCAGTTCCTGGGAGACGGGGCTGAGCGTCTGCTCGTCAGCGGCGACCGGCGAGCGCGGTGGCCTGGCGCGCCACCCCTCGCTCCGGCCGTCCGTGCGCAGGTTCCGGCAGTCGCCTGCCGGCCGTCTCAGCCTGCCGGACGCCGACAGCTTCCGCAAGACCGCATCGTGCCCCTGTCTGTTGAACTGGTTTTCGGAGAGCCGCCAGGGCGGTGCCGAGCCTCGGATCGTGTCCGCCGGGGCTGCGGAGGCTCCGGCGAGCACAGCCGCGCGTCTGGATGGCCGCAGCGGCGCCACGGACACCCTGGTGGATAAACCTGTGGACACCCTCGCGGACGAACCCGGCGACACCCCCGGGCACGAGCTCGTAGACACCCTCATGGGCGAGTCCGCCGACACTCTCGTGGACGAGCCCACCGACATCCCCGCGGACGGGCTCGTCAACACTCTGGCGGACAAGCCCGTCGACACCCTAACGAATAGGCCCGCGCCGCTCACTCCTGAGCCCGCAGCCACCTGCAGCGTCCAACGCACGTTTGGCCCCCAGCTTGCCCACCACCGGTCCGTGGTATGTGGCATCCAGCACTACTGGCGCGTGCGCAGAGAGGAGGAGCGGCTCGGCACGTTCCACGTGCAGGAGGCCAGCGTGCGGTTCGAGCAGCTGCCGCGTAACATCCAGCCGTTCGTGCTATACCACAGGCCACTGGTGACCGAGATAAAAAACTACTGGAAGGAGAGACGGAAGGTGCTGCGAGCGAGGGCCAGGAACAGCGTCCCGGCGGTCGAAGAGCAGCGGCCGGAGCCCCTGAGCGACGCGGTGGAGCGTGAAGTGGACGTCGACACCACGCGAACTGCCAACCCCGTGCCTGGCGGTCGCGAGGACCGTGGCGCAACGGCCGGCACAGATGGCACCGCGGTCGACCTTGACGGCGTGATCGACCCGCTGAGACCCGTGACTCAGTCCGGCTCCGCGAGCGAGTCGTCCGTTCAGCAGGCGCGTGCCGACCTGGACGGCCTGGGACCGCTAGTCGATTTTCGGTACGTTCTGCCTCACGCAACGCGCTCGAGACCGGTGCCACCTCGACGCGCCCGGTCCCTTGCGGCTCTGGGCCACGAGACGCCCAGGGTGCCGCCGGGCGCCAAAAGTTACTGGGATGTCAGGCAGGAAGCGCCGGAGCAGTGCGAGCCCGACGCCGCTCAGTTCGTGGAGGTGGCTGTCAAACCAATCGATGATCGCGAGCAAGGACGAACGGCAGCAGCAGGTGCCGACGAAAGGGGGACTCCTAACTCACGTGAGGCCTGGCAGCCTCCGAAGTCCTCTCAGGACAGAGAGACCCTGACGTCTCTCCAGGACAGAGAGCCTCCAAAGTCCTCTCAGGACAGAGAGGCCCTGGATTCCTTCCAGGACAGAGAGCCTCCAAAGTCCTCTCAGGACGGAGAGGCCCTGGATTCCTTCCAGGACAGAGAGCCTCCAAAGTCCTCTCGGGACGGAGAGGCCCTGAAGTCCTTCCAGGACAAAGAGCCTTCAAAGCCAACGGATAACAGTCGCCAAGACTCGTTCACCAGCTGCAAATCGTTCTGGAAGTCGTTGCAGGACCTAAGACCCATTCAGGAAAACGAGCAACTGCGCAAGCGCGTCAGCTTTCGAGAAGAGCAGATAAAAAGCACGAAGGACCCACTCTCAATATTCTTCCGTCATCTCCTGCACAAGAGCGAGTCCATCAACACCCTGGCGAAGACGCGCGAACGGCCGCAGGAAGACAGTCCTCAGAGCCACAGTACGAAGACGCGTGAACGGCCGCAGGAAGACAGTCCTCAGAGCCACAGCACGAAGACGCGTGAACGGCCGCGGGAAGACAGTCCTCATATCCACAGCACGCTACCAGTCGAGCCCAGGATCAGAAAACACAGTCGCAGCCTGCCGACGGCGGTGGTGGCCACGGTACAGCCACGGCGCAGCGGCAAGACCCGGGCCCCGCCACCGGGCGCTCAAGAGACGCCTCCGCCGCTAAAGGAGGTGACCGTGGAGCAGCCGCGCGCGTCGGTGACGCGGCTCAAGCAGCTGCTAATCACGCGGCCGGTGCAGCCGGTGGCGCCGTACCACCTGCAGCGGCTGGCCACGCCGACGGCCAGCAGCCGCCGTTTCATCCGACCGGGAGTCGTGCGCCAGCTGCAGGCGCAGTTCGAGAGCATGGCGCGGCACCACTGACCGCCAGGCGGCCGGTGTCCGGCTGCAGGCGCCGTCGCAGTGCTGCGCGGCGGTACTGCCCGACGGCGGAAGGCGTGTGGCTGTGGCGACCGGCAGCGGCGGATGCCAAACTGCCCGACAGTGGGGCAAAGGCAGCGAGCGCCCGGCAGCAGCGGACACTGAAGCGGCTCGACGGCCACGGACGGTCTGCGGTCGTCTGGCAGTGGCCGAAGTTTGACCGTCCGACGGCGGTGGGCTCTTTGATAGTTCGACGCCACTCGATGCCGCGCTTCCGCAGTGGCCAGTAATGAAGATGTTCAGCAGGGATGTGCGGTGATTGTCCGAACTTGCGGCGACCCAGCGTGTCGTGCCATGGCGGCGGCCCGAGAGTGTCGGACACGGACCAAGGTGACCCTTGATTGGATCGCAGACTGCTCCAGTCCGCATCCCATACAAGTGGAGCGATAAGAAGAGACCAACTTTTTCACTTTGGTCTCATAGACCGGTAAAATCAAAAGCCTCGGTTTCGTCGTCTGCAGAGTTCAGCAAGTACAGCCTGTCATCCGCAGCATTTTTGTTTTTTGTAGCTGCGAGCTGTCTCCAAATGCGACCAGTTGTTTCGTGCCCCGGTGGTTGCTTTGTTAAACCACGTTTTATACAAGCGTCTGTGAGAATTTTCAGCGCCGCCCACCGAACACTGTGACGGCCTTATCTTGCAAGGTGCCCTTATCTGTTTGAACAGGCGTTGGACTTCGGAGATTCGCCGCGTGCGCCCCGTATCACGAGATGAATGGTACCCATAAAAATGAAACGTCACATGGTGGGTTTTCACAGCTCCTTGGTGCGCATTCTACGACCTTCCCATTTCTTGAGCATCAATCAAGTTTATGCCATGTCTCAGCGTTCTCCTAGTTGTCTCTTGTGTCCCGCGTGAAATATTCAAACATGAAATAAATATTATTTTTCGCCGCGATCATTCAAGCTAAGCGATGCCAAACGCAAACGCAACAAGCAGTACCTTGCGATGCTGTGAGTTACCTACATGTATGATAAATGCACAGTTGGAACGTTCTGCACATGCGAACCTCTCGACGACCCTTGTGGAGGTAAAATATCAAATCATTCGGATTTTTAAAATAAAAATAAACATCGCTTCCATCTCATAACGCGCATTGCTGTTTTCAAAGGCGCTACATCCAGTCATAAACCCCCTCCGCCCCCCCCCCCCCCCCCACCCCATACACAGTGAACCTTCACTCCGTGACGACTCCGAAAAGAATATCGCAGCGCTCACGAACGGCACTCCTCTGTATGCCTTACACTGGGGTGTTCATCCTAACAACTACCAAACACGCCATATCTTTGCAAACACGCACCTACAGCGTACACGTGTATTACAAATGACATCACAAGAGAAACATTACACAGCGTGCCGTCATTTCCCTCTGCTCTTAGTGCGCGACTTCATGTTCTGCCTGGCCTGTTTGCCAGGCCGCTTGTTGGGGCCGCCCTTGCCGTGGGTCCTGGTCACGAATTTCTTGCCGCCGCGGGCCTTGCCCTTGACCCAGGCGGTGTCGGAGGCGCTCTCGGCCGTGTTGCGCTTCTGGCCGCGCTTCCGGCCGCCGTGGCCGAAGCGAGCGTTCTTCTCCTCGCGCTTCTTTGACAGTCTGCCGGGGACGAAGATTGTGGGCGTATAGCGTCAGACTGCCCGCTAGGGACTCGGAACGAGTGCGGGCGGGGGCGGGGGCGGCGGCGGGGGGGGGGGGCAGATGTGGGCCAGGAGGTGGTGAGCCTGTCTGTCCCCGACAGTCTGTGGGGAAGGGAGGTTGTAAGGCTGTCTGTCCCCGACAGTCTGTGGGGACGGGAGATGGTGAGCCTGTCCTTTCCGAGACGGCCTCTGCGACGGAGGGGAGAGCGGCGGGCAACAGCGCAGTCGCGCCGGCCAAGCCGTCGCGGGAGGCGTCGGACGTAAGCAGCGGGACGCAGCAGAGTTCGCTGGGCATTGGCCACAAACCTCAGCCAGCAGGGAAGAGGCAACGACGCCGTCTCAACAGAAACAAAGCACGAAGTGACAACGCAAATCGTTTTCACACTACTGAATACACTAACCGCACCACTCGTTAAATACGAAGTCCCCACGAGCTCATCTATAACTGCAATTGGGACTGTGCGGTAGCAGAACCCTGAACTTCTCCATCCCATTACGACCATTTCATTGGCCTATGCTCACTTGCTTTCATTCCATTGGCCTCCGTTTCACTCGAAGACCAGGAAAATGAAGATCTTCCTCATAATGCCTTACCCTACCTTGCGTGCCCGTGAAGACGCCAAACGCTAAATAACTGCGGCGGTATACACTTTAAGGACACACAAGAGACGGAGCAAAAACAAACTTCGTACGGAAACTTCGAATCGAACAATTGTTCAACTTGTGACACGCGAAGTTATTTACAAATGCTGGGAAGTTCAAGTGGTCACTTACCCCAATTTCCTGCACACAAATGCAGAGTTCCGCTGTTAACTCATCACGCCAAGGGAAAGGTGTGGCGGGTGTTCTAAACTGAATTCAGGTGAACCAAAAGACTTCTTATGTTAGTGTATTAAGCGCAAAATTTTGGCTTCAAACGGCGGTTTAACTCCAACAAATGCCAGTACATGGGATCCTGAACCTTAGCATATCGCCTTGCGCTGCAGTACTAGGTGAAAGCGTTGCCGTCGTGTTTGACCACTGTGTGATATTCGCGTCCCATTTCGTGCGCATTCGAGACAAACTTTCCACATTGATTACAGCTGGAGAACAGTAAAGGAAATGGCGTAAGCTCCTCGCAACACAAGAGAAAGCAAGGGAAATGCCACAAGTCCCTACATCTAAATAAAATACTGGGTAATTGTGGCTAAAACAACTTCATAATTTTTGAGCAAGCCCAGCATCTTTACACAGGCAACGATACACTCCACAAGTCTCAAAAAATGATATCGAAATTCTTTTGTCCAAAATACAAAAACCGCGTTTTGTTTGGCATATGTTATCATGGACCAGTTTCGTCCTCCGAGCGTAAGACGTACTGCTCCAGTAAATAGACGGAACAGACAAAACTTACTGGCGTTTGTTCGGGCCGGCCTTGCCCTTGCGCTGCTTTCCCCTGCCGTCGTCGTCGGCCGGGCCGTCCAAAAAGTCGAGGCTCTTGTCAGTGCCCTTCCTGAACCTCTTGACCTGCTCCAGCATGTCGCGCTTCTCCTTGGCCTTGCGCTGCTGCGCCTCCACCTGCGTTTTCTTGCCCATCTTCTTCAGCTCCCGTAGCTTGCGCGCCTTCTCCGACATCTCCTTCTTCGTCTTCTGATGGATCAGGAACTTACGCACCTGTCCAGAGCGGCGACGTTAAAGCATAATAATACACTAACACTCTCCATAGCACTATAGGAGTAACCCCGTCTTGCAAAGGTTGCGTATTTTTCGCGCGGATGTTTATCTTTTCGCGGGGTTTCGTTTTTTTAATACGGAGGCGCCGGAGTGCATTACTGATCTCCACAGTACATAACATAATTGAGCACATTTATAGAGCACATAGCACATAGTACATAGTTCATTTAAATAAAACATCCGCGATTCAGTTGGAATAATAGCTGAACACTGCATTAATGTGCACGGCACGGCGTCCCAACACCTCGCCTCGAATGGAACAATAGCCGGCCGCTGTACCGCATAACTTGCGTGAATAGTTTGAGGGTCCGGTGCCCGACGTCCAGCACCAATGAAAACTCAGCGAGTCGCGTCGCGCGAGTGTCACCGCCGGTGCGATGCGGCGCGGGCACCGGCGGCCGCCCCAGCCCACCTTGTCCATCTGCTCGTCCGACTTGACCATCTGGGCGAGGAAGTCGTCCGGCCGCCGGGTAGGCACGCCAAGCGCCTGCAGGCGCGGCAGGCCCTCCAGCACGGCCGCCTGCCGGCCGGACGGTGGCGGCGGTCACCAGACGGCGTCACCGGTACACGGTCAGTGGCGGGTCATCACACAGCGTCACCGGTACACGGTCAGAGGCGGGTCATCACACGGCGCCACCGGTACACGGTCAGTGGCGGGTCACCACACGGCGTCACAGGTACAGTCAGTGGCGGGTCACCACACGGCGTCACCGGTACACGGTCAGTGGCGGGTCACCACACGGCATCATCGGTACAGTCAGTGGCGGGTCACCACACGGCGTCACCGGTACAGTCAGTGGCGGGTCACCACACGGCGTCATCGGTACACGGTCAGTGGCGGGTCATCACATGGCGTCACCGGTACACGGTCAGTGGCGGGTCACCACACGGCATCATCGGTACAGTCAGTGGCGGGTCATCACACGGCGTCACCGGTACACGGTCAGTGGCGGGTCACCACACGGCATCATCGGTACACGGTCAGTGGCGGGTCACCACAAGGCGTCACCGGTACAGTCAGTGGCGGGTCACCACAAGGCGTCACCGGTACACGGTCAGTGGCGGGTCATCACATGGCGTCACCGGTACACGGTCAGTGGTGGGTCATCACATGGCGTCACCGGTGCACGGTTAGTGGCAGGTCACCACACGGCATCACCGGTACACGGTCAGTGGCGGGTCGCCACACAGCGTCACCGGTACGCGGCCAGTGGCGGGCCACCACACGGCGTCACCGGTACAGTCAGTGGCGGGTCACCACACGGCGTCACCGGTGCACGGTCAGTGGCGGGTCACTAGACGGCGTCACTGGTAAACGGTCAGTGGCGGGTCACCACAGCGCCACGGGACCAAATACGGCCGAGGAGGGCAGCAGCGACACCTGCCGTCGCCACGAAGACACGAGCGGTCCGGATAGTAACAAACAATCAAAACAAGGAATATGTAGGCATGGACACCAATGTTCTCCAGGGCATGTTGACAGAAACTCATGCAAAGTACAAATATATACAATTCATAACGAAAGGGCAGGTCATCACAGTGACAGCGAAAGCACGCCTTCCTTGAGCACATAGCAGACACATGCATTATGGTTATGAAATGAACTAAGGGCATTCACACACCCTCCATTGGCTCAAATCTCGGGGGCTCACGCATCTGGCGCTTGGAATGAGTCATGGCGTGCCTGATATATTCACCCTTTCCTTTCATGGCTGATGCCTGGGATGACTGAAATCACACCAGCACCCGGCGGCAAGAGACAGAGTACCTGAGCCTGCCGGTAAAACATCATTTCCCTCTTGAAGTCGTCCTCTGCCAACGCGCCATCCGTATCTTGAGATGCAATTTGCTGCTGCTGAAAACGATGGAAATCACTTGTGAACGTAATCCTAGAACGTCAGGTTATTATTATAATTATTATTATTATTATTATTATTATTTTGATTATTCGCCTGATTGCAGGAACGCTACAACAGCATGCCCACGGTAGTTTGTAGACGGAGAAGTAATCAGTGGAATGTACAACGAACTCTTAACCCATCTACAAACGTGTGTTGGAACCTGTAAAATAAGTACAATTTACAAAGTCGGCTTAATTTTGGACGGAATGGCAGATTTAAAGAGAGGGTTCCACACTAGTTTCTTCTTACACCCTTCTAGTTTCCATGCTACACGCTCGCGAAGACTACTCCGGGAAAATATTTTAAGGTCACCCAGGCATTCACCACGCCGTAATAACATTATTCAAATCCTGCCGTTACAATGGCCATGTGGCAATTGGTGCCAATACAAATATAATTGTCAAATAGTTCATATCTGGCGTTTGTGAGCCCGATTTCCAAATATTATGTCCGTAAACTAACTCCAAATCAATGTGGTGCAATATACAATGACGTAATCAAACAACGACGCATTGTGGAACACATTTACTTCACAGGGAAATTGTGCAATCCAGAGTAGCCTTCTCGCCTTAAAAGCGCACCAATAGGTTTAATTGAGCTTCTTTCATCATATCTGACGCTTGCTTCAATATCTTAACTGGGAACATCCGCTTAAACACCTGTACCTCATTCTTTACTGGCAACGCGCAGCGCTCCGGCCGCAGCCACCGCATGCTCACGCCCGTGGCCGCGACTGAATGCGCCGCATACGTACGTCACGCTTCAGCTCGGGCGCCAGCGGGGCCGGCGCGTTCACGCTGTCCAGCCGCTCCAGCCAGGGCAGCTGCAGTCGGAACTGCTCCAGCTTGGCCAGCATCGCTTTCTGGAGCACGGATTACATACGTGACCACGAGGCACCCAGACACTGCGTGGGGTGCCTGATGGATTGTGACTTTGACTTCTGTTCCGCAGACAGGAAGCATGCACGGGAAATAAAGGAATGTGGTGATACACGCAAAATCAAACTGACATTCTTTTGGAATATGCACATACAATTGGGTCAAACATGGACGTTTGGTAGCAAACAAACACAAATATTCATGATGAACTTAGGTTTGATAACAAATATGAAATAAAAGCATACTTGTCATACCTCATTATTAGCAAACGTTTTGACAGGTCTTTCCTTCACAATGTTCAGACCAGGCTGCAGCTTTCCAGCTCTGAAGGCTTCCTGAAGCTGTGAACAATGTCAATATATCAAAATAGGCGCTAATATGAGCATGCATGCTGCCAAAAACCACATGTATGAGACACAGCTGTGTTGAATGTACTGTCACAACCGAGCATCACACTTTTACCATGTGAAGGAGTGATATCACTGAATATACACCTTGACAACAATAGCAGTGATTTGTTGATAAAGTGAGCACTTCATTTCCAACTAAGAACTCCCATTAAGACCAGAAATAACTCAAGTTTCCCCACCCAAATAAGTTTCACACAGGTACTAACCTCTTCATCAGAATCGATTTCGGATTCAGACTGGTACCCGTCCATTTCCATTCTGAGAAGAGCTTGACCTCAGCAGCTGCATGTGGACCAAAATAATTAATGACTGCAAACACTGTAATGTTATGCAAAACACTGCAGTAAAGGGACTGTTCAGGTAGCCCTGCAAGCCTGAGTTCATATGGTTGTACTTGCAAACTTGCACACATGTCAGGAATTTTCACTTAAACACACACATAACTGGAAGGAGAGGAACTATCCATCTTAAAGCCTCAGATGGTCAAAGCAAATGCCTTCCTTCCCACATGGCTTTAGCGGGGTTGGTTCGGCGCAGGCTGCATAAAATGCATGGTGCACCTAACATGCCCTAACATGTGCTAACACGCCAAACTGTCAATTTCAGTGCATAGAGCCAAAATTTCAAGGAATCATGATGCAGAGGAGGAAATTTTACATGAAATTACCCCAAAAATGTTCATGCAGAAACATTTTAAAAAATTCAGCACAATGTGTCCTGGCCTGAGTTCGGCGCACGCGATCGCGCGGTTCAGCACACCGATGTCGCGTAGGCCTCCGACGCAGCGGCTGCATTCTTTGCAGGCTGGGGTTTAAGCCCCTTACGGCACTCGCTATTTACCCAAACTAGGATGGCCTGTAACCAGTGGTGGCAGCTGTGCTAAATGTTGGGTGGTATCAGAGAGCAGGATTGACAGTGCAGAGCATTGCAAAATGATAACCTTCAGCTGTTAAGTGCTGCAGTTGACCTATAATTACCCATTCAGATGATGGATTTCATGACTTATACTAATGAGCACTGCTTATCATGGCTGATCTCAGAGATCTATTCCACCAAAAGACCCAGGTTAAATCTTAAGAAGAGTTCTGCTTCCAATAGTGATGCTGTGTGCTGACAATGCCCAGATATTTGCTGTCATCTGAGTCAACTAAGACACCAGTACATCATTGCAAAGCCAATGGCAGACACCGCAGTAGCCTGACAGCTGGTCCAAAACTCAGCATACTTCATTTCATGAATCAAACCACCACAGACTTTGCACGCACTCACAGAATCCAGAGCAGGCACATGTAAGTAAGGGCATCCAAACAATTTCATTTTTTAAGGTCTAGTCCAAACCTTTTGAACACATGGACTTGTGCGATCAGAGATAATGTTAAGCAGTGTTTGCTGTGAGCCATGACCCCTACCATCTGATCGTGCAATCCCAGGTCAACGGCAACAATGCTGAATGCCATCCACCCTGCCTTCTGATGTCACCTTACCTTTAGCATGGCCACTACCACCACTACAAGTCATCCCAGTCAAGAGTAAAAAGTGAGCCCCGCAACCAACTTCACCAGCCCACCTCAAACTGAGAGGGTGCATCAGAATGTAACTGCTCTAACCAGTTGGACTATCACATCAAAAAGTAAAAAAAATCATCTTAAAGGAAATATTTAGCATTTGGAGATACTGAAGTAAGCATCAGATATGATAAAACAAGCTCACTCACAACTATTGGTATACTCTATCAGTGCAAAAGACTGCTCTAAACAGCACAATTCTCTGTTTAGTAAATATGCTCCCTAATGTGTCATGGCTTGATTATGTCATTGTACATATTACAGCAATGGTTGAGGGCTAATTGATGGTTGTTATATCTAGAATTTGTGCTTGCAAATGCCAGACATGAGTATCTCCACAATATTTTTCTTGACCATGATTGCTGTGTGGCTTATGGAATGGCAGCATTTGAATGGCACTGCTATGATGTCATGAATGCTAAGGTACCTACAAAACACTCTGCCCAAAATACTTTCCCCATTTTCATGGATGTGTAGCTCAGTGACTAGAGGCACCTACATCCTAATGTCAAGATTGTGAATCACACTGAAAGGTTTTCATGACATCTATTTCAGTTCTAAACCCCATACAAATGTGGAAAAACCTTTAACAATGGAAAAAATTCCAATCTGACCTACCAAGTGGTAGCTATCAAACATCATATACCCTAACCATCCTGGAATACAGATGTGTTGAATCAGGTGCACCCAGCAGACCACAGCTAACATATAACATACAATTGACTGATAACAGACAAGTGCAAGGAGTGCACTGACTTTCCTACAGCCTGTCTGAATAAAGCAGGTTATATCAGGCACCTACTTTAAGGCACACAACAGTAATAATCAGACAGCAGAAGGGCCACACAAATCAATTCCCAAATAAAATCATTGCAATCCAACATAGCCAATCATGCCTGGCATCCCCATGGTGCATTGCTGATAAGTCAGGGTCACAGGCAATGAATGAAACTAATCAATGATTAGCTGGTGCCCAAAAGGCAATGCAGATTAAAGAAAATGTGTTCCATTAGCAGGACAGTGATGGGTTACAATGGATCGGGTGAATGATGATGAATATACGCACCGCAATGCACCAGTCAGTTCTGTAAGGATATAATCAGCAGTGGGAAAAAAACACAAACACCAGATGGGTTAAATATAAGGTGCAGATTGGGTTGGTGCTGCAGGGTGAACAATTGGGTAAGGAGTAATGCTAGGGATATGGTTACGGGAAGGATAACTGGAAACAGCAGTCAGGTTCGGCCCTACATGTATGGGTAAGGGTGAGCATATGGTTTGAGGTAAGGATAGGTGTATAGTGTTAGGAGAAAGAGCAGGACTAGGGGTAGGAGCAGGATTAGGAGGAAGAGAGCGGGACAGGGAGCGTGATGAGGGGATGTGACACCCATCTCCACAAATACTTTTCGTCAAAACCTGGCAGGAAAAGTGTAATTTAAAAGTAAACTACATGTTATGCAGTCGCATCAATGCACGGAACACACCGCCTTAATCCCACAAACGCTCACCAACCGCGCACAACTCGCGACCCTTCCGCCTCGCGCCTTGTGGTATATATCGCCCTGCTTGTGTCCAGCTTGCTTCTCACGTGTGCCGGTTAGATGGCGCAGTTCAGCGCTGGAAACGACGCAAACTTTATCTCTGTTCGATTCTCTTATCAGCATCTTTCTGGTGGGTGATATTGGACAACCATAGCAAATCAGGACTGTAGGTTTTGAAAAATAACACAGTATTAGCGAAATATAAATGATATGAACATCTTATTTTGTCTGTATTACGCCGAAGATGTCTTGCCTAGGTTAGGGAGGGGAGAACATTGTCTCGGTTTTCTGTTGAAGAATCGTAGATTGGTGGGGTGGTGCGGCCGAATGCCATAGGACAGGACAGGTGCGGCCCCAAACATCGAGAAAAACGCACCAGCGTGATGAAGAGGGCATGCGGCTTTGTTGTTTTTCGATGGATGAATGGTCAGCTGGAGTATTTACTTCTGCAAGCTTCTAATGGAGTCCACCACTGGACACCGCCAAAAGGTAGATGAATTAAGTGCGCTGCTTAGCTGGCATAAGATGCTACAATGGTAAGCAAAATTGATCAACAGTTTTCTTGTTTGTTCAGCTTGTTCAGCTTGTTCTAGACAGCTTGTTCAACAGAACAAGCATTCCTAACAGTTGAGTGCTGGAATGTGTTCAAGGCTGTTATTCATTCATTTCATAGCTGTTCTGGACGTGTGTTTTGTAGCACATATGTTTTATATCATTATATTTTGCTATCAATGTTATGCTAGTGTTATATTATTGTTCAGTTGATTCAAAACTCAGGTTACACACTTGTCTGTACCATTCAAATTACACATTTAAGATGTAATTATTTCTCAGGGGGGCAATGACTTATTCCACAGGTCATGTAGATCCAGGGGAAGAAGACTTAACAACTGCATTCAGAGAAACAGAGGAAGAGGCAGGGCTGAAGTCAACCCAGCTGAAAGTTCTGAATGGTTTTCAGAGTAAGATAAGTGTAAGTCCTTAACTACTTAGTTACTAACACGGCATAGCCATTGATTTTTTGAAGTATAATTGATGAGTAATCATGGGAGAATGTGGTTGAAAATGGCCCAAAATTATATTTTTATGTTGTGGATGGCCCCCAAAATGGTTGACAAAATTTGTTACCAGTAAATTATTTCAATGAACAGCACTTCCATTTTTGTGTTGATTTGTCAAGTCTGTGTTGTGTGTGTGCTGTAGAATAGCATGGAATAGAATTGAATATAATTGAATACAATTTAATACTCTGAAAGAAAAAGGTACAAGCAGACCTGAAGTATCCCAAGAACTGCTGCTCCTGGAGGCACCCTGCTGATAATTCTTCCAGTGTTCCCAACAAGCATTTGCTGGAGCTCTCCTTGTGGCTACCTGGCCTTAGTCTGGTCCATTCTGTATGTCCAGTGCTTGTTCAAACATTTTTTTTTTTGATGCATCTGGGCCAGAAGATGTAGCAACCTCAGCTGGTGGGCTATTAATACAGCTTCAGTGTATTCCATGTGTTTACCATGCATACTTGGTATGTTTTGTGGGATTAAGACTTGGCAGTGGGCTTCTTAAGCTTGAGTGGGTGCTCTCATATATCTGATTAAGAGCAGGATTTTTTGGTTTCTTCTTTTGCTGTGAAAAGAAAAGCAGTAAAGATAAAGCTTCACATGGTGCTGAGCTGTCTCCTATGCCACCCTGGGGGGATGGGGCCTACCCATCATGTCTTAGAGAGCCTGTCATGGCAGGTCAAATGCTGAGGGGATAGGACAATAAGAGAGCCTGAGGAAAGTCTGGAGGTGCCCATTCAAAGCAAACCATTGATGAACATGCTTTATTGTGGCGGGTTGTGGGGTCCCTCAGGAAGATGGCCACAGGAGACAGGGGGAGAGGTTGAGAACACAAGAGCAGTCTTGTAAGGTAGTGTTGTTTTTGTGAGTTGAAAATTTTATGTTATTAAAATTTTGTATTTCAAACATAGAATATGAATAACATAAAATTTTCAACTGAAGATTTGACCTTCCCTATTCGATGAAGCACATAGCAATGTTGCACAAAAACTCAGTGACTAAACAGCCCATATGCAAACATCTGGCAATTTATTTAGCAACATTTTAAAGGATTCACACTACAGCAACATTCTGTAGTTCCCAACCATGGTTTCCTGTCAGAAGGAACATTTAAAAAGACCCACTTTGTGATGGCATCCTGTGGATCCCAACAACTTGACAATAATAATATTCTGTTGAGGCTGTCTCACCATTTCAGGTTTTTTTATCACCCTAATCCCCAAATCTGGGTAAATGCAATTTTCAAGAGTCAGAGATGGTAAGGAACCCACTTAGTGAGGGGGGGGGGGGAGGTTGTAGCTTTGGCAAGGAAGCCCCTGGGAGGCAGAGTGCCCACCCCCTCCAAGCGAAGCTCCTGCTGTGTGGTGTGGGAAGACAGTTGTGCAACCAGCCTGTTATCAAAGACCAAAGTGTTTGCTGTGCCGTTCTGCCCCCCCACATGCCCACGAGCCTGCCGAGTGCGGCGGCCGGCGCGGCGCAGCGCGGCGGTCTCGGTCGCGGCCGCTGACGCGCCTGCCGTGCCGCAGTACACGGCGTGGGGTCGCCCGAAGGAGTCGGTGTACTACCTGGCCGAGCTGCGCGACGCCGGCGCGCCGGTGCTGATCTCGGAGGAGCACTCCGACTGGTGCTGGGCGCCCGTGGAGCGGGCCTGCCACCTCGTCAGCTATGCCGAGATGCAGGGCGTGCTGAGAGAGGCCGAGCGCTTCGTGACCGGCGCCGCGCCCGACGCTCGGGGCTGAGCTGGAGGTGGGAGGGGGCGGCCCCCAGGCGGCCCCCCGCCGGGCTGCCCGGACCGAGCAGTGGCGAGCCGGGCCCGCGCCGACAGGCGGGTAGGCTCGGCCGGCTGTCACGAGACTGCCCGCCATACCGGCGGATAGGAAGTGGCCTGCCGCTTGGAGGCCCCGTAGGAGGCCGCCCTTATTGCACCATGGAAGGTCAACATCTAGGAATTGGGATCGGATGTTCTGCAATTTCAGTGTTAACGAAATGCAATGTACGGCCTATCCAACTGGTTTGCAAACGCCACTGGATAATGCACCATGTTCTAATGTATCATTTTTTTTGATGAACATGAATAGCATGTTACCTGTATGCTGACGTGTTGAATCATGAACCGTAAGTCGCGGTGAGGCGGGTGATATGATGTTGGTGTGTTAAAACTGTCAGAACAGTCGCGCTGTGTCATCCAGAGGGTTGAATGAAAGACATTGATTTCACCGACTTGTCCTTTTTAAGTGTTGCTGCTCATCTCTCTTCATGCAAGGTGTGCGAGGAATAATTATACACGATTAGTACATAGGATCATGGCTAGGTCAGTGGAGCAGTTTTATCTCAGAAGCATTGGATGTCATGTTAGGCAGGAGTTCCGACCTGTCTCAATAAACGAGCATCAGTACTTGAGCAGCCTAATGCTGGTTGACTTGTTGCAGATACCCGGTAATCACCTGTGATTATAAATATATATTTATTACAACGATCCTAAGTAGCGTCGGCGAGGGTCTTGCACGGAATCATAACAAAGGACACCACACAGCGGCGCATCGGCCGCTACCGATTCTCACCGCACGGCGCGTCGCATAGGGACGGATTGTCGCCCTCGCATTCCCTGCCCGACACTCAGCACGCAGACGTGTGACGAGTGCGAGGCTGCTCATTCCGCCCGCCGTCGCCCGCCGCCGGGGCTCGCGCTCGCCGCCGGTGGCGGCCGGGCGGGGGCTGCGAGACGCAGGTGCCTCGCACTCCTGCCGCGCAGAGTGCGCCCGGTCGTCGGAAGCCCGCGCTGGCGACGGCGGACAACTGACGACGAGCCGAGCGGCGCGAGGCCAGCTCAAACCCCAAGTGATGCGTGGAGAAGATGTCTGTATTGAGTCGACCCCGCGACACCGTGATGCCTGTGTAACGCGGTCCGGTCCGGCTATGCGCCGCCACCTGACACCACGCGCGACCTCCCTCCAAACACCCTGACTTGATAAGGCAATGCCCGCTTCTGTCCTCCGTTACAAGTATGCAAGAGCGACGATGCGCCTCACCGTCGGGTGACCTGTTCGGGCCAGTGCCCGGTGACGACGCGTAATGCTGCGTGCGGCGCGCTGGGCGCACGGACGCCATGCTGGGGCCTGCATGAGGGCCCCACGCTCCGGGACCCGGCGTCCCGGGCACCGGGACGTGCCCGTGTGACGGACGTGAACGTGGGAGTGCCTCGCGCACGCGCGCGGGTGGAGTGACGCGGACAGTCTGCGACACGCGTCGCCGCGGCACCGCCAGCTGCCGGATAGCGCTGTGATTGTTCGCCGTGGCTCGACATCACTTTGGCACCCGCCAGCTGCTGTCCGCACTCGTACTGGCATCACACGGGGTGCGTGTCACCCTGCTGCGTCCCATCTCCGAGCTGGGTCGGAGCAGCCCGCTGGCTGCGCCGGGCCGCCGCCCCGTCCAGCACGCGAGGCACCCTGTCGACTGTGGGGCGGGTGTCCGCCTCACCTCCTCCTGTGGGCCGCTGTGATCATCATCTTCTTGAGCAGCGGCTGCGGCTCGCAGCTCCTGGGGTCGCACGACATCTGACCGTTGTCGCCGCACCTGAAATCAGAGGACAGTATGAATACCCGTCATCACGTGCTGACTCATGATGCTGGTGCTGAGCATTGCTCTGGAGAGCAGCCAGAAATCGTGTGTGGGGTGGAATCTGAGTAACGCCACCAGGGTAGTATGATGTCCCAATACTGCTCTGTCGCACCAAATATGCGGAGGCAAGGGTGTAACCTCTCCTGGTGCACTTGCTTGCTAAACCCCGAGAACTGGACCCATGCTCTGACCCGCTGGGGCATGACATTTAAGACGCCTTAAAACCGATCGATTATCATAAAATCGAATTGCCTGTGCGTTAAAAGATGACGCAAGCTCGATCGACTCGGCTGGTTTCAACAGCGCTTGCAAAGGCAAAGCACGACGACCGACATACCAGGCCCGTCCCGCCCAAGTGCCACCCGATGCGGGCGGCGCCGCTCCCCAGGGCGTCCTACACCCACTGACCTGCACTCGAGGCAGGGCCCTGAGGCCGACTCCACCAGCTGGCCGCTGCCGTACTCGGCGCCCTGGATGCGGCAGCCGGCCGGCTCGGCGGCCGGCGCGCTCTCTGTGGTCGGCTCCGGCCGGCTGGCGTTCCAAGCGCTCTCCACGGGGCATTCGTAGCGCGGGCAGCAGAAGCCTTCGATCGGCTGCTCCAGGCAGCCGGCCACCGGCGGCGGGCACGACTGCTGCAGGCAGATGATGTCCCCGCGGAAGCAGAAGCAGAAGTCGCACGGGTTGTCGCGCGGGATCTGCTGCGCCGACACGTACACCTTGCCGTCGAACAGGCAGGCGCCGGCCGCGTGCGGCGCCAGCCCGGCGGCGTGCGGCGCGAGCGTGGCCGCGCGTTCGGTGGTGGTCGTCGCCGCGTCGCCGGCCGCTGCCTCGCCGTCCACCTCGGCGTCCGTGATGTCAGTGGCGTTCTCGAACGCGTCGGGCCCGACGGTGGCGAGCATGTCGAGTACCTCGTCCGTGACCGAGATCAGCTCCGACTCGGCCTCCGGCTCGCCGCCGTCGGTCGGCGTTAGGCCAGCCGGCGGGTACGGCGTGGCGGCGCTCTCGGCGCCCGGCTCCCCGCCCGCCGCGGTGGTAGCCGAGTCGGCCTCGGCTTCAGCGGCTCCTGCCGAGGAATCCGTCTGGCCCGCTGCGGCTCCGTCGGCAAACTCTGTTGTGGAAGCGTCGGTAGTCCCTTCGGTGGCATCCGTCTGACCATCAGTGATGCCTTGGGTATACGCCGCTGATGTAACTTCGGTGGACCCGTCGGTGGTGTCCGTCAGGCCATCAGTGATGCTCTGGGTATACGCCGCTGACGTAACTTCGGTGGCTCCGTCGGTGGTATCCGTCAGGCCATCAGTGATGCTCTGGGTATACGCCGCTGACGTGATTTCGGTGGCTCCGTCGGTGGTATCCGTCAGGCCATCAGTGATGCTCTGGGTATACGCCGCTGACGTAACTTCGGTGGCTCCGTCGGTGGTATCCGTCAGGCCATCAGTGATGCTCTGGGTATACGCCGCTGACGTGACTTCGGTGGCTCCGTCGGTGGTATCCATCAGGCCATCAGTGATACCTTGAGTATACGCCGCTGACGTAATTTCTGTGCCTCTTTCGGTGGTATCCGTCAGGCCATCAGTGATACCTTGGGTATACGCCGCTGACGTAATTTCTGTGCCTCTTTCGGTGGTGTCAGTCTGACTCTCAGTGACACCATCGGGATACTCCGTTGTCGCGGTAGATCCTCCGGTCTGCTCTTCGGTGGTCCCTTCGGCCGAGATCGTCTGACCCTCGGCGACTATATCGGTGGAATCGGTTGTTGAAGCGTCAGTAGCCCCCGTAGTTGAATGCGATTGGTCATCGAAAGGCCCTCCTGTTGGGTATGTTTGGCTGACGACTCCTTTAGTGGCGTCTGACAATGGAGCGTCGGTAGCACCCTCCGATGACGCTGTCTGATCTTCAGTGCTGCTGTCGGCGAGTCCTGTTGCCGGGACCTCGCTGGTTCCCACATCAGTATCTGCCTGACCCTGAGCAGTAGTCCCTTCGGGTGTCTCTGTCTGACCGGAAGTTACTATCTCGCCCACGACGGTTTGACCTCCAGGGACCCCTTCAGAAGACGCGGTCTGATCTTCTGTAGCTCCTTCGTACGACTCTGTAAGTCCCGCGGCCTTATCGACCTCCTGATCGGCACTGGCGGCGGTCGTTGACGCCGCCAGACCGCCGGTGCAGCCGCCGATGCCGCATTGGACGCCGTCAGCTCCCTCCGTGCCATCACCAACTGCGGCGGCTCCGGGATCGCCCGAGTCGGTCGCCGCGTCTGGACGGGTTTGCTCCTCGGCGCCAGGGATGGTACCGCCCTCTCCGGCGACCTCCCTGTCCTGGGGGGCGGCTGTCGTCGGGGACGTGGTGTCGGTGCCCAGGCAGCCGCCGCCCACACAGGGGACGCCGTCGGTCCCCGCCGGCCGGTCCGTGGCGCCATCTTCCGTCTCTGTCGTGCTGCCGTCCGGGCTGGCTGAGCTGGGCGCCGGCGGGCAGCCGCTGCCAGTGCAGGGAAAGGATGTAGCCGTGGTGCCATCTTCCGTCTCTGTCGTGCTGCCGTCCGGGCTGGCTGAGCTGGGCGCCGGCGGGCAGCCGCTGCCAGTGCAGGGGAAGGATGTGGCCGTGGTGCCATCTTCCGTCTCTGTCGTGCTGCCGTCCGGGCTGGCTGAGCTGGGCGCCGACGGGCAGCCGCTGCCAGTGCAGGGGAAGGATGTGGCCGTGGTGCCATCTTCTGTCTCTGTCGTGCTGCCGTCCGGGCTGGCTGAGTTCGGTGCCGGCGGACAGCCGCTGCCAGTGCAGGGGAAGGATGTGGACGTGGCGCCGTCTTCCGTCTCTGTCGTGCTGCCGTCCGGACTGACTGAGCTCGGTGCCGGTGGGCAGCCGCTGCCAGTGCAGGGGAAGGATGTGGACGTGGCGCCGTCTTCCGTCTCTGTCGTGCTACCGTCCGGGCTGGCTGAGCTCGGTGCCGGCGGGCAGCCGCTGCCAGTGCAGGGGAAGGGTGTGGCCGTAGCGCCGTCGTCCGTCTCTGTCGTGCTGCCGTCCGGGCTGGCTGAGCTCGGTGCCGGCGGGCAGCCGCTGCCAGTGCAGGGGAAGGATGTGGCCGTGGTGCCGTCTTCCGTCTCTGTTGTGCTGCCGTCCGGGCTGACTGAGCTCGGTGCCGGCGGGCAGCCGCTGCCAGTGCAGGGGAAGGGTGTGGCCGTGGCGGGGCCGGAGCCGGGGCCGCCCGCGGCCGGTCGTTGGCCGTCGGTGCAGCCGGCGTCTGTGCAGACGACGACGCTATCCGAAGCCGCCGGCGGGTACCGCTCGGTGCCCTCTGCTCCGGCGGCGGGCACGTAGCCGCTGCCTTGGTCCGGTGGCGTGGCGCTGCTGTCCGCAGGGGTGGCCCCGGCTCCGGCCGTGTCCTGGGTTGGCTGGTCTGTCACACCCGCCTCCGAGTCAGAGTCGCCCATCACGGACGAGTCACTCTCCGGCGGCGCAGGAGACTCAGACTCGACCACGCCTACGACGGTGGCCTCGCCCTCCTTGTCTTGGGGAGCTCCCGTGGTGGCGCCAGTCTCGGGCGTGGCCAGGGAGTCTGCGCCGCCCGGGGGCCTTTCCGTGGCGGGGTATGAGCTTGTGGCGTCTGCCTCGGGTCTGGCTGTGGACCCGGGCGACTCGCCGCCGGTTGTGGGCCCGAGATCCGTACTGGTAGGGGCAGACCCGGACTCAGTGCTGGTCTCTGCGGGTTCCGCGCCAGGACCAGGCTCGGTAGATTCAGCACCGATGCCGGCCTCGGTGGATGCAGCACCGGCACCGGCGTCGGTAGATTCGGCACCAATATCGGCATCGGTAGATTCCATATCGGTGCCTGCCTCGGTGGATTCAGCACCGACACCAGCGCCGGTAGATTCGACACCGATACCGGCCTCGGTGGATTCAGCATCTACACCGGCGCCGGTAGATTCGTCACCGATACCGGCCTCGGTGGACGGCCCGTCCAGAACATCAGAGGCCTCGCCGCTGGTGCCGGTGTCTGTGGAGGTGCTGGCTTCGGTAGCGGTAGTTCCGGCGCTGACTTCGGCTGATGCCGCGTCTGTGGTCGGTCCGGCATACTCGGCTTCAGTTGCGACCTCAGTGGTGCCCGCGTCGGTAGTGGCCTCCGGATAGCCTGCCGCTGTGGAGCCCGATACTCCGCCGGCTTCCGCAGAGCCTAAACCAGGGCTGGCCCCGCCGGACCCCTCGGCCGCGCCCGCTTCCGTGGTCGTGAGTTGGCTGTCCTCGTTCGAACCCAGCACAACGACGGCTTCCGTCGAAGGCAGCTCGTCGTCAGGGTCCGAGAAAGCGGAATCGGTGATAACGTCACCCGATCCCATCTCGGTGTCAGGCACCATTGATGCCATGACAATGACAGGCTCTTTTGTTACTGGCTCCGTGCTGGTCTCTGCGGATACGCCGCCCGGCTCCCCCACGTCATACCCTGCTGTAGTGCCGGTTTCTGCCGGTGATGATTCGGTGCTGGCCTCAGCCAATCCCGACTGACTTCCAGGCTCAGTCGGTCCAGACACGGTGCCAGTTTCAGTCAGTGATGAGTCAGTACTGGTCTCAGTAGGCTCGACACCTGCACCCGGCTCTGAAGCTCCTGCCTCGGTAGTCGCTGCTTCCGCGCTGGTCTCCGTAGACTCGGCGTCGGCACCCGGCTCTGAAGCTCCTACCTCGGTAGTCGCTGCTTCAGTGCTGGTCTCCGTAGACTCGGCGTCGGCACCCGGCTCCGAAGCTCCTGCCTCGGTAGTCGCTGCTTCAGTGCTGGTCTCCGTAGACTCGGCGTCGGCACCCGGCTCCGAAGCTCCTGCTTTGGTAGTCGCTGCTTCCGTGCTGGTCTCCGTAGACTCGGCATCGGCACCCGGCTCTGAAGCTCCTGCCTCGTTAGTCGCTGCTTTAGTGCTAGTCTCTGTAGACTCGGCGTCGGGACCTGGCTCGAAAGCTCCTGCCTCGGTAGTCGCTGCTTCAGTGCTAGTCTCCGTAGACTCGGCCTCGGCACCCAGCTCTGAAGCTCCTGCCTCGGTAGTCACTGCTTCAGTGCTAGTCTCCGTAGACTCGGCGTCGGCGCCCGGCTCTGAAGCTCCTGTCTCGGTAGTCGCTGCTTCAGTGCTAGTCTCCGTGGACTCGGCATGGGCGCCCGGCTCTGAAGCTCCTGCTTCGGTTGTCGCTGCTTCAGTGCTAGTCTCCGTAGACTCGGCGTCGGCACCCGGCTCTGAAGCTCCTGCCTCGGTAGTCGCTGCTTCAGTGCTGGTCTCCGTAGACTCGGCGTCGTCACCCGGCTCCGAAGCTCCTGCCTCGGTAGTCGCTGCTTCAGTGCTGGTCTCCGTAGACTCGGTGTCGGCACCCGGCTCTGAAGCTCCTGCCTCGATAGTCGCTGCTTCAGTGCTAGTCTCCGTAGACTCGGCGTCGGCACCCGGCTCTGAAGCTCCTGCCTCGGTAGTCGCCGCTTCAGTGCTGGTCTTAATTGATTCTTGACCATAGTCGGCCGTCGTGTACCCGGGCTCGGTGCCGGCTCCAGTGATCTCCGTCGCTGACTCTGCCGAGTCGGAGGTGATCTCAGCCCCAACATCACCGCCCCCGAGACTGCCTTCAGGGCAGTAGGGACCGGTGCAGCTCTCAGTGGACAGCGGCGTGCTGGCGTCAACGGACTCACTGCCAGGACGCACTGATTCTGTGGAGGACTCCGGCTCCGTCTGTGCCGTAGTGCCAGCCCCGTCTAGAGTAAGTGTAGTGGTCTCCGCATCGTCCGTCGGCTCAGAGCCCTCGCTTTCGTCTGTCGCTCCGCTGCCCTCAGCATCATCAGCTGGAACAGGCTCGCCGTATCCGAGCAGACCCTCCGCGCCAGTGAGATCTTCGGATCCCGGCGGCTGATCGACGTCAGCGCCGGGAAGGTCGACACTCTCAGGGCTCCCCTGGTCGGGCTCGCCGCCACTGGCCTCGCCTTGAGGAGTCGCGTCGTCCGCGGAGTCAGCGACCGCGCCGTCTGGGGCGCCGGCGGAACCCTCCTCCTCGTCTGTCTCTCCGCCGGCGGATTCCTCCGTCGGCTCGGTCTGCTGCTCAGGGGTACCACCACCGAACTCGTCCGTCGGCTCGGTCTGCTGCTCTGGGGCGCCTTCACCAGACCCCTCCGTCGGCTCGGTCTGCTGTTCAGGGGCGCCTTCGCCAGACTCCTCCGTCGGCTCCAGCAAACCGTCTGTGTACTCGTCCGTCGGCTCGGTCTGTTGTTCAGGGGCGCCGTCACCAGACTCCTCCGTCGGCTTCAGCAAACCGTCAGTGTACGCATCCGTCTGCTCGGTCTGTTGCTCAGGAGCGCCTTCACCAGACTCATCAGTCGGCTCGGTCTGCTGATCAGGGGTATCATCACCGGACCCCTCCGTCGGCTCAGTCTGCTGCTCAGGGGCGCCTTCACCAGACTCCTCCGTCGGCTCGGTCTGCTGCTCAGGGGCGCCTTCACCAGACTCCTCCGTCTGCTCGGTCTGCTGCTCAGGGGTACCATCACCGGACCCCTCCGTCGGCTCTGTCTGCTGCCCTGGGGCGCCTTCACCAGGCCCATCCGTCGGCGTCAGCAGATCGTCCGTGTACGCCTCCGTGGGCTGGGTCTGGAGGCCGCCGTCGTCGGAGGCCTGCTCGGGGCCGGTCGCCAGCCCGCTGATGCTGATGGTCTGCGTGACGGGCGGCTCGGTGGTCGGCGCCGGCGTCGGCACCACCACCTGGCCGGCGTCCGGCTGGCCGCCGCTGCCCTCCAGTTCGAGACCCAGGCTCTCCAGCACCGACACGTCTGCAGAGGGCGGACAGGTCGTCAGATCAGGCACGCACTCGCGGCTGGCGGGAGAGAGGTCTGCTGTGCGGCAGCAGCGGGTCAGCATTTGTCATCGCATCTTTCAGACAAACGCTTCCCCATGAGTATGAAACCACCCGGATCAGAGTAGATATTCACGCATGGGGTGACAGGTCCAAAATAACATGCAGCAAAACTGGCTGACGGACAGTGTTTTCGTCCATTGTCCATGTACCTGTTCATAAGTAACCTCGTTAACTTTGTGTTGACAGCTAATGTTTTGTTTGAAGACAGCCAACGCCGTGAACAATAGACGCGTCTCCCGGTCTGTACTGGCCGGCCACCAGCGGCGGTCATCGGCGCCACTCACCGCACGAGTACTCGGCTGGGCAGCAGGCGCCGGCTGGCGGCGGCAGCGGCCTGCAGTCCTTGCCGCGCAGCTCGGCTGGCATCTCGCACAGCTGGCTGGCGCACACCACTTCGCCGCTCAGGCACAGACAGTACTTGCAGGGGTCCGGGTGCACGATCACGTCGTTCTCGGCGTAGATGTTGCCCTCCAGATAGCACTGCAGCGCCACCGGCGCCTGCTCCACCTCGCCTGGCGGAAAGGGAGGGTTGACACGCTGCGCGGGCGCGACTGGACATGACACACGGGGAGGGTTACAGTGCGGTCAGTTGAGGACTCCGCAAAATCTATATTTTAGCACCGCGTCGACGTTTTAATAGCGTTGGAAATTGCAACGCTGTGTCAGCCTACTCGCTTCAAGGGAATGTTCCACATTTGAAGATACTGGAACAAGCATAAAATATGACGAAGTAAGCTCACTTGTAACTATTGGTGCACTTTTAATTGGAGAAGACTGCTCTAGACAACACAATTTCTCTGTTTAATAAATATGCCCTCAATACTTCACCGCTTGATGGCGTCATCGTGCCTTGCGCAACACTGATTAACAGCCAATTGACGGGCGTCACATCTAGAAATCGTGCTTACAGGAGTCAGTTTTGAACGATTCGACAATTATGTTTTTCTGGGCCTTGACCACCACATGGCTAATGAAATGACGGGATTTTAATGGCATTATTATGGCATCATGGATGTCTGAGTGACCTTGAAATAATCCCCTCCGAAAAAATCTGCCCATTTCCACCACACGCGTGCAGCTCAGAAACTAGATGGATTTAGGTCTTTCTTAATAAGGGCCGGGCTGTGAACTGCACCGGATGATCTTCAATATGGCTGTTTCAGTTCAAAGCCCTATACCAGTGTGGAACACTCCCTTTAACACATCTGGTGCCGTTAAGGCACAACTTGACCTCACGTTGTTTCGGTCTTTTACGGCGAGAAAACAGGTGAATGTGTACCCAAAGGCTCTTCCACGTCAATTGCTCACCGTTCAGAACTCGCCAGCGCGGAATAGTTTCAAGGGTAAAGCTCCGACCAAACGAATGAAGCCACGCCAACCCAAGCGGCCGTGCCTCTGTTGGAGGTTGGCGCGCCCGATCGTCCCTGGCACGCCGGTCCACTCACTGCAATCGTAGGCGGGGCAGCAGGCGCCCTTCTGGTAGTAGGGACGGCAGGGCCCGGTCGGCGCCGCCGGACATTTGCGCGTGTCGCACTGGACGACGGAGTTGGCGCAGAAGCAGCGGATCTGGCACTGGCTGCTGGTGGGCAGCTGCGCGCCGGCCGCATACGTCACGCCCTCCACCAGGCACGAGCCCTCGCCGGGTACCGCCGGCAGCAGCTCGTCCAGTGCCGCATCCCCGGTGCCCGGCGACTCTGACTCGGTCGTGGGCTGGGAGGTCACGCCAGGCTCTGTCGCGAGAGAGTCGGCTGCGGTTGTGATGGAACCGGTGGTGGGTTTAGTGGTGCTATCGCCCGCGGGGGTAGTGGAGCCGGTGGCGAAGTCGGTGGCACTGCCGTCCGAGGGTGTAGTGGATTCAGTGGCAACACCGTCAGTGGATGTGGGGGAACCGGCGGTGTATTCAGTGGCACCGCCGTCCGTAGGTGTGGTGAAACCGGTGGTGTATTCAGAGGCACCACCGTCCGTGGGTGTAGTAGAACCGGTGGCGGATTCAGTAGCTTCACTGTCCGTGGGTGTGGTGGAACCGGTGGTATATTCAGTGGTACCACCGTCCGTGGGTGTAGTAGAACCGGTGGTGGAATCAGTAGCGCCACCGTCCGTGAGTGTAGTAGAACCGGTGGCGGATTCGGTGCGAGCATCGTCCGAGGGCGTGGTGGAACCGGTGGCGGATTCGGTAGCGCCGTCGTCCGTGGGTGTAGTAGCACCTGTGGCGGATTCAGTGGCTTCACTGCCCGTGGGTGTGGTGGAACCGGTGGTGGATTCAGTGGTGCCACCGTCCGTGAGTGTAGTAGAACCGGTGGCGGATTCAGCGGCACCATCGTCCGAGGGCGTGGTGGAACCGATGGTGGATTCAGTAGCGCCGTCGTCCGTGGGTGTAGTAGAACCTGTGGCGGATTCAGTGGCTTCACTGTCCGTGGGTGTGGTGGAACCGGTGGTATATTCAGTGGTACCACCGTCCGTGGTAGCCGTCGCGGTCGTGGTGACTTCAGAAGGCTTGGTGTCCACCGTAGATCCATAAGTTTCATCGGCCTCTTCAGGTCTTTCGGCCTCCGTAGATACCTCTGACACGTCGGCCACACCTGATGTGGAGTCGAAGACCCCATCGTCGGTTGTAGATCCAGTGAAGTCAAGTTTTGTAGTCGAACCATCTCCCGTGACCGTCGTAGATTCGGGCTCAGCATTCGTCGCAAACTGTGTGGTAGCAGAGTCTGTCGCATAATCTACGGCGCCGGGTCCCGTTGTAGAGTCTGTCACTCCCGCGTCTGTCGTAGATTCCCGGGATCCGGGGTATGTTGAAGAGTCGGTAGGTTTGGTGCTAGTTGTAGGCTCGCTGGACTCAATGTCCGTTGTAGATCCTGTTGTCCCGTAACCTGTTGTGGAATCTGCGATTTCAGAGTCGGTTGATGCCTCGGTAATTCCAGAGCCTGTGGCAGGTCTCGTGGTCCCAGAGCTCGTTGTAGATTCAAAATCACCAATATCTGGTGTGGATTCGGTGCTCTCGGCGTCTGTCGCAGCCTGCTCGGTTCCGCTGCTCGTGGCGGCTGTAGTAGTCCGGGTGTCGGTGCCGAATTCGGTGCTCACCTCCGCTCCCGGGGCGGGCTCCGAGGCACGGTCTTCAGGGGCGTCCGTGGGTGGGAAGGGAGTCTCATAGCCTGTTTGGGAGTCGGTAGTCGAGATGCCTATTGGCAGCTCCGGAAAGACGCCGGGATAGGCCTCTGTTGGCTTGGAGGAGACGGATGCTTCTGAAGAGGACGGCGTCGTCTCGGCGCCAGAGCTCGGCGGAGACGTCTGCTCGTCCTCGGCCCCCAGCTGGCTGGCGCTGTCGGGCTGTCCAGTGGTGGGCGTCAGCTCTGCAGTGGCTCCTTGACTGGCGACTGAGGTCGCTGACGGCTCAGTGCCGGTTTCGGCAGACCCTGCGATTTCGGCCACGGTAGTCTCAGTCACACCGTCAGCACTAGTTGTCCGCGTCCCTCCCACCGTCGAATATTCAGAGCCTGGCTCGACAGACTCTTCAGAGGGGTACGCTCCCGACCCGTCGGTGCTCTCCGACCCACCAGAAGCGGGTGTTGCGCTGGCGAAGATGTCCGCGGCCTTGTCCTGTTCCTGTCGCGGGCTGCCGCCGGACCCCAGCTCGCCGGAGTAAGCCTTCTCCTCCTCGCTAGCACCCTCCTCCGCGCTTGACTCGGTGGTCGTCGGCTGACCGTCGATGCCAATGAGCTGGTCCCCGGACGGGCCTGCCTCTTCGGAAGCATCGTCGGAGCCGAGTCCCAGCGCGTTGTTGATGGCGTTGAGGATGGATTGCTGCAGGTCGATGACAGACGGGAATTCGGTCGTCACCTCGGTCGCCGATTCTGGGTCGTCGCCAGAGCCGGCCTCGCGATCGGTCTCGGCTTCCCCGGAGCCAGAGTCGCGCTCCGCATCCGGCACCAGGTCACCGCCGTCCACGGCGCCTTGCTGACCGCCCGGCTCGGTGGTGAGGTCGCCCTCATCCCCGGAACCCGCCTCGGCGCCGTAGTCGGGCGTGGATCCGTCGCCGTCCCCAGACTGGGGACCAGTCGCGTCGGTCTGAGACTCGGGGGATTCAGGCCCGTCAGTGCTGAGTGCCGACGTCGGGGTGGTTCCTCCCAGCGTTCCGTCTTCTTGGAGGCCGGAGCCGTCCGTCGTGTCATCCGTGGTCAGCGGTGTGGACGAAGCGTCGGTGACACCATCCGAACCCTGCTCTGGGGATTTGTCCCCAGACCCGACCTCCGGGGTGGTGGTAGGCAGGCTGTCTTCATCTTCCTCATCTTTAGGATAGTCTGTAGTTGTGTCTTGTGAACCTTTGATTATTCCGTCAAGAATGTTCACAATATCGCTGCTCTCTGTCGTCTCAGGTTCTCCCGAACCCACCAGACTGTCTTCATCCTCCTCGCCACTCGGATATACAGATCCATAGCCTTCTGTTGAGGTAGGTATGCCTTGTCGGTCATCCTCATCGGTCTGAGACCGGTTGGAAATGCCGAGCAGGTCCTCAATCTGTCCCGGCCTTATGTCGTAGTTGTCCGCTGACAGGTCTTTGGTGGTTGACTCTGGACCGGTGCTTTGGGGACGTTGAGTGCTTGCTCCGTCTTCGCCAGATCCGTCCACTTCCATCATGGTCGCCTGGACTACGAACACGTTCTCCTCCTCGGCTTCCTCGGACTGCTCTGCGCCCGGTACGGCCGGTCGAGAAGTGGACTCACTCGCCTCCCCAGAGCCATCCGCTGGCGCCTCGGCTCCTGGAGTCTCCGAAATGATGTCGACCCCATCCGTCTGCCCCACGGACGCTTCAGTGGATGCGTCCCCGGAGCCAGAGGACTCCTGGTCGTCTCCTTCGGCAGCCAAGTCGGGGCCCTCTGTCGAGTCCAGGCCCTCGATTGTGGTGTAGTCATCTGTTAATGGTTGTTGCGTCGTCTGACTGTCAGCAGGCCGATCTGCAGCACCGACACCCGAGGTCGTTGTTGGTGACGCCTCCACTCCGGGGATGTCTGTGGCGTCCTCCGTCAGATTATCAGCCCCACCATCCACCGCTTCCCCTGACGCCTCTTCCGGCTCCTCTGTGGCGGGCTGGGCGCCTGTTGTACCCCCTAGGCCATCGGTCGTCGCCTCGGTGAAAGTCTCTCGCGACCCATCGGGTCGTTTGGGCTCCCGGCCGGTGTCCGTCATGCCGAGGATTTCCTCTAGCTCCGTGTAGGATGGCTCGTCCTCTCCATAGCTCGGCTTCTCTGTCGTCCCTGCCTCCGTTCCGGTCCCGGCCACTGTTGAGCTCTCGCTTTGTTCTACAGTTGTTCCTTGGGTGAAGTCTGCGCCGGGGACGGTGGGGGCTCCGGTGGCGTCTCCGGACGTCACGCCACTGGTGGGCTCGGTGGTGGCCGTGCTCTGGGCGCCACTGACGCCAGTGGTGCTGGTGGCGTCTGTCGTACCGTCCTCAGACTCGGTGCCCGATGTGGTCGGGTAGTCGGAGCCGGGCTCAGTGGTGGCGTCTGTTCCCTCTGACTCGGTGGTGGCCGTGCTCTGGGCGCCACTGACGCCAGTGGTGCTGGTGGCGTCTGTCGTACCGTCCTCAGACTCGGTGCCCGATGTTGTCTGGTAGTCGGAGCCGGGCTCAGTGGTGGCGTCTGTTCCCTCTGACTCGGTGCCCGATGTTGTCTGGTAGTCGAAGCCGGGCTCAGTGGTGGCGTCTGTTCCCTCTGACTCGGTGCCCGGTGTTGTCTGGTAGTCGAAGCCGGGCTCAGTGGTGACGTCTGTCGTACCGTCCTCAGACTCGGTGGTGGCCGTGCTCTGGGCGCCACTGACGCCAGTGGTGCTGGTGGCGTCTGTCGTACCGTCCTCAGACTCGGTGGTGGCCGTGCTCTGGGCGCCACTGACGCCAGTGGTGCTGGTGGCGTCTGTCGTACCGTCCTCAGACTCGGTGCCTGATGTTGTCTGGTAGTCGAAGCCGGGCTCAGTGGTGGCGTCTGTTCCCTCTGACTCGGTGCCCGATGTTGTCTGGTAGTCGAAGCCGGGCTCAGTGGTGGCGTCTGTTCCCTCTGACTCGGTGCCCGGTGTTGTCTGGTAGTCGAAGCCGGGCTCAGTGGTGACGTCTGTTGTACCGTCCTCAGACTCGGTGCCCGATGTTGTCTGGTAGTCGAAGCCGGGCTCAGTGGTGGCGTCTGTTCCCTCTGACTCGGTGCCCGAGGACACCTGGGACCCGGAGTCCAGAGTACCGGCCGTCGGCGTCTCCGTGAATGCCACTGTAATACAGATACCTGTCAGCCGGTTTCAAAATGCGCGTTCTTCACACTAGGCAATGCGTAAAGACAGGTTTGTCAGACTCACCACACCGTGACAATCACAAACAAAAAAGCGAACGGAGGGAAAAGTGCTACCCCGACATGGGACATGAACAGATTGACTAGAACGGTGTCACCAGAAGAATCGACACCCAGCACACACGCGCACACACACCCGAGTGTCTGGACCGGACGTGCCCGTGCCGACATGCCGAGTGCAAGACAACATGCGGCTGGCCGCTGATCGTCTAGTGCGCTCTCGGGCTTGAGGCGTGCATACCTTCGGTGTCCGCCCACTGCAGCCCGTCGGCGGGCGAGGCGGTGGTGGCCCTCAGGTCGGCCTCGCTCGGGGCCGTATACGCGGCCGGGCTGGCCGGCTCGGCCGGGCTGACCGTGCTCTCACGCTCCGTCGACGTCACGGCGCTGGTGGGTGCGTCAGGTGGCTGGGTTGAGGCGTCTGGCGAAGCCTCTCCCGGGTACACAGTCGAGCTGGGCGCGTCCGGGTACACCACAGAGAGGTCGGGACTGGTGGTAGCTTGCGCCGGCGTCGGCGTGGTCTCCTCGACGCCGGGCGAGAGGCTCGAGTCTGTAGGCGATCGGTCTTGGTCGGGGACGGACGCCTTCTCATTTTCGGTGGTGTCTTCCCCGGGCGGCACGGTTCCCGCCGCGGACTCTGTCGTCGCCTCTTCTGTGGGCTCAGTTACACCCTCTGTCGTGCTCTCTGGACCAGCCCCCGCCACCGCTGTCGCCGTCACCACGTTAGGTTGCGGCTGCGAGCTGCTTCCTTCGGGCGCGCCGCTGCCGTCCACCTCAGCCGACGGCTCCTCCGCCAGCAGACCCTCTCCGCTGGACTCGGTCACGCCGGCGGCGTCCGCCTGGTCAGAGGCCCGCTCAGGGTCGGCGCCGCTCGCCTCCGACCCGGGCGTGTATAGCTCGTCCGTGGCGTCAGGCTCATCGCCGGGGTATGCTTGGCCGCCGAGTTCTGTGGTGGCGTCGAACTCAGTAGAGACACCAGCTGTGCTCTGCTGTGTGGTGGCGTCTCCCGGATAGGTTGTGTTACCTGTGCTCCGCTCTGTGGTGGCGTTTCCCGAATAGGCGCTGCTACCTGTGCTCGTTTCTGTGGTGGCGTCTCCCGAATAGGCGCTGCTACCTGTGCTCTGCTCTGTGGTGGCGTCTCCTGAATAGGCGCTGCTACCTGTGCTCGTTTCTGTGGTGGCGTCCGAAGAATCTGTGGTGACCTCTGCGCTTTGCTCCGTGGTCGTGTAAGACGGGGTCGTCGCGTCATCTGTGTCCTGCTCTGTTGTAACATCGGGCGAGTAAGTTGTACTTTCTGTGCCCTGTTCTGTTGTAACATCAGACGAGTAGGTTGTGCTTTCTATGTCCTGTTCTGTTGTAACATCAGGCGAGTAAGTTGTGCTTCCTGTTGTGGCATCGGGCGAGTCAGTTGTGCTTTCTATGCCCTGTTCTGTTGTAGCATCGAGCGGGTAAGTTGTGCTATCTGTGCCCTGTTCTGTTGTAGCATCGGGCGAGTACGTTGTGCTTTCTGTGCCCTGTTCTGTTGTAGCATCGGGCGAGTACGTTGTGCTATCTGTGTCCTGTTCTGTTGTAGCATCGGGCGAGTACGTTGTGCTTTCTGTGCCCTGTTCTGTTGTAGCATCGGGCGAGTACGTTGTGCTATCTGTGTCCTGTTCTGTTGTAGCATCGGGCGAGTACGTTGTGCTTTCTGTGTCCTGTTCTGTTGTAGCATCGGGCGAGTACGTTGTGCTTCCTGTGCCCTGTTCTGTTGTAGCATCGGGCGAGTACGTTGTGCTTTCTGTGTCCTGTTCTGTTGTAGCATCGGGCGAGTACGTTGTGCTTTCTGTGTCCTGTTCTGTTGTAACATCAGGCGAGTACGTTGTGCTTTCTATGTCCTGTTGGGTAGTGCCGCCGGAAGAGTACCTCGTATCATCGGCTTGTTTTTCGGCGGTGATATCGGATACATTATCCTTTCCGGTGGTAGTGTCGAACACACGGGTTGTGCCGTCTATGCTCTGTTCTGTGGATGTATCAGACGAGTCTGTTGTGCCAGCAGTGGTCTGTTCTGTGGAGGTATCAGACGAATCTGTTGTGCCAGCAGTGGTCTGTTCTGTGGAGGTGTCAAACAAATCTGTTGTGCCAGCGGTGGTCTGTTCTGTGGAGGTTTCAGACGAATCCGTTGTGCCAGCAGTGGTCTGTTCTGTCGAGGTTTCGGATGAATCTGTTGTGCCAGCAGCGGTCTGCTCTGTGGAGGTATCATATAAACCTGTTGTTCCAGCAGTGGTCTGTTCTATGGAGGTATCATATATACCTGTCGTGCCAGCAGTGGTCTGTTCTGTGGAGGTATTAGACGGATCCGTTGTGCCAGCAGTGGTCTGTTCTGTGGAGGTTTCAGACGAATCCGTCGTGCCAGTAGTGGTCTGTTCTGTGGAGGTTTCAGACGAATCCGTTGTGCCAGTGGTGGTCTGTTCTGTGGAGGTTTCAGACGAATCCGTTGTGCCAGTAGTGGTCTGTTCTGTGGAGGTTTCAGACGAATCCGTTGCGCCAGTAGTGGTCTGTTCTGTGGAGGTTTCAGACGAATCCGTTGTGCCAGCAGTGGTCTGTTCTGTGGAGATTTCGGACGAATCCGTCGTGCCAGCAGTGGTCTTTTCTGTGGAGATTTCAGACGAATCCGTTGTGCCAGCAGTGGTCTGTTCTGTGGAGATTTCAGACGAATCCGTCGTGCCAATAGTGGCCTGCTCTGTGGAGATGTCGGATGAATACGTTGTGCTAGCAGTGGTCCGTTCTGTGGACGTATCGGACGGATATAACGCGCTTTCAGTACTCTGGTCTGTGAAGGTGTCGGATACGCTTGTTGTTCGCAGCCCAGAAGGCCCGTCGGTCGATCCACTGTCCACCACCTCGTCTGGTTCGCGCTCTTCGGGTCCGTCTCCGCTCGAGGCCTCAACAAGCTTCTCCTCTTTCTTGGGTATCCTGGGCGCTCCTTCGTACGTTCGCTCCGGTTCGCTACTGTCCTGTCCAACGGTCTCTCGACTTGCGCTGGTCTCGGTAGCGTCCTCCGCGCCCGCTCCTGAGTCCTCCTCCTCCGTCGGCGCCCCGCTGCCGTCCTCCGGCGGCGCCCCGCTGCCGTCCTCCGGGGGCGTCGCCGCGGTCGTCGGCCCCGCGGCCGCGTCCGGGGCGGCGCCGGGCTCGGCCGGCAGCAGCTCGTCCGCGTCCGGCGCGCTGGTGGTGCCTTCCGAGCCGGGCTCCGTGCTGTCGGCGCCACCTGCGGCCGGACAGGGGGCGCTCAGCGCGGCGAGGACGTCGGCACGCGGCCCCTCGACGCGTGCACGGGAGACGGGACGGGCAGGCACTACGTTACGATCATCAGGCGCGCCCACAGGTGGTGTTGCTCAAACATGCTTTCGTCGGCGGGCGGACGCACTGGCGTTCGCTGTGCCGGTTGAACATGCCCTCATTGCAAACATGCCCTCATTGCAAACAGAATGCCCGAAGCCGATTACGATTCGACGCAAGTGTCTGCTGTGCCACATTAAACGCCTGCTTCTAATGCACTCTACTTATCCGTGCCTTCATGGTGCTGATAACACTCGTGGAATATCATATGGACCTGATCTATGTGGGGATTCGGTGGGTGAAGCACTAGGAGCTCGACGGAACTCGCATTGCAGATGCCGGTGATCAACACAAACATGATGCTGGCATGCAGTATAAATATTGCTAGGCTCGTGCCGAAGCGGGCGTCTGAAGTGCAACCGCATCGCCCGCAAGACACCGTCCTAAAATGCCACCGAGACGCTGTTCCCCGCAGTGACCTCCGCTAGCAACATGCGACGCAGCGCTGGCAGCCACTACCAGCCCCAGACGAGGCGCTACAGGCGAGCCAGCGCGAGCTGTGCCGATGCGCGAGGGCGAGGGAGGGACCCGGGCCGACCAGGATCGAGCGGGGGCGAAATGCGGGGCTCGTTACCGTTGACGGGCGGCACTAGGTCGTTACCCAGCTGCCGTCCCTGAATCTGCACCCGGCGCGTGGTGTTCCCTGGAACACACCAGGCGGTTGGCCGGCGCCGGCACAGGTGGAAGCCAGAGGCGCGGGGCCAGCGGTGGCAGGCGGTGTGCGGCACGGCGGCAGTGGCACATGGACACGGAGAACAGAAATGACATCGGAGTCACAGGAAGAGCCATACCTACCCGTCGGAGCGAAGCCCTCGTGTAAGGACACGCTACCGTCCCATTTCTTGGAAGCGTTTGGACTGTAAATCGACTGGGGCTGGGATGTGAGTGGAATGGCGTCAACACAGTGGTGACTAAGGTTGACTTCTATTTCACCCCTGATCAACCTTTTTCCGGTGTAGAATGGGCGGGAGTACGCGGATGCCCTTCGGTTACTAGACAAAGTATTGTGTTGTGGGGTCGTAGAGATCTTCTGACATTGACTGGAAGTAGGCTCTCTTGGAAAACCCTGGCACTCGCCACAGGAGTTCTGGTTCAACGATAATTGGAGCTTTTCAGTGCTCTAAGAGCCGAGCTCATTTCCCGCCCATGAGTTCCGGTTCGAAAATCCAGCTTGCGCTAATGCCGTGGCGAAGAGCCATAGCATCCGTTGTTGAGCCGTCGGAGCCGTCGGGCGCGGCCGACGTCGGCAGGTACTCACCGCACTGGTACTGGTCGGGGCAGCACTGGCCGGCCGGCGGCGGCACCGGTCGGCACGAGGACTGGGCGTGGTCCAGCGGCGTGGCGCAGTCCTGCACGGCACACTTCACCTCGCCGTGCATGCAGTAGCAGTGTCGGCATGGGTCCTCGCCGGCGATCTGCGGGCGGCGACGGCCCGACCGGTCAACGGAACACTCTCGACGGCGCTGCGCCACAACACCTGCATGTCGCGAGCAGATGTGGCAGGACGTCCCCGCAAAGGTGAACAGATAATTTGTGATTTTGTTGTGGAATTCTATGATGTCCTTTTCCCACCATTGTTTGCCCCACTTCTGGTCCGATATTGCAAAAGAAATGTTCACAAACAGTAAACAAAAAAGGTGAGTAGCCAACATTTGTAACACATTTCAAACAATTTTGGCTAATCATCATGCAAATACGACGGATAATCAAACCACTGAAACTGAAACATATGTAACCCTCCTCATCCGTAACCGCAATCACCACATATAAAGCCTTGGTATCACCACAATCTCCTTATCTTTGACACCATTATGAACTGCACTGGCTCCTGGACCCCATCCAACAAAAAAAAGATAGTGTTAGCTGAGTGGACTCCTTGGAGACCTAGCAGACTCTGCGATCGATTAGGCGGGGCCCCCTACCCACGTGATTGCCATTCTTCACTAATGCTGAATGAATGAATAAGTGAATGAGCCTGTGGTATGGTAATTAGCTTGAAGTCATTTGCTAGCTACAGCTTTGACTGCTCTCAGCCTTTCCCCATATAGTCGTGCTCTGGTTCCTATTCTGTTCAAGTCTATATCCACTCCATGGTTAGGAGTGCCGCGACTTCCTCTTCGTGTTTTCTGTTGGGAGCGTAGGATTTATTGCGTCACTGGGATAGCGGGAGGGGCATTCTGGTTGTCTGTTCATGGAGGCCTGTTCATGAATGAAAGCTAGGAAAAGTTTTTACACCACGGACACGGAGAGCTCCTCCGGCGGGCAGAGCCCTCTGCCGGGACGTTGTCGTGGCTGCCTCACCTGCTCGCCGTCCGTGTAGTTGAGGCCATTGTGCAGACAGCCGGCGGCAGGGTCCGGCCGCATGGTCGTTAGCGGAGGAAGCGTGGTCGTCTCGAAATCTGCGGCACGGGCCAGCCGCTGCCTTAACCTCGACCACGTTACAGTCCCGTTCAGGAAACTCGGCATGTTCAAGACAGCAAATGCACATGCGGACACAGGTGCCGGTGTGCGCCGCTAGTTGCATTGCGTTACATCTGCCACGTCGGCCGCCTGTTGTCGCACGGGACAGCGCGGTTAGTTGATTTGTCGGGAGATAACCAGCGTCAACAAATTACGCCTATATTCACATTTTTCTTCACCACCTGCGTTCCGACTTCGTCAATATCTAACGTCAGCACAGCCGCGAACATCGCACCATCCGTTCTGTTGGCAAGACCACTCGATCCCGGCATTGGCCCTGCTGCAGCCGAGGAGTGCGACTTACCGCAGTCGTAACGGACGGGGCAGCAGACCCCCGCGGCGAACACGGGCCGGCAGCCGGGCACGCGCATGGTGCACTCCTGCTGCACGCAGGCCGTGTGGTTCCTGATGCAGTAGCAGATGTCGCACGGCTCGTTCGGGTCAGACGGCACCTGCGGCGACAGAGGCCGACACCGTCTGATCACACCCCGGGTCAGCCACCAGGGACAGCTGGCCACGCGACGAGGGCAGAGCTGGTGGAAGTGGGGGCGGGCTGCTCCGCTGCAAGCTCCTGGCTTGGCGTGAGGAAAAACGCCTCATCTGACGTCTTGCAAAACAGACGCTCGTCTAAACTGATGGAGCTGTCAGTCAAGTTCATTAATATCATGGTGATCAAGTTCAGTTTATCATGTTATCGGAGCTCCCAGGTCCCTAGCAACCGCCCTCGTTCCGAAGGGCTCGAATTCGGTCTGCCAGCGACGGACGAGGCTGAACATTTTTTTTGGGAGGCAACAGCGCTGCCACCCGCGCTTGTAGAACAGCTCCTCCGGCAGCCAACCGCCCGCTGCCAGCGCCGGCGCGCGGCCGCCGGCAGATGGCGCTGCAGTCCCACCTGCGCTCCGTCCGCGTAGCTCCGGCCGTCGAACGAGCAGCCGCTCGGACCGATATCGTCGACGCCGTCGGCCGGCGGCGGCACCTCCGTCGTGGTGGTGGTGGTTGTGGTTGTGGTGGTGGTTTGGTTGACCATGCCCAGCATCTCCATGATCGGGACAGGCACTGCCGGCACGTGCACCCGACCGGTCAGCGCGGCCGTCCTGCCGTCATCTACCAGTCTGATAGGCATCGTAATTGTGTCACGCGGAGCGAGCTTGTTTTCCGCTTCGCAGTGATATCACTCGCATCGACACGAAACACGTGCACTTCTTGAATGTTGTAATCCAGCATGAGCAGCCACCAGGAGCTATCCCTGGGGGTCAGTTTACGGAGCGTCGGATTCAGTGGGACACTGTTCCGCTGGGATGCGTCCCAATGGAATGGCGTCGCAGACACTGCGCTCATTTGGCTCGTCCGTGAGGACCAATTATCAACGGGCCAGAATGGCGGGGCTGGAACGAGCTGGTCGTGCCATGGATTTGCCTGTTGGTGGCTGCCTGTTGGCAAACCATTCTCCGTTGAACTGGAATTACGATGCTGAGGTGATGACTTCGGGTTCTAGATCACAAATCATGTAAGGCAAGGAATCTCATTCTAAAACAGCCTCAGCGAAACAAAAAACGATTTAAAGTGTACACAGAATGGCGAACACCAATGCGGGTGAACGGCTGCTGATACGTTTCCGACGCATTATTAGCGATCGATGCTTGCCAACCACTGCGACGCACGCAGAGCCAGCCTGGGTTCACGAAGTGGTCACTGCGATCAACACCATTAAACAAATCGCGGTGACCGGTCGGGTCTGAAAGCGAAGCCGACCAGCCTCCACCCTGCAAAGGCAATGCAAGCCCACCGCTTTCCAAGGCCGCCCATGGCTTCGATGCAATCAGCGCGGTGCAATGGTCCAAATGTCTGAGCCCTTTGCACAACCGTCTTCGGCGGGCGTCGCTCGCGCGGGCGGGTGTGGTGTCTCGGCGGCGGCGCGGCGCCATCGCCCGGGGCCGGGCTCGTGCGCTCCATCCAGCGCCGGCGGCGGGCCCGACCGCCAGCTTCCTGTGTCTGCGGTCGGGCCGCGCCGTCCCGCTTCTAACGCTAATGTTGCACAGCCGGGGTCGTGACGTAACGTGAGGCCGAGGTCACCGGGTGGCGACCCTCCGGCGGGCGGAGCGAGCTCGCGATGGTCTGTGGAGGCCCGTGATGGGTCTGCTGAGGCTGACTGTCCGTGATGGGTCTGTTTTGATGATCTTCTCGTGAAAGGGCTGTTGAGGCTCGTGGTGGGTCTGCTAATGCTGACTATAGGTATGTTCTGTTAATCTGCTCGTGCCAGGGCTGTGAATCCGTGATGGGTCTGTTGTGATCAGCCCGTGGAAGGGCTGTGGAGACCCGTGATGGGTCTGCTAATGCTGACTATAGGTCTGTTCTGTTAATCCGCTCGTGCCAGGGCTGTGGAACCCGTGATGAATCTACTAATGCTGACTATAGGTCTGTTCTATTAATCTGCTCGTGCCATGGCTGTGGAACCCGTGATGGGTGTGTTACGGTGATCACCCCATGGAAGGGCTGTGGAGGCACGTGATGGGTCTGCTAATGCTGACTATAGGTCTGTTCTGTTAATCTGCTCGTGCCAGGGCTGTGGAACCCGTGATGAGTCTGTTATAGTGATCAGCCCGTGGCAGGGCTGTAGGACCCGTGATGGGTCTGTTACAGCGATCAGCCCGTGGCAGGGCTGTAGAGGCCGAATGCCTACGCTACTCCCGCTGCTGCCTGTGTGCCGTGGGTCTGTGGAGGTTGTCTGATGGTGATGGGTCCGTTGAGGTCCGTCCCTGACCGTTCTGTTAGGGTCGAGCTTGCACCGACGGGCGCGTTGAGATTGCCAGCACGTGCCGGATCCGTCACGGTGTGTTGTCGGCGACGGGAGTGGTTGAGACTGTTCTCGTGGATTACAACCCAAGAAAACACCAAATCGCCAGTGGTAACTGAAATGTCAGATGCGGTTGCGAGAGAGAACGGACTACAAGAGGGACCAAAGTGGCACGGAAATTCCAATGTTGTAAGATCGCACGAATGGCTCTGAGAACAACCGAGATTGTGCGATCGCCAACGGCAGCCCCTGGGCAAAATGGCTGGAACGTATGCCCAACATCGTGAAGTTCTTGCGAAATCAGCTCCATGATAGTCAAGTACGGGCAATACATGCCTGCCTAATCTGTAGCGGTGCCCATACTTGGCAGAGTCGCCGATGGTTTTCTAATTATTCCTGAAATTGTGTTCTGAAGTTTCGTGCGCCTCTATGCAAGGGCCCCACATACCCAGGGTCCAGCTTTGACTGCGACTCATTTTGCCAGCTTTGGCCGTGGTTGGTCAGCCGTCAGATGAATCAGTGCACGGATGACTAACCGGGAGATCGTGACCAGGCTGTGTCACAGCGGTCGCCGTCGCGTGGTACAGAGTCGGCACCGGTTTTCCATCAGGGACGCGGGTCGAGCCTCACCGGGAGCGCGGCCGCCAGACGGCGGCCAGACAGGGCGTCGCGTGCCGCTCTGACCCCGTGTTTGGCATCCGGCCGGAGGCCGGCGGCCCAATGGGCGCGACACGGCCGGTAATGAGCCGCGAAGCGTGGCCGCCGCGGCAGCCCCGCTCGCGGCCCCGGTGCCGTTGTCCAGCCGGGCGAGGGGCGCGGCGGGGGCGGACACACGCCCGGCAGAAAGCACGCCAGCAATGTCGGCGCCGGACACCGGTCAAACGGGCGCCGCGGCGCGGACCGGTGCCATTGTGCCGCGGGCGGGGTGTGTCGCGACCCGCGCCTGACACGGCCGAGGTCCGATGCCCCGCCGGTGCGGAGGGTCGCCCCGCCCCGGGGTCACCGGCGGACGTCGACAGGGCGCCGCGCCGCAGCCGGTCCGGCCGTCACCGGCGGAGGTGACGACACGGCAGTTAGCCATTCACGGGATAAACTGCGCGCTGTTGTCGTCCGCTCCGACCCTGACCGCGGCGGACGGCGGGGGCGTCGCAGGCGGCGGCAACTGTCGTCTGTTCTGCTGGGACTTGGCGCGAAAGAATGCGCGGCAAAGTGGGTCTGTGCCGGCCGTGACGGCAGGAGGCGGCGGGCGCCGCGCGCGGTGCTGACCTTGGTCGCAGGTGACGGTGGGACAGCAGTCGCCCGGCGCCTTCTCCGTCGTGCAGCCCTTGCCCAGCGGGCGGACGTACGGGCACACCTTGAGGAAGCACATGAGCATGTTGTCGCGGCAGGTGCAGTTCAGGCACGGCTCGTCCGTCACGATCTGCTCGCCGTTGTCGTAGTGCTGCATCATGTGGAAACAGCCTGCGGCGGCGGGGGAGCGGTGTCAGCTTTCAGTCCGCGTGTCCCCCGATTCGGCACGCCAGCACTGCACCCCGCAGTCAAAAAATGATGGTGAGCTCGGGGTATTTAACGACTTGCCGGATTTGGTCATTCGAGCAAGATTTACGTTTCCGCTAAAATGATGTTTGAATGGGAACGTTGAAGGTAAGGCAAACGCGGGGCGTCCCAGCCTTTCCGTTTTGGGATCGACAAACACGGGGTTGTTTTCAGTGGTGCAGAACACTGAAAACAACCTCGTCAGATAATATCGTCGCAAACAGTAACAAAGTCAAACTAGCGCGGAAATGTGTCGCGAACAACAGAAGACTCAAGTCACTAATTAAAAAGTTGAAATCTCATCGTTGTGTTTCGTCCAACGACCTGTGCCTCAGTGCGTATAATTCACCAGTGTAGGGCGAACATTGCACTGGCGATTTGAAGAGATGATAAAACCAGCGAAAGTATACTTGTTAAAATTCAACAAGAAGAATGACGTAAAAATTTTGTATGTAAAAACGTGGTTAAACCAATTTTTTGAAGGAGGAGTGGAGGGGGGGGGGCATTCGCCAATTCGTCCCACCGGGATCCGCCCGTGATGTTGGGTATCCCCCAGCATACAAAATCAATTCGGGACATCAGTCTTACCTGGATTGTCTTCATCCCATTCCAGCGGAGCTGAAAAGATCGGAGGCCATGTAAAGATGCACGTTTTGAACAATTCGTGACAAACGATGACCCCATCAGCATTAATAAACTACAACAGCGCTACGGCACGAGTTCGACATCGGGTCACGGTTCACGGGCATTCCCATAACATAACGCACTAGTCAGCGTTTTCAGGTGGAGGTCGCCCACCAATGCCATCCTCTTTTCAGATCACGATAATCTTCCCGTAACATGATAGCTCGAAAGCATTAAGGCTGGTTGGTGCGTTACTTCGGCAACTATGATCGCTAAAATGAGTGCGCCTCGAATCGTTCACCGGTGGTGGTGATTCCTGGATCCGCTCATCAGCATCGTGACAGCGATCTGTTATCAGGCGTTAACGCTGATCACACGGCACGCTCCGGCGATGGACACCTGTCGGCATGTGGCCGCGCCGCAGTCCGCAGCCCCGCGCACGTCCGTACAATGCCTGAGCAGCCCCAGGCAGCCGTATGACGTGCGAGCCCCGGGCGCTGGCATTCTGAATGAGATGTGTCAATGGCCACAGTCGCCGGATCAACGCTCCCAAATCAAGGCCCGTCCTGAGGCCTTAGCGGTGTGAGGTTGCCCAGGAGAGCGCCAGGCGTCAGTGCGAGACCGAGCTCGGCCTGTGCGGAGACCGCCGCCCACGCCAGTCGACGTGCCAAGAAGCTAGCGGCCAGCATATATTCAGCGGGCGCCCGCCTCCTTATCAGACGCTCGAAATTCCTGACGCCTAACGTCCGCGCCTGGCCTTGGAGGTTACCTGAGACCTGGCCGCTTTGATGGGGGTCTTTTTCCCCAAATCCGAGGACAACACTTCAAAGCCCGTGGCCGCGCGCCCTGCCGGCGTCTCGGCGGGGTATTTTGTACGGCGATGCGTATGTCGTGCCGCTAGGCTTTTTATGTGAGCTGTCGGCGGGCAGACGGAGATCAGACGTTCTAAGCCGGGTTGGGCAGCTCCCCTGATGCGAGGTGTGTGTGTGGGGGGGGGGGGGGGGGGGTCGAGATCAGTCAGGGTCACTGCTCTGGCTCGGGGGCTGTCTTCCCAAAAACCGATGGTGCGTGCAGGCGGTGTTTAATTTTAGCCAAGTTAGCATATAGAACTAAACATTGGGAAGAGTCGGCTTTGAACCCTGTGCTCTGCACCTTTCACTGAGCATAGCACGCCGATCGGTGTGAGCAATTGCGACACGGGGATCATCAGCGGGCTCGCATGCCGGTGAATGATCTGTCCATCGATCAGTGACCTGTGACCTCGCAGCGTTCCCCGCTCGCGCGCCGATTTCGCTCCATTCTTCGGCACCTGACCGCGGCTGACCGCCGCACTGCCCGCGGCCGGCCAGTGGCCGCCGGCGCGGCCGTTCCCACGGCTCACGGCCAAGATCACGGCCGCGCCGTCTCGTTCGGTCGCGCCGCCGGCGGCGCGGCTGACCAGTCGGGACAGGTGGCGCTGCCCGGACTGGCCGGGCGGCTACTGTCGGGGCCGGCGGCGCCCGGACGGGCCGGGCGGCTACCGTCGGCACCGACAGCGCCCGGACCGGCCGAGGCGGTGCGGGCGGCTTCTGTCGGTACCGACGGCGCAGGAGAGTCGTTGAGACGCCGTGCTGGTAACTAAACCATCGCAAGTAGCAAAATAGACGCATTCAGCATTCTAAGTAAGTGACTGTACATCGGCTCCCTTCCACGGGTGGAGGGAAGCTGTGTCGTCGCTGTGTGGAGCTCAGCTCATGCTGGACTCCCTAGACAGACCTCGTTCTGCATGTGGTGGTCCACCCGCTGCCAGTGTGCAAGGATCCTTCAACTCGCTCCACTCCGTGCATAGACCACCAGAAACGAAGCGACGACAAATTGCATGTTTTTCTCTCGGCGAGGCTGTTTTCGGGCAACTGCAGCGGCGCAGTGTCAAGGACCGTCATTGAGACGCCGGAGAGCAAAGATCAACGCCCGACAAAGATGGCGACTTGGGTGTCTTCGCCAGCTGTTTGCGGGCGGTTCGAGCAGGGCGGCACAAAGGAGCTGCGCGCTGAATATCTCAGAGCAGAGATCAGACTGTGACAAAGGCTCCATTATAACCTTTGTGGTGATGATTGCACGGTAGTGTAGTAACAATGGCAACGTTTACTAATGTTTGTCTTTATACTCGAGTGCGGCACAGCTCAAACCGCCAAGTTTTCAGCTGCATAAGTGCATTCGTAGCTGGAGCAGATCTAGTGCAGATGCTCGCCACTGGACAACGTAAGTGAAAGCAAGTGAGCTGATGATATGCTATCGCTCACAGGTTGTTTTGGCTGAGTGCGGAGTCACACATTGTGATGGAGTGACGGGCTTTTCGCATCAGAATAACTGAGCGTTTTTCCAGAGGAGTGAACGAGCAGAACAAACCAAAACAGGGACATCCAAGCCATGCCGATTTGATTTAATGCGTGGAATAGAGATCAGCAGCCAGACAATTTGACTGCACTCATTCCAAGCATTCCGTTTATCGCTCTATTCGGTCGGCTGCACCACCACTGAGGCCTTCCAACAGTCACCGTTGATGTCCTGCAGAGGCGACACACTAATCATCTCAGCAGTTGGTTCAAAAACCAGCCGTCGATGTCGACGAACAGCGCAGCCATGATGTCAATGTCTGCAGCAGCCCCTCGGCTTGTAGTGCATGTGGCGCCCTCGGGACGACTCACCTGCGTCAGCGGGTACCAGCGTCGCCAGCAGCCCCAGCAGGGGCAGCAGCCTCCGCCAGCGTCCGCTCTCCATCCTGCAACAGAGCGGACGACGTCAGCTCCCGCGCCGCGCCCCCGCCCATGGAGACTGCGGGGCCGCAACAGCACGGCACCACCGGCGACTGGGCCGGCCGGGGAGGCGCTAGCACCGGCGGAGGGGCGGACTCGCGAGGCCGACCGGGCGTGCGGGCCTGAACGCTCGCGGATCGCCCGCTCCGGTCAGGCGCGGTCACTCGTCCGGCCCGGCAGTCGCCTGGCACGCGAGTGGTGACGACCGACCGCGCTGGCCGGCCGGCGGCCTGCCATGAATGTGATCGCGAACGGACGGATGCCTCGCCGAATTCTGCTGGTGTGCGTCTGGTCAGAATGCCCGTGCTGAGTCAGGCGCAGGACATGCCGCGGTGGATTTACAGCTGTGATGGTAACCGTTACCATGGTCTTCTGGCGTGCTTCTGTGGAAATGACGCATCAGAAGGCGCCCTCGCGTGCGGTAGAGGTGGGCTGAAACAGCGCACACGCTCCTCTCCGCTCGGCACGAGTGACTGCGGCTCCTAACTCACACCGGATCCGAGGCGTTCCATCAGCTGGGTTCCAGCCATCACATGCTCACCCTGGGACGTGCCGCAACCAAACTCCACCGGTTGAGTGCACGTGTTCTTGTGTCAGTTTCAAGAGCACACTACTGGTTGGTGTTCATGGACGTCCCGGCCTTTTGCTTGGTGAGCCGATCTCTTCATAGTGGGTGCGACAAATACATCTCAGCCTTTATTGAGTCAGAGCCCTGATTTTCAATTTCTAACACCCATTGCAGCAAGACCTTGCAGAAGCCTTGGGCCTGATGCGACATTTGTGGGGCTCCACTTACAGCTGGAGCAGGGCCGCCTAACAATGCGGCATGTGCACCGGCGTGTCAGCTGACACCTAAATGGGGGCGGGCACGCGACGTTGACCGGCCACGGCGCACGCGACCCGAGACTGGGTGACCGGTGTCAGCGGCGCTGGCTCTGGACTCATGCCAGGAGTGGCGGGCGGAGCCGGGACCATCTGAAAACCAGTCGCCGCCGCTTCAGGGCCGCCGGCGTACCGGAGGCTGTGCCGAGATAAGGCGCTCACGGACATGTGACGTGATTCATGGTGCGTGTTTGCGGCGCTCAAGAGGTGCTTTTATGGAACGACTTTACGGGGAGGGGCTCCGCCTGAGGGAGTGAAAAGATCGTGTCGTTTTCCGCCCTTTCCCTTTCCATCAGGGGCGGATAGATGTTGAGGTCAGTCTAAAGCTCAAGCTCGGCAACGAAAGCCTTGGAACCGCACGGACGACGGCTGCCGCCGCACATCCAATTGCTGCCTTCTGATCCGCTGCACAATATCAGCTCATCAGTCACTCGTCCGGCCAAAGATCAGGTTACCCCGGCAAGATTCCTCGCCGGTCCCCCCTCCCCACCAGACGGAAGGTCACGCGCCGTGACCCGCTAACCTCTGAAGTCATCCCACACCCGTCGGTGTCTGCCCACTTGCGCGCCGGCGGCCGGCGGGGCCTCTGAGCGGCGCGTCGTCAGCGACAGCTGGCCGCCGGGGCCGAGCGCCGCCGGACGCCGCCGGTGGGCCGGCCTTGGGCGCGCCGCCGAGAGGCACCGTTCGCGTCCGGTCAGCACGTGCCCCGACGGCGCCATCGCCACAGCGCCGGCGACGGCAGCACGTCAGAAACTGATGCGTTATAGCAGCGCGTGGGTGGAGAGGTGCGAGATAGCCTGTCATTAGCTTAGCTGGTGCGGCAGATAATGTGTTGCTATGATGGTCGGACTGTATTTAAGCTTTCTGTGCGATACGTGCTTGTTTACCTAGACGCCACCCATAAAACGGCCTCCAGCATCATCCCACACTCGCGATCCCCAGGTCCCGCCCGTCCCCGCGCCGAACGGACTGGCTTTGATATGGACAGATCCGCGTCTGCACGGAACGTTCCAAGAAAACAAGGCTTTGTTGCGTGAAGATCAATTATTGATTGATTGATACCATGTTCTTGGGAGCAGTCGACGTTCCCTTAACGGAAGACGGCCCGAGTTTCTGATGTGTTAAGACCATTCGCGGCTGACATCCCGCTAACTAGATGTTTCCTTGGCACGGCAAGTCTCGCTCGTTACATTCGCGCAAATGCGCAATAGTTCACATGCTACCCCTTGCTCAGGATCATATGCGTAACAAACGCATCATGCGCTGTCAGAGCCCTCAGTGCGCCGTGCAACAGAATCCCTATTGTGTTCACTGCGAATGAGCGAAAGCGAAACGCGAATGAGCGAAAGTGGCCACACCCGACCAAGAGAATTCTCTGCGCCAGAATCGCCGCAACTCCAGCAGCCGGTAGCTGCCGCCAAATCGCTCACTTCCCACGGCAACGGATGGGATGTGGGGAAATTCACGGCTCGTGAACACGTTGATCTGACAAGGACGTGGGGAAAATAAAATAATTACGGCAATTTGGGGCCATGCGATTCCCTCCCGACGTTATCACGAAGAGCGGGGGCAATTTCGGCAGCCGCGCGTTGCCAGGGTGACTGAGCTGGCGTTTGTGGAGTCTGCGACACGGCCAGCATACCGGGGCACCGTACCATGACATTGCGCAGGACACGGGGGCCTAACCACCGCCGTCGCTGAGTGAGATTTAGTGGACCGGCCGGAGAGGGGCCCGGTTAGCATGCGACACAAGCTGCGCAGCCAGCTGCCCCTAACGCGAGCTGGAGCGGGTGAGCTTCGATTTCAGGCTGAGGCAATGGCTGGTGGAGGTGGATTTAGTGAGATCGGCATTACTAATGCGTAAATAACGCTGGTAGATCGATATACAGGCAATGGTGGCTCGTGCATCTAAACTGTCCATTGGTTAAAGGGTTAACCTGTCAGCTCTTGGTTACTCTCTGCAGTTTTGTATCACCTTTACCTATGGCGTCGCCCTTATTAGCCACCTGGCTTGAAGGAACGCGTGTGAATGAATGGGCACAGCCGCAGCATGCGGTCGCGAGCGGACGCATCTGTTGACTGCGGGCTGCGATTCTCACAGTGTCGTTAGAGCGGCGGCCAAATGAGCCACCTCAAGGACGCTGTTCACCGGACGTACGCTTCATTTCCACGATGCGCGTGGAAGTTGATGATCAATTTGATCGGGTTTCATCACAGCGTATATCTACGTTATGTCCATTCAAAGGGTACCAAATCCCACCACAATCGTTTACTAGCATTCCTTTGAGGCACAAGGTCAAATAGAACTTTTCACTTTCATTCATCGGAGTGAGGAAGTGCCGAATTTGTCGTGCACTATTGGAGGAATCCGGCGTTGGCTTAGGTATGATGATCTCAGCGTAATGATGTTTGCGTTCCGAAGTTGCGCTTCACAGGTAGCTTTGGGGCCTGAGTAACCACTGACCTCATTTATCTGAGTGAGACCTGAGCAGTCTCCTGAGCATACTTGGAGCGACGTTTGCTGTTTGCCGCTGTCTATGTGCCACCGTACACAGACAGTATGTTTGTAATATCCGCTCACGAAACGGCCGCGAGTGTGTCGAGTTCAAGGGGCCGAGTTTCACCATCGGCCATGTACGGAGCGAAGACGCGGCGCGCCAATGGCAGTAAGAGATCCATTTCAGCGGTGGCGGGCTGTCGTAAAACAGCTAGGCGCCACACTATGCTAAATATGCCGGCGACAAATGGCTGGTCTCTCGGTGCCGGCGGCGCCACCGGTGTGAGACGGCTCTCAATGGCGAGTGCCAGTCAAGGCCTGCATATTGGATTCACTGTGCACAATGGCGCTGTAATTAAGGGCTTGCAGCCGTTTATCTGGCACTAACACAAAGAGCGCTCGCCATAGCACCAGAATACCTGTGCAGTTAGCATGAAGCGGCCGGCGCGAACTCGGTTCCGGCGCTAATCCCGAAAACTCAAGCCTGGCCGGACTCGCCAGGCGTGGGGCCTAGTCGGCTAGACAAAACTGCTGATATATTCACGGGACACTGATGACTGTCGTACACGGTCACCAGCTCTGCGCCGACACACGTCACAGCGTCGGCCCAGAAGTCTTCAGGCTTGTGTATCATACCAGCTTCATCGTCAGCTGCTACAAGCAGGCGCGGTATTGCAGCAACGTACATTAAATAGGAAATGCCCGTATGTATCAACAGCATGACAATGGAGATCGAAGCCAAATAATCATACCAGCGGATGAAGCCGATTGGCATTTATAACTGGTGAATCAGTATCAATGCACACCAAATATACCCGTGTTTAAAACGCATTGAGCGTTAGGATGAACCCGCAAACCAAACATTCCCAAATAAATCCAAACAAAGAAATATGCCGCTCTCATGCACAAATGGTCGGAGCCATTGGACAAGCATATCTCACGTCAGCTTGTCCCAGGTGCGTTTTGTAACCGCATGCCCCGCAGGTCTCGTGGTGAGCCTCAGCCATACACCAGCTGGGGTCAGCCGGCGGAGATGCGCTCCTGGCCTCGACAATGACCTCGTTATGGAGATCGCGTCGCCGGGGGCAGACGCATCAGGAGCTCGCGGCGGCAGCGGACACGGTGCCCATGAAGAGCTCGCCGCGGCAGGGGGCGCTATGCCGTATGAAGAGCTCGCCGCGGCAGGGGCGCTATGCCGTATGAAGTGCTCGCCGCGACAGCGGGTGCGATACCGCGTGAAGAGCTCACGGCGGAAAAGGGCACCACACTGCCTGTTATGACACGCCGTCTGCGTTGCGTAAAATTCGTAATTGGACGTGAAGACCCGACCCGAGCGTGGCTTTTTAATGGGGTCCTGGGCCTGGCGCGGTGGACATGGCCGAGGTCGAGCCGGGGGGTGGGCTGCGCTCCGACGCGGCCCGAGACGCTCACCGGGCGGATGGCGAGATCGTCCAGAAAAACATCCATTTCCGCCGGTATAACCTGTTTTTTTTTATCTGCGCACTGCTGAAGCGGCTAATGTATGCTAGCGCAACGCGAGAATTGCATTGGAGTGAATGATAGCAGTGACATAATCGACGGTGTACA